TGGACAAAATAAGCGGGAGAGCGGGAGGTTTTTATCCGTGCACTAACCAATTCACCAAAACTCCACTTATACTTGCACGCTTGCCAAGCACTGACAAAATACTCCCACTTATTTTGTCTACCGGAAGATGGGGCTGGGAAGATGGGGCTGGGGAGCTTACCGAGAAACACCACAGATGAAAAGGGGATTGCCATTGGTTTTGCTTCCGCCTCAAGATACCCGAGAGCCAGGTTCCCTTACAGAAAACAAAACACAAGCATCAACGACCATCCTTTTTATCCAACCATGAGGCATGAGGTTCTAAATTCTGATTTCTCCATGTCAAAGTGGCTTTGTTTACCTGGCGATATTCTATGCCTTCGAGTGCGGAGTAATAAGACCCCTATTACGAAATAAAAGCATTCCTACCCAACTTCAAGCTCAAATACTTTTGGGCGCCTGTGGGCCTCACCCTAGCCAGAGAAATCCCACAATCTCCAGCAGGAGCATCCTCCGTCACGATCCGTAAAAGCCCGAAAACTCAAAGCGGATACTGAGGTCCCTTCGCGACCCGTCTCTGCATGTACGAATTGAACCGCATATTTTACGCCTGTGCACCCTACTATCACCCCTTCTTCAAACCCTCGAAATAAATGGCAGAAATGTGAATTAAATCCTAAAGATGTTCTTTGGCATCTGTCTTGTAATGGTGGAAAATTCTTAGAAGTTCTATTGGAAATTTTCGTGAAGTCATTGGAGGTCTTGATCGAGTTTGTAGCCGGACCAAAAGGTGCGGTTTACTTTGTACACGTACTGTAGAGCTCTCCCCGTCCCGTTAAAAGTATAAACGACGCCTGAGCGCCTTAAATTAATAAAACTATATTTCAGCGTTCCAGCTCAGACCTACTGCATGATTACATACCTCCCAGCTACAGTACAGTTACGTAGGTAGGTAGGTCCTCGACGTCGCTAGCGGTCGTAGAGGTCTAAGGTTATATAGTATTAACTTTGGTACAAGTAATCAAGTAAGTAAACGATATATCAAATCCTACTTATATAGCGCTACTTCTATCAACTTATCAAGTCGTTGTGAAGTAGTAGTATTATTGATTTGAAGCGTTTAGTCGACGTCGGGTTATAACGGATTCAGCGCTAATTATCTTGGTAAACAGACCCCATTCTCATCTCATTATCCAAAAAAAAAAATCCAGATCCCAAAGTGTTGTTCCAAGGTCACACCACTATGAGCCCCTAGCGCCTTGGAAGGTTATCAAAATCAGCTGTTTTTCTAGCCCTAGCCCCACAATTGACAAGGATGAACCTCCAAAATTCTCCTTCTAGACCACATCTATGGTTCACGACAACGATACAAATGCATGCTCCGTACACCATCAGCATGGCTAAAAGCTTCTTCCTTGAAAGTGGTGCGACCGTTTTCACTTGGCACCCCATTCGCATCCCATTCGCATCCACTATATCCCATACACCCTCTTAGATGAGGATGCAACTGTCGTAAGCACATATATACATCTATGTCTCCTTTTTCCATCCTTTTGTGAGGCTTGCTTCTTACTACTTTGGGCTCCTTTCTTGACTCTTATTCGCTCTACTTTCTTCTGTGTGGATGATTCGGTCTTTTTATACCTGCATCTTGTGATACCTTGTGGTTAAAGAACTTAGCACACCACATAACTTAGTAGTCCCCAGCGATCTCACTCAAGGCATATATATACATTCATCCACTCATTCACTTTGTTATCATATACCCTTCCGACTTTTCCCGAGTCTTTTTTCATATCCAAAACCCTCATTTTCATTCAAAAATCTCAAGTCACCAATACTCCATCATCTCCCCGATTCCAAGATGGCGCCCACGCCACAACTCTCCACCTTCCACCTCTTCCCCAATCTAGCACCAGAACTCCGCCAAAAGATCTGGGGCCACGCCTGTCCTCCCCGTACCATAACTCTCCGCTACATCCCAGAACAAGACAAATGCCTCTCCTCCTCCCCACCACCCCCAATCCTACAAGTTTGTTCCGAATCCCGTTATGTCGCCTCAAAACACTACCGGTTATGTTTTGGCACCGCCTCAAATGAAGCGAGGATATACTTCAATCCCTATCTCGACACGCTATACTTACCCCGCCACCGAGAAATGGGCTATGATGAAACACTACGGGATTTCCGCTCTCTAGTCAAGGACGAGGAAGGCTTACTCAATGAATTGAGAAAGGTGGCTATCGAGCATGTGGATCTTACTATCAAACGACCGTGGGAATCATATAATAAAGCAAGCGTATTACGGAGTTTCTCTAACCTGGAAGAGGTTATTCTGGTTCAGGTCGAGGGTCAGAATGAGGCGACGAAGCTGGGATGGGATGAGGAGGTGGGGTTTGTGCAAGCGAGGGGGAACCCGGAGAAGTTACTTAGGATTTGGGTTGATTTTCGGCAGGCGTTTATTATGGAGGAAAAGTTGTTGGAGAAGGTTTGTCAGGATATGGGAAGGGAGTACCAGGCTTTCTTTTTGCCGGCGCTAAGGTTGGAGAGGAAGGTTAGAGTGGAGCGTGGGGTACGGAAGGAGGATTAGAGGGTAAGGGAGGGTTTGGAAAAGCTGGTTGTTTAATTGGTTGGGTAATGGGGTATGGTGTTTGGGGTATGGATTAAGATACAAATAATGTGTTAATAGCAGGCGAATAGTATGTTTGGTGTGTTATCACTTCTTGTTTGCTGGCGCACAATTGATGTTTTCATGTTACATTTCCGTATATAGTATATCCGAGAATCTAACGACAAGTCCATCTACTCATACATCACTTGCGCAAGTGTGGTGGGTTTCGTACTCATCTCCCTGCTAGATGTTTTCCAAAGCCTACCCTTTCTCTGAATAGGAAATCATGTCCCTCACCGAAAGGAACGAGGAAACATTGTCCTGGCAACTTCTTACCTCTTCATGAACCACTATCCTCGACCCATTGCCACTCATTCAGTTCCTCATCTGGAGTCAATCCCAACTCTTGTTCTCTAAGTCAATGCTGTAAGATTCTTGTTATGTAGTCTACACATTGTACTATAGCGGGTCCAAAATCAGACGATGAAGTTTTTGAGGCAAACACTTGCAAAGAGAAGGTAAGTAGAGGCAGGTTAAGACACGAGAGCAGCGCGGTACATATAGGACTTTCGCAATTCCATGTTAGGAAGATTTATACCGGTCGTTGGGCTTTGCATGCCTTGCATTTCCTGTGTTGCGAGATGCGCGTCTAATAGTGTACAGCGAGTGAATCTCCAATTCTCGCTCCCTAACATATAACTGTCCAAAATACCTCTTTCCAAGATTCATGCAAGATCCACTGCTATCGTCTACAGATTTCTAGAAATCAAGCAAGACATTCATTCTCGTCAAAGCCAACATAAGTTGAATTGAACTAGCGTGTAACATCGACATCAACCCTATGGAATAGACTATAAATGAGTCGGCATTAGATCCACCACATCCAAAGCCCCAAAATAAAGTCAAAACTCATCCCGTCCAGGTTCTCCCTCTCCCTTTCCTTACCTCCTTCTCGATTCACCTCACTGGCCTCACCTTCACGCAACTCACAAACCCAAAGCACCCACCATCCAATCACCATCTGATCGCAAACCACCCTTCCAGCTTTCCCCAAGTGAAGCATGAAACTAGCTTTTGTTGCACATCGCAAAAAATGCGATCATTACCTAATTGGGTATGGGGATACTTCACCTCTAAAAGGCATCTCAGGTGAAGCCAGCTTTTACTCATTTTGCGATCGCAAGCCTATTGGACAAATCTCCTTTCAAGCTTCACCTATCTAACCAGGCTTCACTTCCAAACCACAGCAATTCATAGCTTTGCGATCAAAAGCTGATTAGGCAAAAGTTTATCCTACTTAAGGGAATCTTACAAGTAAAGCTAGAAAAGAGATTTGTTACACATCGCAAAAAATACGATCGTTAGCTAAGTGCTTATCTCTATAAGTGAATCTTGTAAACGGAATTTGTCGTACATCGCAAAAATGCGATCGTAAGCTCATTAGACGGCAAGATATCGTAAAGCTTCTCTTCTAGACTTTACTTGTATATACAAATTCGTAGCGTTGCGATCGCAAGCTTATTGGCTGAAAGAGATTAGGAACTCTATCTAAGCTTCACTTCTAGAAGTGTCCAATGAGCTTGCGATCGCATTTTTTGCGATATACGACAAATTCCGTTTGCAAGATTCACTTACAGAGATAACTACTCAGCTAACGATCGCATTATTTGCGACGTGCAACAAAATACTATTACAAGCTTCACCTGGAGGGTGGTTTGCGATCGCTTGCTCATTGGACAGGAGATGGGTGGAAGGGAGCTTCACTTGAGAGATTTGCGATCTGGTGGTGATTGGGTGAAGACGGGTTCGCGAGCTTCACTTCAGAGATGATGTATGGAGGATAGGGTGGAGAGATGTTTTTATACTTCACTGTTATATAGTTGAAAAGGAGCAGACGAGGATATCGTGAAGTAGGATGGGAGAGGGATAAGTGCAGATATGTTTGGGGTTGGGACAGCGTAGGGTTAGGTGTATGAAAGTGAGCTATATGTTAGTATCTACACTACACTACTTTCGTTTTGCTTATACTTCGGTTCAAGTACGAGTAAAGATATATTATGTACTGTAGGTCAAACAGCCCTTAAGGCAGAAGGCACTTACATAACCCGGATTCCCACCTCTTCGAATTCCATTTCCTTCAATTTCTATGTATAAGTTATTATGAAAACCCTCCATCTTACATGGTTATCTCCCCCCTCTCTCCCCCCTCTTTAATATTACTGTAAAGGATACCTCAGCAGTGTCACGATCGACGCTACAGAGAATGAACGCAGTGAATGGAAGTGGGATGTGCAGTACGTACCAGCATCTCACGGTATAGTCAACCCGCCTACTTTCTCTGGCACCCTGAGACAAATCAGAGGAGTTATGATGTCAACAAGCTTATGCTTATGACGGAAGAAAAGCCATTAAATAAACCCCCTTGTCCTGGGTTCAAATTGTCATTCTTATTTTTCTATTAGATAACGTGGATTGGTAAATATCAATTGCACCTCCAACGCCAACCCCAAATCCCTGTCTACAGATAAACACCATCGCTTCTTGAAAACAAAGCACGAATAACCTCCACCACCACATCCAGCTCCAGAGAACAACCCTCGCGACACCCCCCCATACACCTGCCAAAAACCAACACTATCCCCTCAGCCAGAACCTACCACGCCCAAGTCCTAGTACTCGGCGGAAAGACCGGCGGCTTCCACTGGATCCTCTCAGGATCAATAACCCTCTTCGGCCTCACCTTGAACCTCTCCTTGAGCGCCTCATGCCTCTTGATCAGATGAAGCGGAAGAACAATCTTATGTTCGGCTTTATGATAAACCTGCATTTTAAGTGCTTGAAGGGTGCCCTCCACATCATTAGTAGTCATCGCCAACTGGCTTGCCAAGTTCTCGATGCTGCATCGTTCATCTCGCTCGTTGTACTCCAATAAGATCTCGACGAGATTTTCAGTCCAGTATTGACGATAGGATAGAAGACCGAGATCGGAAAGTGGCTTTTCGGGGGACCCCAGTTTCCCTTCGATTTTTGAGAGCTCGTAGGAGAATTGGATGAGCAGGCGTCCGTAACCTTTACGTTGGTATTGGGGCAGGGTGAGAATACAGGCTACGTTGTAGTTATCGGCACTTTCCTTTTCTTTGGAGAAGTAGCCGACGAGGTGGAAGCCTTTCTCGTCTTTAGCGGCCATGACGTAAAACAGGAATGGGTCTACATCGTAGTAGAGCGTTTTGTGATCAAGGAACATCTTGGATAGCAGACACAGATTTCGACACCAGGTTCGTTGTCTACGGCCGTCGATTTCGAAGAAGGAGACGTAGTCGTCGCGGTAGATTTCGTTTCCTGGGGGATGTTGTAAGGTGCACTTTTGACGATGGCGGGAGAAGGATTTTAGATCTCCGTAGTAGCAGAGACAGAATTCGCAAATATACATCAGATCTTCCTGGGTGAAGACTTCGGGGTAGGGAGAGAAATACCAGGGAAAGAGTTCGAATTTTCCGAATTGTACTTTGGAGATGTTTCTGATTCTTGAGATCTCGGCCTGATTTTGTGTCATGGATCCTCCGTGCCGTAACTTTTCTTTCTCTTGCTTGTTATCAAAGTACTCTGGAGCTTGAGATTTTGATGCAACCGCCTCAGCCACGGCCTCATCCACATCCATGGCATCTTCATCAGCACCAGGTGTCGCATCCAGGTCCAGAGCAAGAGTTATATCTCCCTCGGCATCAGGAGTAGCCTTCTGAGAGTTAAATTCAGTCCAGGGATGTGGAGTTCCCCCTTCAGAAGCAATTGAAGCCTCTCTTGTTGCCGAAGCGGTTGGTCGTTTCTGAGCTTTCTTGTTGGTGGTAGTTGTCTTTTTTGCAACGGGGACTGTAGCTTTCTTTGTCTCTTTGGGTTTCTCTGGACTTAGCCATTCGACTTCTTGACTGAAATCAATTCTAACAGCTGGCACCCATTCATCTAGACGCTTGTTGAAGTTGTCGAAGTTGCAGTAGAATTGACGACCACTTTTTGTTTCTTTTATGCTTAGGATTTCTGCTCTTCTTGGTTGACCATCCTATTAATATGTGTTAGCATCAATCTAGACATGAAGAGGATGAGCAGGAATGTATTGTATCAATATTGATCAAGTTTATATAAACCGAGTGAGATATATTTCATCAGAAATGAAAAGGGGATGAGTGAATATAAAAATCCAAAAATGGTGGTAACTCACTTTCTCAACCATCGCCAAACAGCCTACACTAAAAGGAGTCAGTCACATCAGACCCATCGCATGCGGTCGCAAAAGCGCCAAAAACTCACCTCAAAGTATCAATAGTGGCCAAACCCTTCACCTTCGGTGCAGGCGACGCACCCGAAGAGTCCTTCCCATGAGCGCCAGTCGCCATGATGAAAATCGCGATTTATCTGATGAGATACGATGGTTGACAATTGATTTCGCGAATTGTTGTTGATGACTTTCCAGTGAGCTCAAGCCTGAGACGAGGCTGGACCTTTCAAGGTTTAGAAGGCGATAGCGGGGTTGGCGTTGGCCACTCACTGAAAGCTAGAGCAAGAGCCAGAGCCTAAGCCTCGCCGCCACCCTTGCCTGGTCGGCTTCACCCATGCCCATGCTAAAAATCCAGCCGCGCAAAATAATTTCTACAACACCACCCGTACAGCCTCATCAACGACAACAAGACGATATCATGAGCAGGTAGCAAGACGCAAAGCCACGAATCCATCACGACATGGCGCCCGAACTATCCAGCAATTGGAAAAAACTACAAGCCCAATTAAAGCAAGAATCCGCTGCGAAGAGCGAACGAAAACGAAAGGGCATCCCAACAGAACGACAACAGAACACCATCGCAAAGCGCAGACGATTAGAAGGGAAAACACCAACTGCAACTTCCACTTCTACCTCCAAATCCATATCCGCTTCCACGAAATCCAGATCCCACGGAATCCTCAAGAAGAAGCGAAAAATGGGACTAGGAGCCAGCACAGAATCCCCTCCCGCCGAACCACCCACCACAAATCTAGCCTCCTGGGCAGAAGACAACGATATATCCGCACGGGATCTAGCAGACGCCTACGGCCCGAATAGAAATGGAAACCCAACATCCACCGCTTCCACGACGGTAGACAAGATAAATTGCGGATTAGTAGAAGACGTCGAGATAGGAAAATACATCGCATTAGACTGCGAGATGGTCGGTGTAGACGGGCCTCTCGATCGCTCTGTCCTCGCGCGCATCTCTATAGTGAATTTTCACGGCCATTTGATATACGATTCCTTCGTCAAACCAGAGGAATTCGTTACAGACTGGCGGACACCAGTTTCCGGGATCGCACCGAGGCATATAGTTACGGCACGACAATTCGACGAGGTACAAACCCAGGTTGCGGAGATCATGAAGGACCGAATCATCGTCGGGCACGCCATAAAAAATGACCTCGATGTTCTCATGCTCACCCACCCGAAGAAAGACATTAGGGATACTAGTAAATATCCCGGTTTCAGGAAATACGCGACAGGTAGGACGCCGAGTTTGAAGATTCTGGCGGCGGAGATCCTGGGCTTGGAGATTCAGAGTGGAGAGCATAGTAGTATTGAGGATGCGAGGGCTGCGATGTTGCTTATGAGACGGCATAAGAGCGGATTTGATGTAGATAATGCGCAGAGGTTTCCTAGTATGGCCAATGGGAGAGCGAGGGCGAAGGGTGGAGGAGGGGGAGGGGGAAAGAAGAAGAAGAAGGGGAAGCGTGGATGAGGAAAATGGAGGGATCAAAGGTAAATGGGGACTGTGAGGGTTTGGGAAGCATGGAGATGTGCTATGGAAATACGGATTATGTTTCCTTAAAGTGAGAGAAATTGAATCTTTGGCGAGGCCATTGAAGAAAGAGCATAGGCTAGGCGACCAAATCATCTGTTGCTCTGATCAGAAGAAGAGGGAAATGGAAGAAAAGAGGCTCCTAATTGTGTCCACTCGTCCATGACAACCTTATTTGCAACAGCAAAAGAAAATTGAAAAAAATTCAAGCTCCATCCAGTCTAATCTAACAAATAAATGCGTTGCGGGCATTTGAAATGTAAGATGACAAGCCCAACCTAGAAGTTCATCGGAGAAACGAGTGTCAGAGAAGAAACTGAATTGGGAACTTGGGAAAATGAGGGGTGCGAATTGAATGGGGTCTTAGCGAGGAGTTTGGTTGGGGGAAAGAAGTGTTTGAAGGGGGGGTGGTTGGGTGGGATTCACATGGGGTTTTTTGGGGATAATGAGTGTTTCATGTTGTATGTTTTTCTGGAGATGGTTGTGTGTGGAAGTTTATGACTGTAAGTATTAGGGGTGGAGGTTAAGGGTTATAGGTAGTGAGGGATTATGTGTTACTAGGAAGCGAGAAGTGAGAAGTGAGAAGCTAGAGAGAAGCGAAGGAGAAGAGGAGTATATGTAATATGGTGTTATCTGTCCTCTCTTTTATAAGTCGTAAAGTAATCTAGAATTACATTTCCTAATTACAAAATGAAATAAACAAATTGTATGGTATAACCAAAGCGATCGAAAACAGGAATACAACTTAGTTGGTCTCCCCTCAGATTATAAAGATCCGCATAAATAAAAACAAAGTAAATACATTACTCGCTTATTGTTATCCCCTCCCACTCAAAGAGGCTATGTCTACTCGAGTAGGTCTAGAGGCCAAAAGACATTAGGAAAACAAAACTTCCTGGTTCGCAATTGAGAAGAATGTGACCTTATATAGTCATTAGAATGATCTATGTATGTTTCCTTTCTCTTGGGAAGGTGAGAGGAGAGGAGAGAATAGAGATATGGGATATGGGATTCTGGCTCTATCTACTACAATTGATACAGCTCGATAGCTTAAGGGAATAGGTACTTATGTAATAGGTACCTTTTACAAGGCTGTAGAGAAGATCAATAAGAATCCGCTGGGGTACAGGCTTAGAGGACATCTCTATTCATAGCTGTAGCGATGGGTTGTCACCAACTCATAACTCAAATAGGACCTAGGCAGAGAAATATCCCCATCTCTTTTCACCAAAGCTATACCTTGCAACCAATTTCAGCATAGTCTTTAGAAATGGATTATTATCGTATATTTCTGTCTTCCCAAACAATGCGCCAGACCCCACCACAACGCCATGTAAAGACTCTCTAACATTCACATTTGCATGTGTTGTGCCATTCTATATGCATTAGATGTATGTAATCCGCCATCTGCGTCCTCTGCACGAGTGCAAGAGTGCAAGAGTGCAGTACACATTATCATCGTCTAAGCCATCGTTCGACTCGTCATCGTCATCGTCATCATCAACTAAATCCCACCACCTAACATCACAAAAAGGTCAGCAACCTCCTTGCATCTCGACTCCTTCCTCCCTAAGAATGTAAAGAAAAAAAGAAATAAAACCTACCACTCCTCTCCCCAGCATCAACATGATAACTGCCCTTAGCACTAGCCCTCTTCGCCTCGTCACTCCTCTGCATCACCGCCCGCCATTTCAACCCAATGAACAACCCACCCCCAAGGACGATGAAAATGGGGGTTCGTTGACGACTGGCACAGGTTAGTACGGAGATAATACTGCTATACTATGGGGAGCTCTCTTGCTTTGCTTTGCTTCCAAGCCGAAGCCTGCCGAGGATGTGCATGTGGATATGGATATGGACGAGATGACGATAAGGAACGTACGTACCTGAAGAATGAGCGGGGAGGTGGGATGTTTGGCATTGTGTTTTTTTTTTGTGTTGGATCTTTGAGTCTCTTGTTTGATTCTTGTAGAGAGACGGAGAGTGAGAGAGGATGTGAGAGGTGGACAGGAGGGGAATTGAAGGTCGTCGTGTGTAGACAGTTTTGGGGTGGCGATGTGTTGGGGTGAAGTCTCCCACCAAAATGCAAAAAGAGTTTCCCCCGCATGGTACCAAGTATGGTTACTGTACTCGGTAGGAGCTCGCGTGCTATCCGCGGGAGCTTTCCCCTTGGGGTTTTGAGACATTTATCTACCATGGAACTCTACAACGTTTTTGTGCTTATAAATTCTATTATAATCTTCAAGTGAGACTTTGTGGAATTAATTGTCTCGAAGTCAATAATGTTCTTTTTTTTTTTTTCAAAGCTAGGCACCAATCATTTCTTACTCCTTTCCTGACGTAGACATATGAAGTAATAATGCTCGGCATACAAGTACTCAGGAGATAAACGGCCGCCTTGGCGAGGTCGGTGTCATGTTAATTCGGGCGGTCAGTTTGGGATGAGTTCCTTTTAAAGTACTTCATCAAATCCTCGTCACGGCGTCAATTCTCCAAAGTCATGGCACGATAGCTTTCCACTTTGTACCATATCCTTATCTGTTTACGATATTGTACGAAGTCACAAGTCCGAGTCACCTTTCATTACAACTCGTTATCACAACAGCCACGCTGAATTATGCGGGGGGAAAAATGCCCGTGGGCGTGAGGCTCTTATGGGTCCGAAACCAAGCCACTTGCTCAAGTTACCAGACTTTGGAATTGGCAATTACTTCTGTCTTTGACCGCCCAGTGACTTGTCATCACATTTTCCTCTGATATCTTGGTTTCAGGAGTTGTCATGATTCATCGCGCGCGCTTCGCTTATTGCAGCCTACTTTTACCGCCAGGACGCATCTCCAATCTCTCAGTCACCTCCCAAGCTCCTTCCACTTAAGGGCCTCTAAGGGATAGCAGATTGTGTGTATGCACATGGGCCTCACGATAAGTATCGTTTTGGCATGTGTTTATTCTCATTCCAGGTAGTCCTTGCGATGGTGTTGAGTAGATGCATAGTATCTGAATTACTCAATACCCTCAACACCATCAGATATCATGGAATTCTTTGAAAATGAGGGCATCGCCGTCGTCCGAAAGATTACATTCATATACGTTTGGTACCTGCATGTTCTTTGCAGATAGTTGAACGGAAAAATTCAATTTCATAGGCTCTGGTTTGTAGCTGACGTTGTGGTTGCGATGACCTTCCACTTTCAACCCACAACCTCCAGGAGGTGTGGCACACTTCGGATATTTTCATCTGGAGATATTTCTTTTTCCCCTGATTCATAAGCACTGCCGCATTGCATTCCTTTATTCCGCCAATTTAGGATATTAATTTGTTATCATCATCAATCGTATCTTCAAATCTGTATATCCACAGTTCATTCACATGAAATACGGTACTTTGGTACTTGCAATCCGAAGTCGGCCAACCAGACCAAGCATTGTTTCGGCACTTATGCCAAGCTCTGAAACTACTCACATGTCGTAATGATTGGCCATGCCAGGAACCGTACCTCGATATAAACTTCTTTTATATGCCCACTCGGATGCTGATCCGTCCCGATTAGGAAGGTCACCAACCACATCCTAACGCCCAAATGGATTTGACCACATTCTTCGATTCCAACCCCAATTCGAATCGGGAGAACGTGCGCTGGCTATTAGCTTATTTTCACTACCAGTGTAAACTGAAACGCGAAGCTTAACGAACCTACGGCAATGATTCCTCATGGGGAAGCTCGGTAATTACCCAGCAACTCCGAGGACGTGTTGTGAAGGCCATGAGGTTCAATCGTTGGATAAGAAAGATAGACTTGAGATCTTATCGATTACCCTGATAGCTTGCTTTGCGGGGTGAATTTGGATGATAGGGAGTGGGATGGATACCGCACTATCTTATCTGTTGGAATGGTCTCCATTGAGGATATAACTTGATGGATATCCCCTCAAAATCATCATGAGCAGAAGCATCTTCTCTTGCATTCAGCATCGATCTTCAGTCTCTTCTCATCGAAAGGTTTCAATTTCAGTTGTTACTCAAAGTCTCTCACAGACTTTTGTAGTTTAATCAACTTTCATCATGCCTTCTATCAACTCCCTTCTGGTTCTCGCAGCCAGTGTTGTCACCTCTCTCGCTGTTCCTCTTGACGGTCGTTCAGTCCTTGAGGCTCGCGTGCCACCTGTAAGAACCATCTTTCTCCAATCGTAACCCTTTGATATCCACGTCCTTCAACTTTCTTACCTTCTCGGTTCACCCGAGCCCTTCCCAAGACGATCATATTCAAGCTCAAGACCCTTAACTTATTGCCCTCAAGAATCACGACATTCTTTACATCTTAAAGCTTATACACTAACCCAAATAAATCACATAGGGAATCCCTACCGCAGCAGCAGCCAGAACCCAACTCGCAGCCCTCACCGTCGCCGCCCAAGGCCCACAAACAGGCTACGACCGCGACCTCTTCCCAACCTGGAACACCATCTCGGGAAACTGCAACACGCGCGAGACAGTTCTCCAGCGAGACGGAACCAACGTCGTCACCTCCTCTTCCTGCGCCGCAACATCAGGATCATGGTACTCCCCATACGATGGAGCGACTTGGACTGCAGCCTCTGATGTCGATATCGATCATATGGTTCCCCTGAGTAATGCGTGGAAGAGTGGTGCAGCAGCTTGGACGACTGCTAGACGTCAGGCTTTTGCGAATGATCTTACCAATCCGCAATTGTGGGCTGTGACGGATAATGTGAATCAGGCGAAGAGTGATCGTGGTCCAGAGGAGTGGAAGCCTCCGCTAAGTATGTTTCTTGCTTTTTCCACCTTTGTGGTTTGGTAAAGACGACTGGAATATTTGCTGATACTTGAATTAGCCTCGTACTACTGCACTTATGCTAGAGCTTGGGTTAGAGTCAAGAGTGTTTACTCTCTTACCATCACTAGTTCTGAGAAGACCGCTCTTACATCAATGTTGGGCACATGTTAAATTGGTCCTCTACTCATGATACGCCTTTTTTTTGTTTTTGCGGTACGGAGTGGGATTGAGGAGCAATTAATTTTGTCTTCTCGTGCTTGGCTGGAATGGTTTGAAGGTGCATGGTTTCGTTGCATTGGATAGTTGGCTTGGTCGGCTTGAATTTAAAGGGTTTATATCATCTCCTAGATTGAGATGAGGGAAAGGCGGAATAGGAAGTGATAGTACCACTGAAAAATGTGGTCTCTTCAATGAGGAATTCGGAATTGGCTTTTCGGATGGACCACAGATCCTTTTGGTGATGGATGGATGATTACGAACATTGTACATAGGTAGCTGAAATATGGAAATCATTCACAACCATCTGCTTTTTCCTGTGATTTTACATTCATGTATATGTCCGGTCGCTCGTTCTGCTACTGTAGCCTCTCGTTCTTGTTCTCTCGTCTCCGTGCCTTTATTGTATATTGTCCTTTAGAGCCCTCGCTTTTTGAAAATCCTCTAAGCGAGTGGCACAGTAAGTGAGTGTTACTGCGGTGGTGAATTATATTCTTTCTTCCTACGAGAGCCAGGAGAAGTATGTGCAAATATAAAAGCTTTCCATGGACCGATTGTATATCTCGAAAGAAAGTTTTCTCTAGAAGAATATAAACCTTGATATCTCATAGATACGTAGATTGGACAGAAGCTTCGCCACTAACACTAACACTAACGCCACCTAACAACCTAACAACCCGATACAAATATACTTCCTCCAAATCTCGAATATCTCCCACATTTCCTTCCTACCAACAAAACGACCTCGATCCCCCTCCCTCTTTCTTCAATATCGCCCATCGAAATTCCCACCATACCGTACTCTCTCTTCCCCACATTGCCGCCCCGGGCAAGCCCCAGTCCCAAGTCCACGTGCTTAAACTCTCGCTTCCTACTGTACTGCTTCTTATCTCCCTTATCTGTATACCAAGACACTATCCATACTGAGGGGGAATTAGGGTTTGGGTTTGAGGCTTGTAAACTTATACAAGAAGAAGTAGACTCCACCTACCCCACCCGTTCCGTTCCGTTTCGTTTCGCTTGGTACTGTAGACGCTCAAGAAAATGAGTGGATTGAGCCGGATATTAAGCGAAGGGCGAAGTGTGGTTGGTGCTGCTTGCTCCACTGTAACCAAGACATCAGATCTTGAATTTACGGAGAAATCCCATGAGTCAAGGTCTAAGATTTGTGGGATGCGGCTTGAGTCGTTTTCTGTTTATTTGGTGTAAGAGGGAGGGCCAAGGAATGAGGAATAAAGATTGTGGATTAAATATGTGGTTAGGAGTGGCTGGGCTGGGCTGGGTCGACCCAAAGTATATGATTGAACATTATCTGAAGGAGATAGGGAATGATCACTCCCTCCCTCTCTCACTCTTATACGCCATATAAATAACTTTTGAACTAGTGCGAGGGTAGGAGGAGGGAGTAATAATCAGATTGATAAAATCTGAGAATACTCATTGAGAATACTCATTGAGAATACTCATTGAGAATTATGTTTGTATTGTATTATTGTATACCACAGTCGAAAACAGACATGAACTTGTAAATGCTTCTTCATGCACTCAATTACAGAGAAAATGGTAAGTGCTGTGCTCCAACTAGTGAAATCAATCCGCCAATTAATCCCACATGTGACATTATCATACCAAGAATAAGTAAGTAGATGTAAATACCACGAACCAATGACTTCTCAATCACATTCACAATTACAGAAAATCCCTATTTCGATTCGGCAATCCTAAATCAGATATCCAAGTTTCCATCACCACAATTAACATCTAATCAAACTTGATCGCCCCATAGATTTGATTGTATTTATTCCAGAGAGATTCTGGGGTTTTCATCACATCAAAATAAAGGACATTATATATACCACGTCGCACGAAAGAGAACCTCCAAAAAAAGGGAGAGCTCTTAGGCAAAAATCCCAACATTACAAACCACAAAGAAAACCCATAAGTAGATTATCAGGCTTCGTTCCCATTATACTAATTTCTCATTTCTAAATCTTCAAGTCTTGCCGTTCCCAATCTACGCGAAGAGTTCTAACTTCTGTCCTATCCCAGAAATCTAGCCTAGTCGCTCCTTCCTTAAGTCACTTAGGAAATTATTCGACGAGAGGGGTTCCATCCTTTGCAGATTTGGAGGAGATGCTGGGTTTGAGGTGGAGGGAGTGGACTTGGGGTATTGATGGTATGCAGATGGCGAGTAGGATAGGTCAAATACCCCTACATATCTCTAACGCAGCATTATTCGAAAGACTCATCATTGGTCTCATGAACTGATCTCCTCTTCAAAAGCGTGCAACATTCCCACGTCAAAAAACTCGATTTTAGATGAATCTCAATTTCAATTTTCCACCAGCCCCAAAAGACGCCATGCTAACCAGTGAAATATCAACATCTTCTACAACAATCTACCTGCATCACTTCGGCGCCTTTCCCTTCGCTTCCGTCTCCCCAAGCTCCCGAATATAAACCTTCGTCACCCCCTCTCCACTATAATCCTCCTGTCCATTCTCGAAACCCGGACAAACCCCAATAGCCAAATACTTGCCATCACACGAGAAGCACAGCGCCGCCACACTCTGAGGATACTTCTGATACTGTCGAGTTCTCCTCTTCGCATTCGCATCCCAAAGTGCTACAACCCCATCCCCACCTCCAGAGGCAAAAGTTCCAAAACCGGGATGGAAAGCTAGTGCATTGACAGGATACACGACGTCTGCTCCTTCATTATCGGGGTCTGGCTGGCGATGACATTTAAAGGCGTATTTTCGCGCTTGTGAGTCGGCGGAGGGATCGAACCATTCTACAGCTACGCGGCCCTCGATGCTGGAACTTGCGTAGCCGTCAGAGTTGGGCATACAAGCTACAGCTCTCGTCATGAATTTCAGTGAGGATTCGCGTTGTTGCCATGGAGTGAGTTCTGTGGCGCCATTGGATTGGGAGGTGGTTTGGAGAATGGAGGTGAGTTCGTAGATGTAGACTAGACGGGCTGCCATGGCTACTACAAGTTTGGATTCCGTGATGGAGAGAGAATGGGGTTTTGCGGGGAGAGTTATGGTGGTTGGTTCGGCTTGGGGGGTGTTGAGGGTGTGGAAGTGGAGGGTTGAATCCCACGATGCTGAGACTAGTAGTGCTGTAGATTCCCATTTTAGAATCATCATGTAGATGGAGAGAAGGGGAAAGTTTACTCACAATGCTCCTTACTGTACACCACCGACTTCACAGGCGCTCCGTGTGTACTCAGTACCGTCTGTTCCCCAGTCTCTAAATTTATCCTAACCACCAGAATTAGTCCAGAGCTTCTACTGAGTATATCATAGCTTCTTCTCACCTCTTCACCTGCCAATCCATTCCTGCAGTAAAAGCCTCGTTATCGTCGGCTCCGAAACACACGTCGAGGACTGGCGCTCGGTGTTCATACTTTTCGATCAGCTTCCCTCCGTCTTCTTCGCTGGAGATATCATACAGGTACGCATGTTTATCCCACGAAGAAACCAGTAGGCGCGTTGGGGAGCTCGGCGCAAATTTGACCGCGGAGACCGCGTCGGTTGGAGGTTGCGAAAGCTCGTATTGGATTGCTGGGAGTTATTAGCAATTGGTATATTACACGGGGAATGGATCTGTATCCGCAGTTTTGGGAAGAACTTACTGGGAGCCATTTTTAGGTATGAGGAGATCGCTTGGTACTGGTGAAGCTGGAAAGTTGATGATTGTATTTACTTTCGCGCTTCATAATTATGCCGTTTTAGCGGTGAGCAGAGCTACGCTGGAAAAAGGTACCTTTAAGGTTAATTCAGAGGGCTGTACTGTGAACTTTTGAACAATAAACCTTAACAAATTGTTTCTGCACAAATACACAACTACAAAGATTTCGATCGACAGAAACATATATTCACCCAAGTTCTGAGAATTAACAGGTAGTTGATGGTTCCTTCTCACAGCTACTAAAATACCATCCTTTGTAATCAACTCAGCATCCTCAAAGCTACCCCGCCACCACCAACTCCTTCTCTGGCTACATCCTAAGAACAACAAATCCAACCTCAAAATGCCATTTGCACAGCTTGTGCTAGGAAGCCCTGGAGCAGGGAAGAGCACATACTGCAATGGAATGCACCAATTCATGTCTGCGATAGGACGAAAATGCTCTGTCGTGAACCTCGACCCCGCCAACGATCATACCGGCTACCCATGCGCTATCGACGTCCGCGATCTAATAAAGCTGGAAGAAGTAATGGAAGAGGATGATCTCGGACCTAATGGAGGAGTACTGTACGCGCTCGAAGAATTGGAACATAATATGGAGTGGTTGGAAAAGGGATTGAGCGAACTGGGCGAGGATTATGTACTTTTTGATTGTCCCGGGCAGGTGGAGCTTTATACACATCATTCGTCGTTGCGCAACATATTTTTCAGATTAGGGAAACTTGGGTATAGAGTGTGTATTCCTTCTGTGATTTGGGATTGTGGTAGGTTTTGTGCTGACTCTTTTGTAGATGGTAGTACTTCATCTTTCCGATTCTTACTGCTTAACCCTTCCTTCGCTATACATCTCGAATCTAATACTCTCTCTACGAGCTATGCTACAAATGGATCTACCGCATCTAAATGTCTTGACCAAAATCGATAAACTCTCCTCCTATTCGCCTCTTCCCTTCAATCTCGATTTTTACACAGAAGTACAAGATCTCTCATATCTCCTGCCACATCTGGAGCAGGAAACAGCCGTCGGATCCAAGTTCGAGGGTCTCAATACCGCTATCGTCGATTTGGTGGAGAGTTTTGGTTTGGTCGGTTTCGAGACTCTCGCGGTAGAGAATAAGAAGAGTATGATGCATCTCCTCCAGGTTATCGACCGAGCAGGTGGTTATGCTTTCGGCGGAGCGGAGGGAGCAAACGATACTGTCTGGCAAGTCGCAATGCGAGAAGGTGTAACCACAATGGATGTAAAGGATGTTCAAGAGCGCTGGCTCGACGCGAAGGACGAATTCGATGAGTTGGAGCGGAAGGAACTGGAGGAGCAGGCCAAAGCTCGAGACGAAGCTGAACGGGCAGCACAAGCCAAGGAAGAAGATGACGATGATTTCGATATGATGTCCATGCCACCTGGAGATAGTGGTGTAAAAGTTGTTAGGAAGAACCAATGATACCCTCCTCAGTCATCGTCACTGAGTTCCTCGTCCTCGCTATCCACTGCGTCAACCATGGTGATATCGTTTGTCGCATCGGCCGCATTATTCTTTCCCCCCTTTCCAAAAATGTTGTCTAGTGTTGAGTCGCTCTGTTCGCCCATCTCTCTTCTTGCCATAATGACAATCTCCTTTGCTCTTCGAATTCCTTCTTCCTCTGCCTTCCGAATCGTCCCACTGACTCTTACAACCCTGAATACACAGTTTTTCCCATTCTTCACCGGTTCCTTAGTCATAAAGGACAACGCCGCCCATGCGATTTGATAATGCGATCGCGAAACTCTTAGGATGAACGTCGAGGTTGCTTGCGAAAAGTATTTTACTATTGAAAATACCGGTTAACTCAATACTCCCAATCTCTGACACACAGAAATTATATACTACTTACTCTGCAGACTATCCAGTACCGCCCCCGACCCATAGTCCCCAAATAACTCAAGAACCTGCGCGCGAATCGCTTTGAGTAGCACGTTTTGATCTAATGAGCTGGAGGTTGGTTGGTTGAATGCGACGACGTCTGGGATTGGGGTTTTCGAGGTGGCGCTTTCTAATTTAGGGTAGAGGATATTGACTAGGAGGTAGCGATTCTTTATGCGAACCATGGTTGCTGTAGGGTTGGTTTTGTTGAGCTTGTGGGCTTGTGAGGTCTTATAGACGCGGTGGTACAAAAGTTTTGGAGACGCGATGCGACTATTTTTGGGGGGGTGTGACGTTTCCGGAGAGAGAAGGTGGGGAAAAGGTTCGTGTTTGCTCTCGCCAGTTAGACACTTTTCTTTTCGAAATTTGTAAGAATATGTAGCAGCAATGTAATATAAAACTCAAAATTTCGATTTAGTTCCAAATTAGTCAATTCCGAGTCTCTCAGTATTTTTCACATATTTTTCTGACATAGGTAGAGTGAGGAGAATGCCTTCCTATACAGGGTATTCGATGTGTAACAACTAACGGACATTGGATATTTCCCCGAAGTTGCACAAGAGACTCACGTCAGCGAATATTGTACTTCAAGTACTCACTCGAGTCCGGACTTACCGTACAGTACAACTATACAAAAAAAGAAGACAAACATCAGAAAATGTCGGAGTCCAGTCCTCTTCGTGCGGCGATTTTGATCGTGTCAACGACCGCTTCGAGAGATCCCTCGACAGATTCTTCGAGTGCCATCTTGACGTCGGTCTTTGAGAATGAGGGGTCCGGTAAGTGGAAGGTTGATGTGGTGATGATTGTCGGGGATGAGGTTTTGGATATTCAACGTGCTGTTACGGCTTGGTCGGATGGGGTGAATGCTGTCAATTTGATTATTTCGACTGGTGGGACGGGCTTTGCGGTTATGGATAATACTCCTGAGGTATGAGTTTCTCACCAGCTTTTGCTATATGTCAAATTCCGTTGCTGATAGTATAATAGGCTGTTACTTCTCTCCTTCATAAACAGGCGCCAGGACTTGTTCATGGAATGTTGGCTGCTTCATTGGCGATAACTCCTTGTTAGTATTCTTCAAAACGTTGACTCACAGAATCATAGATGGCTGATCAGCTGATTTTTTAGTTGCTCTCATGTCAAGACCAGTGGCTGGTGTTCGGAACAAGACGCTCATCATCACACTTCCCGGATCTCCGAAGGGAGCAAAGGAAAATCTTCAATCTATTATAAAACTACTTCCACATGCATGTCAACAAGCTGCTGGAGCAGACTCAAGAACCCTCCACGATGGAGGTATCAAGAAGTTAGAGAAAGAAGCGGGAGTGAGCGCTTTCTCAACTCCACCACCACCGTCATATAGACACACCCATGATCACTCTCATGGACATTCCCATAGTCAACATGGACATAATCCAGGCCACGCAATGCCTATCCGTCATACTGTTCCTTCCGAATGGCCATTATCAAACGATCCCAGTCTAGGACCAACTCGAAGGAATCGTTCTTCACCATATCCTATGGTATCAGTTGAAGAAGCCATGGGTATCATAAAAGAGCATACCTCATCGCCACTGGTAGCCTCGGCAAAAGTCGACGGAAACTTGGTTGGATCAGTCCTCTCCGAAGATGTCACAGCCACTGAAGCAGTTCCCGCCTATCGAGCAAGCATCGTAGATGGCTACGCTGTGGTTGCACAGAACGGGGTCTCGAGTAAAGGCATCTTTCCAGTGGCCTCCGTATCTCACGCCACACCAGGAGAAATCAAGCCTCTACGACCGGGAGAAATAACACGCATCACAACCGGTGCTCCTCTCCCACCTGGTGCCAACTCTGTCGTCATGGTTGAAGATACCCTTTTGAAAACCATGACCGAAGACGGAAAAGAGGAAAAAGAAGTCGAGATCCTCGCTTCGGACGTGGAAGAAGGAGAAAACATCCGCGAAATCGGCTCCGACATTCAGAAAGACTCCCTAATCCTCCGTAAAGGCGAAGAAATCTCGGCCATTGGCGGTGAACTGGGACTTCTTGCATCCGTCGGTCGAGCCACCGTGCAAATCTACAAGAAACCAACCATAGGCGTCCTCTCGACCGGCGATGAAATCATTGAGCATTCCCGTGCTGGTCCTCTTGCTCTGGGTGAGGTCCGCGATTGTAATCGTCCCACCATCATGTCTGCCATTCGCGGCTGGGGCATGGGTTTCAAGGTCGTAGACCTGGGTATTGCTCGAGACGCGCCAGGTGCATTGGAAGAAACACTTCGTGAGGCTTTGAGGAAGGTTGATGTTATCATTACCTCCGGCGGTGTCTCTATGGGCGAACTTGATCTTTTGAAACCTACGATTGAACGTTCTCTTGGTGGAACCATACATTTCGGACGAGTGTCTATGAAACCAGGAAAACCAACAACCTTCGCTACGGTACCTTGTAAGAATAACTCCGGTGATCGCATCACCAAAACTATTTTCTCCCTACCTGGGAATCCAGTCTCGGCAGTCGTGACACTTCACCTCTTCGTTCTTCCCGCGCTGCATCATCTCTCTGGTATCAAGCCAGCAGGCTTACCGAAGATCCTGGTGGAGTTGGGTCATGAGTTCAGATGTGATCCTTTGAGGAGGGAGTATCATCGTGTGGTGGTGGTGATGGATGAGAGAGGTGTTTGTGTTGCCACTAGTACTGGTGGACAGAGGAGTTCTAAGGTGGGCAGTTTGAAGAGTGCGAATGCGTTGCTTTGTTTGCCTGTTCAGAAGGAACTGCTAAGGAAAGGAGACAAGGTTGAAGCCTTGCTTATGGGGAGGATAAGGAGTTTGTTGGATGGGTTTTGAGGGGCAGTGGGTTGGTAGGTAGGTGGGTGGGATTGATTGTTACGAAGGGCGGGTGGAATCCTTTCATTATTTCTTTTTGATCAGCTAGCGCATGTAGACTTGTAATGATTTCAGCTCTTCCCTCATAGTCTTCTCGTAAGATTGCATCTATGTTGTGCTTACTGCTAAGCGAATCCTTAAATAAAAAAAACTTCCTCAATACAGAAATAGTAGCTAACATGTCCCTTTTCAAATCACAAACTTGTTAATTAAAAGTAGTGAATGATTTCATGTAACCACAGAGCGAACCCCCTGGCGGTGAGCTTTGCCTATTATCATACTCGAATCAAAATCGTGATTCGTGTCGCTTCTTCCAAGCCATGGAGTATTGACAAAACAATTGATCTTGGGTATCGCGTATATCTGTTACCATGGAAACTGCTTTGCGAAATCGCGATATGCAACAAAAAAAAGGTTGTAGTTTTCTTGCTTCACTTGCGAGGATTCACTTGAAGTGCCTCAAAAAGTAGGGGCTGGGAATGAGCAGCTTGATGTACGGTACACCACACAAAGAATCAAGCACCAGAACCCAACCTCCATCAACCACAGTGAATCTCAGCACCCCGCCCTCTACCGCACAGCTCCCCCACACGTATAAACCAATACCCCCACCCCTTTACGGAGGGAAAAGTGGCCCAGGACCTACCCTACACACCTCTATAACCCAAGATAACCAACCCCCTAGCAAATCCACCAATTATACACCTGTTGGTGGTACCCTAGGTAACTGCAATGGCCCAGTGGTCCGACCCGACAATGCCCAAAGGTTGTACTAGCCTTGTACAATCTATAGTACTTACCTATAAGCTAAATAATAATGTAAAACTCAGTTCGTCTGGTTTTAGGTCCGTTGCGCTCTTTAGATGGGAGTTGGATTTTTTTGGACATTTTTTTTTCTGAGTTAGGAGGGAGGAGTTCTTTTTTGGGGGTTTTCGGAGGGGGCGGGAGAGGGAGAGGGAGAGGGTTGGTTGGTGGGTTGGTGATAGGGTGTGGACAAGTGAATTGTGGCTCGCTTAGTGAATGCCGTTGAGCGGTAGAGGGTGTATTTTACGTACCGAGGGAAACTAAGCAAGCTTATATATATTATTTAATCCAGTAGATCACTTGCCCATAGCAACGATCTATAATCAGTAGGATTGTTTCACGCTTACATAAACGTTTCTTCCTAAAGAGAAGCCCGTCCTTTGTTAGAAGTATAGAACAAACTCTCTCCACAAAGTAACGTACTAAATTCTCCATACAAATCACACTGTATTATTTGGGCGCAGCCTTCGTCTGGCAGCCTGGGCTTCACTTGATAAGGTGCGAATAGCGTTTTTAAGAAGCCCATTGTAGCTCTTCTTCACTGTTTACAACAATAAACAAGCGAGTCCTATAAGTATGAGGGGAAGGATGAATGTGCTCAGGGAGGAGATATATTTGGAGGAGTGTTGATGCGTGATACTCGTTGTCAAGGGTCATTTGTTAATCCGGTTTTTGGGTAAGGTGAGGGGGGAACAATGGGGTTATTCCAGTCTTTGGATGGAATGGGATCTTCTTGGGGGATGGGGTGAGATGGGGTGGGTGTGGACTTTGTTAATACTATTCTCGTTTATATACCTTGGACTATCTCTTTCATCTTTACTTAAATCTACTTATAGGTTAAAGAGACTAGAGTAGAGTATATTGGTGTAGATAATATCATTTATGTCCTTTCTTTAAATCGTGCTGAGCGTACTTAGGCTACGCGGGGCAATCCAACTCTACCTCGCTTGGCAGCCCCTTGTACGCAGAACATAACAAGTGACAAACATCAACTCCACCACCCCACTCTTCAATCCAGCATAGATCCATAACAACACTATCCAACAACACCATTTGCTTTAGGATGGAGGGGAAAATGCGGCATTCCAATTGGTCAACTGAGGTAGTGGTAACTCATCGCATCCTCTATCACCAACTGCACCAACAACAACATTACCAACAGTTTGTTGAAAAATCAAGCTACTGATCATGAAGTTCTGTTCTTCCCAAATGTCTTACTCTCCTCATTCCCAAACGTTTCCCAGATCTATCTGAGTCCATAAATCGAAATCGATACATACCACAAAATCAAAGTCTTCGTAAACCATCAAAACCACATCACCAGCCTAGACTTCAACATGGCATTCACAACCCTCAACGGCTTCGCACTAGTAAAAGGTGCAAGTGCCCCGCATCTCTGATTCCTCTTCTCAATCCCCCCTTCCCCACTCCCCCCCCTTCCAGGCCGGCGCAGGAATAGGTCAAGAAGTCGGTTTCGCATTCGCAGAAGCCAGGGCCGCAGGCGTACTTTTTGCAGACCTCAACCTCGAAAACGCCACTGCAAACGCTGAGACGAGCAAGGAGTACGCCAGAAACCCATCGTATTTTGCGTTAGCGATACATGTCGATGTAACGGTTCCTGAAAGTGTGCAGGCGATGGTGGATTTTGAGATGGAGTCTTTTGGGAGGTTGGATTATTGTGTTAATTCTGCTGGTGCAAGTTCTCTTTTTTCCTTTCTTCTTTCTTTTATGAAGTTATTCCTTCTTGTTATCAACATCTCCCATCTCTCTCAACCCCCAAAGAGTCTCAGCAAGACCAACCCCTTACAAATAGTAGGTAGGAGCCACCTCCCTCCTGGCCAGCAAAGAAATCGACATCGACAATTTCGACACCACACTATCCATCAACGTCAAAGGCACTACCATGCTGTGCGCCCGCGCCGTCTCTCAAGCCATGAGCACCCAAGAACCACTTCTGCACCAAGGCCGCCATGGAGAACGCAGTCTCAGTTGGGGATCTATTGTTAATATGGCGTCGGCGACTTCGTTTGTGGCGGGTCCGAAAATGATGGCGTATGTTGCTAGTAAACATGCTGTTATTGGGATTACTAAGACTGCTGGTGAGTGTTTTTTTAATCATAATGGTCTTTTTTTCCCCTGTTCTTTTCCCTTTCTCCCCCCCTTCTCAAAACCTCTCCCCTCCCACCCCAAGAACTAAAACTAACCCACTCCCCACCCAGCACTCGACAACATCCCCCACCACATCCGCGTCAACGCCCTCTGTCCCTCCTACGTCCACACACCCNAACTAACCCACTCCCCACCCAGCACTCGACAACATCCCCCACCACATCCGCGTCAACGCCCTCTGTCCCTCCTACGTCCACACACCCATGTACACCCGCAGCCTGGCGCGGGTGCCCGCACTAGGGAAACTCCTCGAGCGCGCGAGTCCGCTCAAGAGACCCGCGTGCGTGGAGGAGGTGGCGAATCTGGCGGTGATGATGTGTAGTCCCAGTGCGAGTTATGTTAATGGGACAGGGTTGTTGGTTGATGCGGGGATGTTGCTTAGTGCTAATGTGTGAGTGTATCTCTGTGCTGTGAAGTTGCTTAGGTATATGGATTGTGGGCTGGTGAGTAGACTGTTAGTAGTGAGTAGGGTGTTGGTGGTGTGAGGCTTGAGAGAGATTTGAAATTTAGGATGGTGTTGTGATTTGTTTTGGTTGCTAGGGTTTTGGAAAATGCATGTGTACCTTGAGGGTACCAGAGAGGTGAGAGAGTTTAGATAGGGGTTGAGATATAGATATCACTAGTTTAATATAGCTCGTCAAAAACACAAATCAGACATATTATAAAACAATTAACTACTTAATTACTAACTACTTATAAGTACCTAACTACCCCCTTGAACCCCTCCCTCCTAACCCCTTTCTTTCCTTCTCCCTCTTATCTACACAATCCCCCTCTCACCTCTTCCTTACAAGCCCCCCTATTCCCTATTCTCTACCCTTCTTGCTTCTTACCTACCACCTCCTAACCTCCCTCCCTCTATCCACTAATCCAACCAACACCACTCACCTTCATACAATTTCCCCATCATCTCAGAAGAGGTAGTTCTCCTCCCGGTATCTTACAGTACATCAAATCAAGTCGCTCGTAATAGTACTTGCACCACTACCTATACCCACCAACTCAGAACATCCTTACTTTTTACCAGCTACTACAATAAGGCCGTATCTTCGTAGGATTACTACATCACATAATCCCTCATAACCAATTCCTGTCCTGTTATCGGGATTTTGTTTTGTTGTACGTGGTAGATATCGTGATTTTACTTATTTTGGTGGGTATCACGTTATGGTGATGTGTAGACTGTAGCATGTAATCTTACGGTGTAATATATACGAGTAGTTCTTGTGGAATCCAAGGTCAGGTAAAGGGAGGGGTTCTTATACTTCTTTACTTTCTACGATATGTGAGGGTATGAATGAGTAAGACATCTGTAGTAAGCGGGGGTGGAAATGTTATGAAAGGATGGTGGTTAAATAGAGAGAAGGTTCGAGGGGTATTGCTTTAGATAATTGGTGAAGAATTGAGTGGAATTGGAGTTCGTGAGGAGTCCAAATCAGGGGATATTACCTTCTTGCTTCGTTGGAAATGGTTCGTGTTAGTATCTTATTGCAGTTTCTGTTATTGCTGTAAGTAAGTCTTACTGTACTCGAGTACCTCGCTGAGTGCGGGGTCACAATCCTCTACATTATCGGATCTTACCACGACCGCATAGAAGTACTCGTAGATACCCCTCAAAACACCTACCTACCAGCCTACCAATCAACCCCACACCACATAACCCACCTTCCATATCCCCAATCCCCATACTTATCTATCAATCCATCCCCAACCCTCCAAATCGATCGATTCGGACACTCAAACCCATCTACAGTCCGAAAGCGAATTCAAGACGAATAAACAAGCATCCAACGCGGGCATGCCATGGATTCCATGGATACAATGACGTGTTTGCTGCAGAGTAATATATTCCTGCATCAGAGCACAAGAGATGGAATGTCGGGTACAGTAGGGATCGGAGGACGGCCCAAGCTCCCGATACCCCACCATGCCCCGCAGCTCCTGCGACTTCTTACATGTCGTGTTGTGGTTTTGATCTTGAAGACGCTGATGAAGCGAGGGATTTATGTTATTGAGATTCCTTAGATCTGAGAAAATTACTGAGTAGTGAGATGATTGGAGTCCCCCACTTTGGGTAGGGGAATAGAGGAGGTAAGTTGGCTTGGTTTGGATAGGAGGACTGGAGGAGCTGCATGCAGCTGGAAGCAAACCACACACAGCATATCAAGCTACGGGGAAGGAATATCCAAGAAGCAATTCTCTGCGATATACAGTACAAGTACCGTAAGTAGTTTCCTGCTGGACATGGTTAGAACTGCATATTTCCATCCCCACAAAAGTTCGACCGACATTAAGTTCGCAAGTTTGCTGTTCCGGGAGAGGTGAAACGTACTAGTTCTCCCTCCTAAGAAGTATCAGGATAGGATCTTCGAGAGCGTTGGGATAATGCGAGCATCTTATTCCTTGAGAATGGGAACGCTTGAATTGATGGTTTTGTATACAGGCTGGACTCTGGAGAGGATTGGTGATTTGTATAGGTACTCGAGGTGCTGTGAGATACTGTACGAAGTAGATCACGCGACATGAAACAATCCCAATCAATCGGTGAGATTTAATCTAAACGAAACTTGCCGATCTCCTCGTCGAGAAGAAATCGAAATGTATTGTACATTTCCGGCCAATTAAAGAGAGCTTTTTGTAGACGACGGATGTACGTATAATACTATATCGAGTACTCGTAAGTAGTAGAGTCGAGTAAAGCAGGTAAGCTGTGCCAGACCAGCATGATGCAGTCGGGAGTGGTCGATTTCAATGGGATATGGGAATGGGTTGGGTTGGTTGGAAGGGAAGGTACCATCGTGGCTGGTTGTACATGAGGATGTACAAATGTGCTGTGCCCATTCCCATTCCTAATCTTTCCCATATCAGCGTTGCATCTGGGCTATTTCCGTATTCCATTATCTTTTCGTCTATCAAGCTTCCTTCTCATGGTGACAGCTACTACTACTTCAATCCTCAAAAGACTAGGTACTGCTGTCCAAGCGAGCACGGAAAAAGGGGGGATGGAAGGGTAAGGTTACTGTAAAGCAAAATATAGTGTAGATAGTAGATCGTAGATGTAGTATGAAACTGACTAGCCAACATGCCACCAACACCTATCAAGAACGCTACAAATTTAGCTTCAAACTCAACGGAAACTAGCTCTACTAGTTCCGTCCCAGACTCGGTATCTGGTAGATCACAAGCATACTTCGGTATGACGCCAGCGCTCCTCCTTATCCACAACTCTTCTATGGCTGGGACAGCAAGATAGTCCACGCCAAGTCCACACCAAGTCCAAACACACCACCCTCACAACCGCACTTCCACACCCATACACACCCACACCCAACACCCGCAAAGAAATCCTTATCGCTGCACCCAACCCTCCCGAGCATCTCGACCAATGAGCCCACGTGGAATCTTGTATAGGCCAAGGAGCAAACTGTGGAGGCAGATATAAAGCACGGCCTACTATCCTACCTCATCTAGATCCGAACTGTCACTGTCTCGATTTTCCGTTTTGGCTACTTTTTTTTTATACGCCGTGGAGATTTATATTGGATTTTTAGATTGCTTTTCCGACGGGAGACAACCGGGTCGAGGGCGAATGTAACGCTACGATGGCGCCTGAACACGTGCGTGAGCAGTTGGACCTGGATCTGCGTGGTGCTGGTGTTGGTGCGAATCAGTTCAATTTGGCTAGTTCGATTGCGGATAGGATGAATGTGGTGCCGGGCTTTAAGACGAGTGCTGGTAAGTTCTTTTCTCTCTCATTTTTATCTTTTCCTTCTTGGATTATTTTCTGCTCTGTAAGGAATCATTTGTTGTGGTTTGGTGGTTGTGTTTTGATGTCCGCAAAATCTGTGCGTGCAGAAAATGATCCCGGTATTTTTTTTCTTTGCGACCTCAATTTCTCCGTCCTCTCAGTTGGAGATGGGTTGCAACAATTTTGGCAACTTTTCCTCCCGCAGTCTAGTGATAGACTAGAATCTCCAAGGCTCACTTTAAAGAGAATACAAGCTGACAACTCCCTCATAGCATTCTTCACCTTCCTCCGCGCAAACCTCGTCCTTCCCGAATCCTCACTCCATCTCGACTCCAATTACTCAACCCCAACTCTCTCGCCCTACTGCTCTCAAACTCTCCCACCAGTTTATACTCTCCCTCCCTCCTCCCTCTCAATAGTCTCCACTGCACCAACCTCGCTTATGTCACACTCACGATCCTCATCCTCGTCCTCGTCCACATCCACAAAATCAAAGCGAACACGCACTCCACCCCCTAATCCACTTGACGACATCCCACCCCTCACAACCACAATCCTCACATCCGACTCCGACAAAACCGCCGCCTTGAAACTAATAGCCGACTCAATCGCACAACAACGACAATTCGCCGCGCGCTGTATCATCTTCCATCCCCTCACAATATCAATCTACATCCTCCTCCTCGGCATCACCTCGAAACTTCTCTACACCCCGCAAAATGGCTTCGCGGTCGTCGCAACGACCTGCGCGGGCATCACCATGACCTTCCTAATCGCCATCCGCGGCCTCACATCCCAATACCTCGTCTACGCCGAACAAACCACCTGGTCCTTCCTCCAAAACCCAAACACCGGAGAACCCGACCTGGTCCTAGGTTCACACTTCGGCAGCACCCTCATCGGCGCGCTCGTCCTGCGCTTGGAACGTAATCCCTCCTCCCCAACAACAAAAAAGCGCGGGGGCGGGAACAAAAGTAAGAATGGCGGACAAGGAATTATCCGCGCGTGGACGGTCGGCTTGCGGTATCGAGGAAAGGGCGTGGGGACCGAGTTACTCGAGGAAGCGGTTAGGATTTCCCGAGAGAGGATGGGGATCAGTGCCGAGGTGGGGTTTGCGAGGGAACATGCGAATGGGAGGTTGGTTGCGCCAGAGATGTTTAATGGGGGGTTTCGGGGGAGGGAGAAGAGGGCTGCGAGGTGTTTGGAGAGGATGGTGGGGGAGACGAGGAAGAGGTAGGGGAGTGAATAGGTGGGGTGGGAGATGTCAGTTGGGGGTTGGGATTGAGCTTGAGATTGATATACCCCGGGGTCTCTTGTTTTTTTGCTGGCGTATGGGTTTGGATATAGGTAAATACCGTGGAGTGGATTTAGCTTGGGATTGCACTGTTTTCTATAGATAGAGAGATAAGATTCTCGAATGTCAATAGCTGTGTTTGCACTTATCATGCCCTCTCGGATTTGAGGTCTCCACATTGAGATAAAGAGTGCGGTAGAGTCATTGAATCGCGATTTGTAGAGGAAGTTATATTACATTCCCATATACTATAACTAGGTAGAAATAGTAGATATCTATTACTCCGTAAGTAATAAACACCTATAGTTCAGTACACACACACAGTCTTCACTATCTACGGAGTATCTATCATATATCTATACACCATATGTAGGTACCTGGGTACTACGTACCTTGCCCGTTAGTACGAAAGTATAAATCCAAAATTAATTAACTTTCTTCCTTATCAAAGTTCCCCACTTCGCTAAGTACTTACTCCACTTCTACTTCCACTCTGTAGTATGGTATAGTAGGTATAGTAGGGATAGTAGAGTAGAGTAGAGTAGAGTGTATCCGCTTGAAACTATGTGTATCGCTAAACAAGACCAAATGAAAGAGGGAATAATACTGTTTATTAGGATTTGGATTATAGATAAGCTACTTTTTCGTTCTTTATATCCCGCTAGCTATAGTATTTATCTTTCCTCATCCAGGTTAAACGTCATTATTTTCTGAATCTTTGTGTTGTGGTGCTTCTCCTGGAGGATATTGTTGAAGTGGCACAACTTTCTTTACTAAGAAGTGTAGAGCAAACTCGCTTAGATAGTAAAACCTCTTCTAGCGTGCGAAGCTATAAGTGAGTCTGTAGATTTATTCTAACATATATTCTAAAGTATCGTTAAAGAGAATAGATCCAGTATATCAGAGTCAGATTTCGATAAATTAATACAGACCCCGAATTACTATCTCCCTAGTATCGTCCACATAGCTTTCGCTACCATCATTTATCATTCGCTACCATCATTTATCATTCGCACTCCCTTCGTCGTAGCTTATAGTACAAATCACCGCCTACACTTACACCCAATACACCCCAAGTTCCCACAATGGAGAAAGTTTGTTACTTTCATAATATATACTCCTTGTAATCAAGTTAATCAACTAACCAATCTCGCTTATCGAACTTCATCTTCGCCTATTGATATTGAACCCCTTACTATAAGATCTTACTATAACACCACGATATTATAACACCGTATCTATGATAACTACAATTATAATTGAAAGCTACTTTGAAAAACATATAATACCGAATGTCTCCCCACTCTATACTATCGCTAATTAACCTATATCCGTAAGTCTTATATCTTATCCACAATTCCACAATTCCACAACACAATAACCCGTCCACCATCGCACAGTACACCAAACCAAACCAATCCCATCCCAATTTATCATTTCCCTCCCCCTTCCCACTCACAAAACCCATCCACCACTACCACCTACTGCTCAATATCTAATTTCGCTACCCACCCAAGCTACCACAACCCACTCTTTCCATACATACAATACAATACAAAATCCCTTTAGGTTATTCTTCGATTATGATCTGGAATTTAGATGGCTGAGCTAGGATGCTATAGACATGATACTTTTGACAGGAGGATATGGATATAGAGGAGAGGAGAGGAGTTGAGATATCGAGGGCCCTTAGAATATGCTAGTATTAATTTATCAATGGAAGTATATAGGGGGGCGGGTATTAAGGTGTATTATGTCTGTACAAGTATAGTACATTTAAAGGATTCCAGTACTCTAGTAAGGATCAGGTCAGGATAGGGTGTCAAAATTTTGTTGGATATTTGGAAGGCAGTGGAATCTTCAAGGAGCAGCGTTCGAACAAACTACTTAACAATTCGAGTGCTACTCGAGTTATTCAAGGAAAAGTTGAGTATGTACTACCATTTAACTTAACTCAATTCGTTTCGAACGCTGTCAAGGAGGTTGCAAGGACAACAATTCCATTACAGAACAATAAATTTTACTGTTTGTTTGTGATAATACTCCTCATAATTAGGTAATTTTTACAATACTCGTAATGTCAACTAAACGCCCGACAAGGTATACCACCCACCCAATTAACTGCCACATAATAATACAGGGTATAAGCAAATCAAGCGTGATCTCAATTAATCCATGCCACGATAAGAAATCAAAACTTGAGTCGGCCCTCCAAACCCTCCTCCACACAACTCCTAATAGACTTGGCCATATCCTTCGAGAAGAATGCTGCACCAAGTTCTTGACTTGTATACCAACTAGCGCGATCCATATTTCCACTTCCCAATACTACAATCCCCTCGTCCACAATGGTAAGCTTCATGTGAGCCTTCACCGGTTCATTTCCACCTTTACCTTTTGGTCTGTAATAAGCGATATCCAACGTTCCCAACTTTGGTTCTTGAATTTCGGGATCGGCAGTGAACTTTTTCTGCTGGACGCATCGAAGTTTGCTGTGTCGACGACGCAGCTTCCAGACTTCGAATTCGGTGATTGTTCCAGCTGTCACTAATTGTTCCTGGGTCATAAGTTTGCAGCTCGTTTGGATGCGGATATTTACGCCTCGTATGAGAGCTGAGAGGAGGGCGCGGATGACGGCACGGGCTGTGAGGTTTGGGGTTTGGATGAAGATCTCTTGACGGGCGGTTTCGAATATATGAATGAGAAATTTGTTGAGTGGTGTGTGAGGAACGATGGGAATCTTGCCGAACGGTCTGAAGTTTGGATTGCGATGATGAGGTGAGGGAAGGAGGATTGTAGTAATAGGTGCGGATTGTGAGACCGATATATGTTGTATCAAGTTGTTCACCTCCTCCCCATCTGCTGGTTTTGAGTTTGCGGCCTGATCCTCGTTATCCTCCTGCAAGAGATGAGGTAAATCGGTATTCTTCGACCAAAAGGCGACCCAGAAATAAAACAGGGCCTTGCATATCTCTCCTCGAAGCTCTATACATCCCTCGAACCAATCTTCCCAACTGACATTGCAACTAGGCATGAACGCCAGTTTTCGATCAACGAGAATAAACTTGGGGTGTACAACACTGAATGGTCGCACAAAAATGCACTTCACAATCAAATCCAAACCCATCAAAAGCGCTGGTGATGGAAGTCCAAGCTCCATCCACATATCCGGCGGATACACCTGTCCATCCGGGCTAGAGGTTCCAAACAGTTTTTGCATCTTGGAATGAGAAGAGAAACAAAGACGAAAGTGGATCTTCTGGCCCTGTGCGAGACCTTTTGAGGAAAGCTTCTCGAGTAAAGTGCCAACCATTTTTCTTGAAGAGGAGTCGGCCCAGAAACAGGTGACCAGTATCAATTCGTGGTTCGCAGAGACACATTTTGGAAGGACGTTGGAAAGAATCTGTGCGCCGGTTCCTACTGAGAACTTTTGGGGTTCTGAAGTGGTGATGAGTTTATTGATGTCGGCTGTGTAGTATGTTGTAATTTCTTTAGTGGTGTTGGACTCTCTTTCCATCTTTTCAATCCAGCCTTTTATGACTGGATGGGAAGGTGAGGCCATGCTGGATCGTGTCTCCGACTTCTGGTTGCACGGAGGGGTTTGAAGCGTGGACTTGACGGGGAGTTTGGGAGAGAAGCAATTAGAGCAAAGGCAATGTTGTTTCTTGTAGAATGAAAATGGCGAGGAGCTATGGATTCTTGTTTGAGAAACACCGGTGGTCGTGGATTCCTAGTGTAAGTCTTACGAGTGTCGGTACAGTATCAACTCGGTAGGAGCTACTGTATGAGTAACTCCCGCTTCGGGGAAAAGGGGGTAGAATCTACCTAGGTATTAGCCGGGGTGATCCTTCGCTTCAATCTGAATAGGCAAGCACGGCTTTGAGAATGAGTACAAGCTAGGCTCTACCTGCTCTTCTTAGTGAATAGTTGTAGGGCCATGCTGTGTGTCTCCCAATTGGTATGGATATATTTGTTTACTCCAGATTTTCTGTCAGACACGATTGTCGGTTGTGTTCGTACGTCCTTGTCTTGTGTATATATGCACGTACCACACCTATGATGCAATGCTATTTCTGTTTGTTTCTAGATAGTAAAGAATAGCAGGATCGGAGACTTGATTCGGCAATTGAAAGCGCTGTCCTTATGGACTTCGGGATTCTGAAGTGGTCCTTTGGTTCTCTTTTCTTCTATCAAATTTCCTGAAAAGTGAAAGGCGATACGTGGTGTTGTTAGTTTCTTGGGCCTGCACTGGGACATCAACCTCGGCTCATTCCAATCAGAACTCCGTAAGTAGCTACCCATAAACTTTGGATTGCCACCACCACAACACCATAGTCACAACTACAACTACCTACAACTGCCCCACCGCATCTTCCAGAATTGTTCCTTCGTCGCATATTTCAAAGAACACTCCCCCCTGTATACAGACACGTCGAGTCTTCCCATCTGCAAAAATGGCGCCGATGAAGGCAGTCAGTTTGCCTATGATCCCCCTGGCCAAAGATACCGTCCTCCTACCCGGAATTGTCCTTCGAATTCCTGTAGGTGGCAACCGCTCTGATATTCCAGCTCTTCTTTCCAATATATACAGCAAGGCATCTAAGCGGACAACGAGCCAACGACTTGACAACGTCAACGTCGCCTGCGTACCCTTGACGTCGAATTATTTGAACAAACTGGGCCAAAGGATGATTGCAGAAAGCGACCAGAGCAGGCCAAAGGAACGTATGGATATAAATCCGGCGAGTGCTACGAGGGAGGATATATTTGGATATGGAGTTGCTGCGAAGATCTCGGGCGTTGAGGGAAAGGGAACAACCGGGGAATTCGCATTGCTAGTTGAGGGGATTGCTAGGATCAAGATTGAAAGAATTACACAGGAGCGACCTTTCTTTGAGACGGATGTCACTTACCTATATGATGATGGTGAACTTATCTCCTCTATCTACTCAATAACATGTTCTAACATCTTACAGCTATTTCCGCAGAAGACGTTGCCGTACAAGGGCTCTTTGCCCACCTTAAACAACTATCTCGTGAACTCCTTACTTTGCTTCGCCTTTCCTCCCTCTTGCCTCGAGCTTCGGGGACACCAGGTCTTTCCCCCATGCTCGCTAGACGGCTGGAACTATTTATTGCGAAGAAAGGAATACAAGATGCGGGGATATTGGCTGATTTTATGACAAATATTGTGGAAGCTTCATTCGAAGAAAAGCTACAGGTGCTCGCGGCCTTGGAGGTCAAGGATAGATTGGAGAAAGCAATTGCTTTATTACAACGCCAGATTGGAAACATTAAGAACAATGTCAGCATCACCACATTCACAAGTACGAGTTTCCCCAACATCGACCTGGATCAGATGAATAAAAACAGCAATCAGCGCTCGAGAAGGATCAATATGCCCGGCATTGCCGGAATGCTGCCTCCTGGGATGGGTGGTCCTTCTGAGGAAGACCAGGAACCAAACGAGGTCGATGAATTGAAGAAGAAAATTGAAGAAGCAAAATTAACGGCTGAGGCAGCCAAGGTTGCAGACAGAGAACTGAAACGATTGGGAAAAATGTCCCCAGCACAAGCAGAGTACCAAGTCACTCGCAATTATTTAGAAACTCTGGCGGAAATACCTTGGACAGCAGCCACAGACGACCAGCTTGGTTCGGATACTCTATCGCGAGCTAGGAAGCAGTTTGATGAGGATCACTATGGGTTGGAAAAGGTCAAGAAGCGTTTGTTGGAATATCTTGCGGTTCTGAAGCTCAAGCAGTCCATAAACAAGGAACTCAACACAGAACTAGCCAAGGCAGAAGAAGACAAGGCAGTGGAAAAAGTCGAGGTTCTGAAAAGCAAGCGCATGATTGATAAATCACCAATCCTTCTTCTAGCTGGCCCTCCAGGTGTTGGCAAAACAAGTTTGGCAAAGTCTGTTGCAAATGCTCTGGGAAGAAAATTTCATCGTATCTCCCTTGGTGGAGTGAGAGATGAGGCCGAGATTAGAGGCCATAGGAGAACTTATGTTGCTGCTTTGCCAGGTCTTATTGTTCAGGGTTTGAAGAAGGTTGGAGTAAACAACCCTGTTTTCCTCCTCGACGAAATTGACAAAGTTGGGTAAGCGTATCCGACTCTCACTTGGCGATCGATTCTGACAAAATATAGAACCTCGAACTTTCAAGGTGATCCATCAGCAGCAATGTTGGAAGTCCTTGACCCTGAACAAAACCATACTTTTATGGACCACTACGTCAATATTCCAATCGATTTGAGCAAAGTGCTCTTCATCGCTACCGCCAATAGCCTAGATACTATCCCTCCACCTTTACTTGATCGTATGGAAACCATCATTCTGTCTGGATACACAACTCTCGAAAAGAGACATATTGCACAGCGGCACTTGATTCCCAAGCAGATACGTACTAGTATGTTCTCCCCTTCCGAGAAAAAACAAAACCTCTTAACACTTCCATAGATGGTCTCGGAGATGGACAGGTCGAGTTCAACCAGGACGTTGTATCGAAAATCATCGAGTCTTACACACGTGAATCAGGAGTTCGGAACCTTGAGCGTGAGATTGGCTCAGTATGCCGTGCTAAGGCTGTCGAGTATGCGGAAGCGAAAGATACGGGACATGCAGGTATGTCAAGTACTCTCAAACTGTGCATGATGACACAAGCTGACACGTTTTTCCCTCAGAGAAGTACAATCCTTCGTTATCTGTGGAGGACATCGAGAACATATTAGGCATCGAAAAGTATGACGAGGAGATTGCGGAGAAATCAAGGTAATTATCTTCCTGCTTCAGTCTTGTGTTACCTGCCTTGCCTGCTTCTCGAAACGTCTGTCACTGTCCCCATTTCGGGCTTACAGATCAGAAAAAGCTCCGAAACATATCCACTAGGAGAATTTAATTGACAGTATTGGTAGTCGTCCTGGCATCGTGACTGGGCTCGTGGCGTACAGTTCGGGCGGGAACGGGAGCATACTTTTCATCGAAGTGGCTGATATGCCGGGTAGCGGCAGTGTGCAGTTGACTGGAAAGCTCGGCGATGTCCTGAAAGAAAGTGTCGAGGTGGCACTGAGCTGGGTTAAGGCACATGCCTATGAATTAGGATTAACCCATGATCCTGCGGAGAATATCATGAAGAAGCGTAGTATTCATGTTCACTGCCCGTCGGGGTCAATACCCAAGGTAAGCCAGCTCAATGCGTCATAATACTTGAATTTCGTGCTGATCATGAACAGGATGGACCCTCGGCTGGTATGGCACATACCATTGCCCTGATATCCTTGTTCTCCAACAAAGCTGTCCCACCGACAATAGCAATGACTGTATGTTGATCCCTGGTTTCCGTCTTACTAAATGGCAAAAATGTCTCAGTCACCATTAACACTTTTGCCACAGGGTGAGATCTCACTTCGTGGTCGTGTCACGGCGGTTGGGGGGATCAAGGAGAAATTGATCGGGGCTCTTCGGGCTGGTGTCAAGACTGTGCTCCTACCAGCTCAGAATAGGAAAGAGTAAGCTAGCTGCGTTGATCGGATCTTCGAGATTTGGTTGTGCTAACGAGTGATTTTCAGTGTCAAGGAATTGCCTCAGGAAGTCAAGGATGGGTTGGAGATTATACATGTTAGGTTAGTACTGCTTTCTTTCACCACTTGGGAACTGCTTAATAAGTTTTTTTTCCAGACATATCTACGAGGCTATGCGCTATGTATGGCCCGAGGCTCGTTGGCCAGGGGAGGAGAAGTTTGCTCTTATTGAAAGTCAGCTGTAGGAGAATTCGAACGGTAGACTGGGATATCCATCCCAATATTTTGCATTAGGAAATTGACGATTCTCATGAGCAGTCGGTGGGCGGGATTGAGGTACATGTGGCGTATGTAAGTATGTATGTATATGTACGTGAGAGGATATCAGTAAGTACATAGTCAGGGGCGGGTTCTTGAATAAGAATGACATAACATATCTGAGGACCGTACTACCCTATTCTCCTCTCTGTGACGTGCAAGATATCAACTTCTCGCCTCTTCCTTGCCTCTACTACTTTTTTGATCCTTTTTTTTCTCTCTGGGTTTTCGTCGTTAGGGTGATTCTCTCGCCTTGTTTTTTGGGGGGAGGGAGGTCGTTCCCGATGTACTGTACTGTGAGATTCATATGGTATTTTTTTACCTTCTTGTCTTATCTTGTCTTGCCTTGGGGACACGACATGTGGGTTTTGGATAAGGTGGGCGAATTGGAATCGAAACTGGAACTTCGATCTCTTGGGGTGCTGGTTGCGAATGCTGTGCTCTAGGCTTTACTTTGGTTTGGTTTGGTTTCGTTTGGTTGACCCCTTTTTCTTTTTTGGTTCTTTTGAGTGTGGGTGTTCTTGCATGTACATGTAATCTTACACTATGTACACATTGAGGTTTATTATGGAACTTTTGGTACTGGGAGGTCTGAGGCTTCGTTGATGGATGGGTGGTATGTGTATGTATTTGTGGTGCAGATGTGGGATTATTGCAGGCAAGTCATGTGTGTTTACAGTAACTTGTGGCGTGCCAAGGTGCTGGAGGATTTTGTGTGTGCGTGGTTTCCACGTTTTCTCTTTGTTCCCTTCGCATGCTTTTCAGTGGTAAGGGGTATGTGGTATGGGTTGTTGGTGTGGCGTGCTGCGCAGCACATGTACTGTACCTTATGGACTGTACCTTATGGAGTGATGGCGATAGCGACTAATGTTTTTCTGGCTGTGAGCTGTGGGGGTGGCTCTGGTGGTTGTAACTTGTGGTTTGCGGTTTTGGAGGGGGGTAAAGTGGAAGGGGAAAAGGGGTGACATAGGTAGTTGGTAGATTCTGTCCTTTGATGTGGACGTTTTTGTGTCTTCTGGGTATTGGTATTAGGTGTATTTGGGATAGGGTGTGAGATATCAGAATTATGTCTAGTATGTATACAAACTCACGACTACCCATTACTTCCCATCTTTTTGACATATTCTCGTCTTTTCAAGGACCTCTACATCCCCATTAGGTGGCGGCGAATCAGGTTATGGGGTTGATTCACGATTCGTGTTGGGCAATGGGTCAAAGGTTTTTTATGTATACGCTCTTGATATACCCGAGGATTTCCTGGTTTTTTTTCTGGAGTTTATCGGGGATTTTGTAGTAGGGAAATGTGAGGTTTCTATTAGGAAGTCTCTGGGATGGTAGCTGTGGTAGTCTCGGGAGCTCAAACCTCATTTATTTTGGTTCTTGGATATTTTTGTTAAATCAGTTCTCAATGTTGGGTTGTTTTGCCCCTTTGGTTGTGGTTGAGGAGCGGAGGGGGTTCGCGTATACTGTGTAGAAGAAATAGGGATATGAAAGATTGTTTAGCATGTTTTCTCCGGTTTGAATCGTTTATTGGTAGATGGTTTGTGATTGAAGTCGTTTGATGGTTGTCATGTAATAGAGTGTTAAAATTGTTGCTCGGTGAAAACGTGGATCGTGGGTGCTACAGAGCAAAAAGGTCTTGCCTCAACAGCTGAACTACTATAACTTTGTAATTTTCTGGCATTCTTTTAATCAAAATACTGCAGGTTTTCTTCTAGTTACAAATGTTTTATCAATCAACGCCTTTCGCTAAAACAGGGATACAGAAGAATTTTGTTTTCGATGATTCATTCGGTACAGCCATTGGTAAACAGTTCACTGAGAATAACCTGCAATGTCACAGCCTTAGGACCTAACAGGTGTAATAAAATTGGGCGAAACTCTGGACACGTAAATAAAACCCTATTATACTAGAATTCCTAGAACAATTAACTTATTTGTTCCAAATAACTTTAGGTTAATAACGATATATTAATTTGAATTATTCCAAACAGCTCTTATAATGAATTTAGTTGTACTAGGCTTTTGGAAAAATACATCATTCTAACCTAGGTATATACAGAGTTTAGCCCAACTGTCTTACATAAAAGGTCAATTGTCTTACATAAAAGATCAATCTCAATGCCGAGAAACTTTCACTCTATAACTTTTCTCTGTCTCGGACTAGTGGCAAAAAGGCAAAAAGGGCGAGGGTCTACAAGATTCACGTCATAAGGCTCCTCAAACAATCGGAAGTCGGTATATCCCTAGACTCCGCCAAAGCTACAGTATAAGAGTATCAAAAAGCTAAGCTTTGGAACAGAAAAACATTCCGGGAACTCCATACTTCACGTCTAGATAACATTAAATAGAAACGCCTCTCTAGACATCGGTAACCATACCAAAAGAGGAAGGATACGAGCCCAAACTTAGAAGTAACCTCCTCACCAGATGATGTGTTGGGTATAGTGTTATATAGTTCGCTCCCCTATGCTACCCAATCCTGAAGGATATACGCCGCTGACTTACAGTAGACACAAGGTACCCTGTAGACTCCAGGTTTGACCCTTTATTAAGGCTCAGAGCCGGCAGAAGTATATCTTCCAACCACCATACTTTTAAGCGGGAAAGTTGCCGAACCGCTGTCATCCAATCGTCGAACCACTTTAGCTTTCAAGAGATACGGCAGTTCCTACAGTGTTACACTTTCGCTACGGAACCTGTTTTCTCCTAAACTTTGAGCTTACTTTTACTGTGCTTGATAGGGTGGGATGAGTGACGGGAAGCGGGTATCAGATAATCTACCTTTTCAGCTTTGAACAGATTGAACTTTGAGTTGAAACAAGTACGTCTACTAACTGGGTAGATCATAGTACATTTGTGTTAAACCTACCCTTTCATTTTCCCAGAAAGATCACTCCTCGCACCCTAGGATCAGTGTCTCTAAACGGAATTTAAAGACACAGCCGCTCCCTATCGGGTAAAGAGATTTCACGAACTCCTAGACCTAGAGAACATCCAACAAGCTCCATCCTTTCAACGGGAAAGGAGGTACGGGGAAAGGTCCGAAACGAGATGTTAGTCGCCATTTCTCGTTGGTGGCAACAAATGCATGTCATATCCTGCAGATGAGGGGAAAGGACGTCACGTACAGGCCTATCCCTTCAACCTCTCAAAAAATTCTACGAGATCCGTGTGTACCCCGCGCCATTTCTGCACCTGGTAAACTGTATTGATGAATAGTTATCTGCCGTTCTTGGTACTGGACAGGAAATCCCCGGAATATACGTGGTACTGTATACGAGTAATCCCATCCGTGAGGTTATTGAGGAAAGGAATCTGAACTGTTCCCCCGTTGTGAATGGATGCGAGGTACTTATGTCAAGAGGCTTACACGCAGGTAGTATTACTCTGATAGAAAGGAATGACTTGGTCCTTTAAGAGGGCCATGCAAGTTGTTCAGGATCGTTGACTTTTGTGGCAGTTAAGTTAGTTAGCTACTACAGTAATGAGTGGAGAAAAGCCCAAAAAGGACGCTGTAAAGGTTAATTCCAGAAAATCCTCCGAGAATCCAACATTAGTTTTGACCTTCCAGTCTCGCTGTCACTCCGACTCAACCATGATCTACTTCATCAACTCGACAACTCGCCATAAACAACGAAAACAGGCATAACAAACAAACACAAGATTCCCCAACTCCAACAAACCAAGCATCCTAACCCTCAATCTCACATACCCAATAAATCCCCCCTTTCCCCCCTTCCGGGAAGTCAGACTCCCAAGTCCCGAACAAAACCAACAGCCAATCCAGTACCCAATCAGAAGAAAACTAGAAAACGAAAAGAAGGAATAAGCAAAAAAAAGCAGTACAACTATACACAAGCCGCTATTCCCATTCGCTTACCTTCATCTCTCGATATCATGCCAGTCTGCCTAGACGACTGAGACATGCAGGTGGTTTTCGCCAAATGTGTTGTACAGACATTGGGATTTCCTGATACTCTTGCGGCTTTAGGTTCCGAGATAGGGGAAACTTGGGAAGGAGATGGGGGCTTTTCTACTTTTGTCATTGTGCTCGTGAAGAATTGACAAGTTGGAACGCCTTGTTGGAGGTGAGGAATTTCAACACTTTTGTCACACATCGAGGAATGCATTTTAGTCACCATATAATCAAGTTCAACTACACACAAATCGGCACGAATTTTCCATCACTCCCCTTAACTTCATCATCGATATCATCGGAAGACCAAAATTACGCGAATCTAGCCTCACAACAGCCAAACAATTCTCAATTTCGCAACATTCTAGGAAATTATAACAGCTACTAGTTCTAGTAGTCTCCGAGACTTCGCAGCCACAAAACCATGGCGACGCGGCGATGAAGATACCAAGATTTGCGATCCCAACTTAGAATCTTCCTATCTTAGAGCATGTTTGGCTCGCGAGGCAAATACTTTTGCACTATACAAATAACTTTTGTATGTAATTCTTTTATACAAAGATTCGCGACTTTTGCGACTTTTGCGAGGGTGGCTGGCTAGGGAATATTGTTTTAGATTAAAATCGTCATAAATCCGGTGTAAATCTAGTTGCAAAAGTTTTTAGATTTGTACTACTAAAATAAGAATATAAAAGAACTGAGGCCTAAACCCTTTAGATCTTTTTGATTCCTGTAAATCTCTATGTAAATCTTTACGTCCTACCCCCTTATAGTGTCCCCTCCTACAGTGTCCCTCCCTATAGTGTCCCCTCCTATAGTGTCCCCTCCTATAGTGTCCCCTCCTACAGTGTCCCCTCCTATAGTATCCCCTCCTATAGTATCCCCTCCTATAGTAGCCCCTTGTAGAAAGAAACAACTGACTAATTAATAGTCGTAAAGCAAAGGCGCATTAGGGGGGTGGGGGGGGCGCACCGTAGGGGGGACACTATAAGTGTGATACTATACAAGTGATACTGTAGGCCGGGCTAGGGAGCGAGGGACAAATATATAAGATTTGCACCTAGAATAGAATACTTTTGCAGCGAGCCAAACGGCAGTGCATATGTTTCGTCAGATTAGTACAAATTGCATGCAAATCAAGAAACTTTTGTATGAGCCCTTGGGTCCTAGGACTGGTGCAAAAGTTTATGATTTGCACTAACATTTGCACCATTCTAACTCGCGAGCCAAACATGCTCTTAATAACCACAAAAGGAGAAATATGCAATAGTACACTCTCATCCAAATAAACAAAATATCAGACCAACCTACTCCTTCAACGAACCAATTTCCAAAAATGAAAAGCTTCAACACTCATCCAGATTCAGAACTTTCATGAGTCGAAAAACAAAATCAAATACTAAGAATACATAGAAAACACCAGCACTATTAAGACCAGTAAAGAAAATTCAACAAACTTGTTAAGTATCCAAGTATCCAAGTTTCCAAATTCCAAGTAAGCTAATAAGGACCGAAAACCCCCAATTTATTTTCTCGAATACCTATTCCTACCTCTAATACCCCCAAATCCTTTTCATCAGTTCTTATACCCTCACTAGAACTTCCAAGTCATATCCAAGTAAGCGAGTAGCAGGACGACGTATTTCCCATTTACTACAGTGCCATAAACCACTCAAAGACATCCCTACAAACAGTACACAAGTAAAAACAAACCAAAAAAAAAACATCAAAACTAATATCGAACATAAATCTAACCCACACTTCCACTATACCCAAGGATCCCGTCAGATCTTTAATTAAATAGCTCTCACGTGCTTTCAACAACTCTTCTCCCAAGTCTCCAAGTAAATCATGTATATCAGAAACCTGATATTTACATCTATCAAAAACCCAATCTCCGCCAAAATAAACCCATGGAAACGAGGGGACTCAGATCTTAAGGTCCTGATATGTTAACAACAGTCTATAGCTCAGAACGTCACACTGCAGATCTAGCGACCCACAAACTCGCCCTTGAGATAAGACGAGAAATATACCGGGAGATCATATGAACACTCCTATGTAAAGTACACCCGCTCGATTTAGTGGGTGATTAGTATATCAGATGATAAAACTCCTACTCTATAGGTTCACGGAAAATACTGTGGTCTTCGGGAATTCCTCATGTACAAGTCTCTATTTACAACTTCTGAGTTGAACTGAAGAATGATATTCGCGGAATGAAGCCTGATGAGGAAATGTGAGAAATGATTATTTGGTAATCTATACGTTCGAATTGAGGATTGAGGTGTTGATACAAATGATAGGCCGGTTTGTGAAGGAGTTGTGTTGTTGGGAGATGGTGGTCTATGGTTAGCTGGGTTGCTAAATATTCCATACGGATCGATATAGTTTATACACAACTTACACGAGAGTTGGTAGAAGTAGAAGACTAGAGTTAGCCAGACAGGGAACCAGGTTTGTTAGAGATGGTTTACTGGTTCGGGTACTATACCTACAAACTCCACACTCCTTCCAATATGCGATCCTTTGTGGCAGCCACGTTGGCGGGGTTTAAGCCACATCCAACGAATGGCTGAATTGTCGAGTCCAATATCCACAAACTCAGCCACCTCACACGACATTGAAAAATTGGAAATGGGTGAAAATGGCGTATGAGTGGCTCATCAAACCCGTTCGAAGATCGCTCAACGATTTACGATCTGAGCCGTGAATCAATCCTCCCTAAACCCCTTTGCCGCATGAGTAAATCCTTGGCCTGGGTGGGCAAGAACAGACTGAACCATGATGCGCGTGCAATACGTACTCGCACTGATACTTCTTCGTACAGGACAAGAAATCCAATTTGAGATACAGAACGCGGCCCATGGCGCTTAATGCAGACTTGTACTTCGTACCGTCGTTGCCAGTTGTTGCCCGAGTGCAGGACATGGAGTTTTCGATAGAGCACAATGGAAATTAAGCATGCGCACAATTGAAGGTTCGCCATGGGTGCCGATAGATGGGTACAGGTAAGGCCGGGGTCGGCAGTGATCTTCAGCATCGCCGCATCGGTCTCCGTTCGCTACCAGAACTTCCCAAACTCGGGATCGACGCCACCTCTGGAGGGACGACGCGACGCTTTGCCCTCACCCAGAAAGCCGGATAGTTTTGTAAATGAAATTAATGGGCCTGAATAACTCGGTTCTGCGCCTCGTCGTTCGGCTCGCATTCCGAGCTTGCACTTGCCATCACATCACCTACCTCTATCGCTCAACCCGGACGCGGGATGGGATGGGATGGATTGGGATGTCGTCTGAAAGTCAATTGTGCTGCACGCAATGCCGCACCTGCACCGCATCGCATCGCAGCCAGAGCGCAGCCGATGCTCGAGCAATGATGTATCAAAAAAGTTGACATTTGTGAGTTGGCGTCAAGCCGTAGACGGGAGTTCAATTGAAGTAAAGATCATTTATCGGTTGTAAAAGCACAGCGCGCTGAATGCCCTGTTTTGTTCGGCCAATGTGGATCGAGTGCATAAAATGGCGCACAGAGGCTCGGGAAACGTCGGAGACATTATTGTGACATTTGTTCAGCTCGAGCTCAGAAGGGGTTCGTGTTGAAGTATTTCTCCGCGTGAAATGAATCTTTATGCCTTCCCAGAGCCTGGTGCTGATCCCCGCATTCAACAATCATCAAGTCTCATACACTCTACATCTTCCTAATCCAAGAGGATGATTGGGCCAACTTCTCAAAATGGATATCTCTCTTCTAGTCCTTCTCATCCTACATTTAATATTGTCGGACAAAGTCATTCCCCCGAAGTTCAATCATTACGAGGTGTCATTCGGACAAATTAACATGTAACACATCTCTAGTTGATGATTGTCGTCACAATTTTCCGGTCGACAACCATCACGAGTGGTTCCTGTCAAATAAAGTTGCCGCTGCGGCAAGCTCTCCAATGTGGCATGCAGGGTTGAGATAAATGCTTTGACCAACTACCGGTAGACGTCGTATAAATATGAACTCATCTCCATCTCGAACCTTGGTCGCGGCATTGGGCAGAATAAGTGTGTTACGTAGTACCTGCTGTATAGGGTGATGTGAAGGCCTCAGGAACCCGCATTCCACGTTGTTGACACAGCGTGAAAAGGGGCTCGCTAATAGGAGACGTGAGTTCATACGGATTTTCTGTTGGTAATACCTGAAGAAAACGCCACGAGGCTCTTGTAGTTGACGCATAACAAACGAATCACCGTCGCTATATGATGATTAACATATTAGCTAGGAAATCTAACGGGTAGGGCCACCAAGCCCTCCGCTCTGCGATCGCGATCAATAGCGTCCAGTGATAATTGTCCGATCCGCACCTTAACAGGGACTTTGAATTTCATCGACGGGAAATTGTCGAAAACGGTGGAACAATTTGAGCTCGAGCTCACAAGAGTCTCAGATATGGCCATGGTTGTCTTCGCTTATTGGAAAAACTTCCGCGGAGCGACAAGTCGTACTGGAGTATGGTGTCATAGCCCTGACCTACAAATGTATCGAACAACGAAAGCTAAAAGGCCTCAAAAATGGAGGTACTTATTCATTCTAGCAAGGATTCTTTGCCATTATACAGAATGAATCCAATGCGTCATAAGGTCGATTTTGCTTGGGTCCATGCAGCCTTGCGGAAGCTTGCCAATGACCGAAAAATGCCAAAAACTGGCCTGGAGAGATTCAACGAATTCGTAAAGCGAGATGACCAACCAAATCATTATACCAGGATAAATATGTGCGTGCGCTTGATGAACGAGTGGTTCCGAATGCATAAAGTCCGAGCTCAACCGCTCCCATCCCTGTTCAAACACCCTGGTGTCCACTTTTCCGTGAGAATGGCATGCATGATGCTGATGGCCAATTCCATCACAGTCCCTGGAGTTTAGGGGTTCAATACCATAGAGACATGAACCAATAGAATGTAAAGTAACGTGGAGAGTTCAGATCTGATCGTGATTTATCAGACGAACTATTGACAGGCTGTTGTGATATCCTTCGGTTGAGGTTTGAAAACGTCGATCCGAACGACACAAGTTTTCTACCTCCGTCGTCTCAATTTCGAAACTACGTCCGCCGAAGAGCGATGTGTGTCGCGTTGCTTGTACTTTTCAATATGGCTCTGCTCAGATACGAAGTACAGTAGCTCCAATAGATGGCTTTCAAGAGACGGCTTAAAAGGATTGGCTGAGAAAGGCAAAGATGCCATATCTGAAGTCAACCAATTGGCTCACCATAAGCAATGTACGGAAAACTGTGGAAGCACATCCAAATGTAATCGTCGTAGGCCCCTGCCAGTAACACAAGTATCCGGCAGCTTCTTTTGGCCAAGTGCAGAGCCTCCCCGCGGGCTCAACGTTTATGCTTGAATATCAAATGATCTTCCTGTCTCGGGCATGATATCGGAAAATAGGCGCATTGTTTTGACGTGGTCCGTCGTCCATCTTAAATCATCGTGAACACCAAGGAGCATCTCTCGGATTTCTTGAGAGACGATGAGCTATTTCGAAAACTTCCTGCACATGCTGATGCTCACGTTGCCATTGACGCAGTACCTACAGTAGCGTGTGCGGTTCAGGATTAGTCCACCACTGAACCAAAGATGAAGTGGATTTGGAACTGCTGCACGCTGCATGTCGTGCACAGGCAGGAACGAAAAACAGTTGTTGGGTAGCGGAGTTTGAGCGTGGGAGGAGGCGTGGGAGGCTTGTATGCAGACTCGGCTGGGTAGGAATAGGCAACTGCTGTGCAACCTCGTTCTTTCGGCATGTCATTTGTGGTTCCAGGCGTGCTGGCGAGAACATGCTGCTGGCACTCTGTACGATGGGATCGCAGATTTGCAACATGACTGGAGATTGGACAAGGCGAGGAGGAGTTGATGGTGCTGCCAGGCCTGTCGATCATGGTACCCTTTGCAAACCAGGCCAGGGCAAGTGGACGGAGGTTACGGAGGTACTTCGTACTTCGAAGTCGATGGGGATCTTCTTGACAACAACGACGAGAGGATCTCGTATCAAAATCCAATTTGTTGTTCAATGAGGCGGCTGGTGCTGCCCTGCGCCTGCTTACGACTTCTCCCCAGCCCAGAGCGGTGTCCGATCAGAAACGTTGAGGTTGCCATGCTTATGCTGCATCTCCACCTGACTCAGGAGGAACTCTGGTTCACCGTTCACGAGACTTGGTGGGCAAATCCCATCCGAATTCGTGGTCACCACAGGACCGGCAGCTGTCGTGCTCTTTAGTCGCCGCCGATCCTTAATCTGGGTTGTGGATTCGTCCCGTACTGAATCTGGAATCTGCAAGCGCCCGTCGCAATGTTGACTGGGAACGAAGAGGTTCGAGCCAAAACAAGACTCAACCGTCGCTGCTCGCACAAATCAAAATGGGCGCTCGCCGCTCGCTCAATGGGGACGTCACCTGCAGATGGGAATCATCGCGAGCTGCATCCTTGCCCCTACAGGAAGTTCAGATGAGAGATCGCCGACTGGTCGGACGTTGGTTTCCTGGACGTTAGACATCGCACCTTGAACCCTGACCTGGCATCTCAAGTCAAGTCAAGCTTTCAATTTAACCGTCCGCATTACGTACCGAGTATAAATTACGCTGTCATAATTTATCTTCCACGTGAATGAGACAGATTATGGTAGGTGTGGCGTATTATGTTATTTTAGACATTAGGTTCGTAAAGAACTATTATAAGTGTATATTCTGAGCGGTATTGTACGAAGTAGGAATGGGAGTGTGAGTGGAGTGGAGTGACGTGGATTGATGGTGTGGCCGAGGTTGTCCATCCAGTCTAGTCTCGCTACTGTACAGACTGTAGTAAACCAGAAATTGGCGAGCCAGTAACATCGCCCGACGACATCAATATCTTCAACCTCCCAAGACCGAGATCCGGGTCGTGGATGGAGGAACACAATTGCATGTTTTGCGAACGCCTGCTACCAAAATCTTCCAAGGTAGGACGCCATAGGACTCGAAAGTTTGAGCGAGGCGTTTGATAGCCAGAACGGATCGACCCCCTCAACCAGGACAGAGACGCGGGCGCATGATTGACGCTCGATACTCAACCAAATATTTCTCTCCAGCCACCGGCGATGGTACCTGAATCGAATACTTGTACAAGGACTGTAATGGACGGCATATAGCGCTTGATGGCAATAACGAGTGCATTATGGTACACCATCTTCTCATCTCTGTATCCTACCTGTTGCTGGGGGACGCCATCTCGAACCACGGAATTGGACCTGGCTAGCTCTCAAAGTATGGCTATGGTGCAGCTCTTCCACCAAGAATCGATGGGAGAAATTTGAAATATTTCCTAATATTGCCTTGCTACCCCACGACCGAGGCATCCCGAGCGGTCTGATTGGCCAAAGGACTATACGATTCTTTTTAGCGAGCCTTCATATATAAATATATATATTCATTATAATCTCTACTGGGCGTTTCTTTCCTATCTTGCGTGGAAGTTACTTTGACTTTGGTTTCTCTTTAATTTGTTGGCTCGCATTTCCTCGCTCTCCGCTTCATCTCTATTCAATTACTTATATTCTTCCTATACGCGGCTGTTGAATACAACGGTATACACAAAACACCTACTACTCAGTCAAAGTCGACGTAGGATTCCCCTCCCCCACACTTCTCTGCACGGCGAACCCAGGCCCGACCACGAACACGCTCGAGCGTCGAGTGAGTGCGAGCGGCCGCTGCATCTGAAATATTGCCCGACGGAGATTACCTGGGGGGTATCGACAATTCTCCTGGGACTCCACTCACTTTTTTACGGCAGACATTGATGCGAGCATACCCACGGCCAAGCAAGGCATTTTTCAGACATATCTTTTCTACTTTTGCGAACCTCTTGCTATACCTATACCATACCAAGAACCTTGAACCCAGAACATCAGTTATTATTGTACGTCCGGAAACCCCATTTGCTGCAGTTTTTCTCTGTCAGACGGTACCACACGCGGTTCACGCCTGTGTACCACCCTCTTTTTTCATTTTTGTCACCGTGCCAACCTGTCCCTCCCGCTCCCCAGCATGCTTCTTCCATCAGGTGTTCGGCGTAGGTTCGCAGCTGTGGCGCGGTGTGGGGCCAGCCGTATGGTAGTTAAAGCACAATACAGTACAGTACCTAGCCTTTCTCTTGCAGTGCAGTGCATTGCAGCAGGAGGCCAGTACGGTACGAGTAACTGGAAGCCGTAGGGCTTGCACTTGCACTTGGACTTGGACTCCTACTACAAATCTCCCTCTACCGGCCTCAGGGCTTCACACATACATGACTTTGACAAAGGATTGCCGTCTGTATGTAGTCGCTTGTAGTCGACTGGCCCGCGCAAAAGGCGCCTATTTTTTCCCGTGAAGTTGATGTTGGACTCGCGTGGAGCCGAAAATAGTGACTCTCGAGTCCACTCACTCACTGTTGTATGTTGTCACGTCACCCATAGAAGGAAATGCGTTCCTCCACCTATTGGGAGAGATGCGTTCCTCGACACATGGCCGGGCAAGGCAAGGCAAGGCATGGCATGGCATGGCATGGCAGAGGCAAGGCGAGGAGCAAACGGGATGGGATGACAGGACCTGCCATTCATGCTCCTATGATCTATCGCTGTTTCTGTCGTCTCCTTCTGCTTGCCTTCCCTTTCCCACTGCGCAAGCGTCTCGCAGGAGAGTTCCCCGCACGCACCGCAAACGTCGAAATTCAAGAGGTGCATCAGATTTCAGGATATTTCAGGAACAACTCTGAATCTCGGAGACCTACACTAAAGTTTCGCAGGGATGGGCTCGTAGGTTTTTGCGGACTGAAGATCAACTCTTGAGTCTTGACCAGCACGGCCGCGGAAACCTAGCACTTGGCGAGCCCCCGGCCACCTACCCGAACGGCGGCGCTTTTCTCTTCCCTGCACCTACGCTACGCCAGCGAGGGATGGTGATCTTCAACACTCGACCAAACCCCTAGAAACTCTATCCACATCTCGTTGAGCTCGTTCAGCAGCGACTTGGTACTTGGACTTGGAGCGTGTCTTGGGTCTGCTTGGTGCGCCTCTTGGTGCTTCTCTTGGGGCTCCTCTTTCCCGAACATTGGGGACCTTTGCCTTTGCCTTTCACAGGCCTGACGACGGCGGAGTACTCCACTATCAGTGACGGCACCTGGTTTCTTCCTATTTTCCGCCCGAGGATCCCGCCTCTATCGACGGTCTCTAATTCAATAAGGTCTCCAATAGTCGTGTAGTCGTGTAGTGGTATACTGTGGTAGTGGCCGTAGTAGTAGCAGCGGCAGAAGCATCTCTCGCCTATTTGGCAGGGCGGTGTTGACAACCCCACGAGAATTCCTGAGCGACTTGATACAGACTCGCGCACCTGGCATTTGCCTTCCCTTCAGAATTGTTCTCATCTACCAGATACACCATCACGTAGCAGACCTCGCGCTCCTCGGAGACTTTCGCCATCACCCACTGCACCGCACCGCAACCAAGACACAAGACACAAGACAGCCTCGGCTGGCCTCCGACATTCCTGGTTCAAACACCACGCTCACCAGGTCTTCGGAACTATCAAGTGCCCAAGAACCATTCGACATTGCCGCTCCAGGCCATTCCCTTCGTCGTCATTATTTCCCACATTGAAAAACCTCCGTACTTTAATTTTGCCAGGTCGTCCATACCATCGCCATCCTGGACGGTCCTTGCTCCAATTCCCCTGACAGACCGTTTCACATCGACCAGCCTGCGCTGACTTGCACTCCCAATTCATCTTCCGCCCCGCTCTGCTCATCCCAGTTCTCCCACGCGGATTTCACTATCAGTGGACTCCACTAAGGGCCCGGAACCGGCATCCACATCCACACCAGAGACGCCCCTCCAGAAGTGACATCCACCACTTTCACCCCCCTCCCCCTTCCCTTCCCCATGCACAAGCCAACGCCAACGCCGACTCCCTNACATCCACACCAGAGACGCCCCTCCAGAAGTGACATCCACCACTTTCACCCCCCTCCCCCTTCCCTTCCCCATGCACAAGCCAACGCCAACGCCGACTCCCTGAAGACTCCCCTGTTCCCTGCCACGGCGAAAAAGAGACTCCCCCATCTGGTTTAACCTTGCCCTGCCCTCCCGACCCGTACCACACTTTAAACACCCCTCCGCCGTGGCCTTGCCTGGCCAGGTGTGCACGATTCCAGAAGCGCAGATATCCTGGCGACTTTTTTGGTTGCTTTCTTAACCTCACTTCCTTCCAAAATTTTCAGGTTCATCGAACAGGCAAAGCCAATCAAGTACAAGCTTCTTGGGTGAAGCGTGTGAGAGGTAGTCGTCCACAAAAACCCCTATCCAGCCTTTCAACAACCCATCACCACTTCCACTCTCTTGTAGCAATCCCATACCCTACCCATTAGACAAACATCACAAAACGTTGCACTCTCCGAAAACTGCCCTTCATTTGATGCTCACCACGCAACGCTAGTTTTCCGCGAACATATCGTAGCTGCCGTATTACCTGCGGTACATGGGCTGCCCGAGCATTGCCTCGGTCGTGGTAGGACAAGCTTTTCCAACCATTTGAGAAGTATTTCGTACATTCGAGGACGCTAGGATCCTGGGTCGACATCTTGGAACGCCCGTCAGAATCACCCCCTCACCACACTCGTGGGGCCCACTGGTCCATTCTCTTCTCTATTGACCCTTGAAGACGCCAAAGGTTAGAGGTTTGTCCTATTCTTAAAACCCCCTCTTCCGCCCTTGATTTACTGAGAACTTCTAGATCTTCTCATACACCCTCAACCAAGAACCATTCCACCCATTTAGGAATTCCAAAGGAGCTTCAAACAGACCAGTCGAACCGACCATTTGGGAATGAGAGATTCAAGAGACAGTCTTTAAGAAAGCAAACTTCCAATCGACTAGGACACTTGTTCTTGCCAGACCGAGCTCAAGCTCCCTGGATCGACGACGCCGCCATCAGTCTATCATTTCCATGCAATCTTCAACAACACATCTCGAAATTCTTCACAGCCCCCTCGGCGAACGTCGAGGAAAATCAGATCTGGCGCGGTTTTCTCTGGATTCGAGTTGGGCCAGAGCGGTGTCCGACAGTGCTCGCTCAGAGGCATACCCCTCTCCGCCCATGTCAGGATCTCCGCCACTACCACCTAGACATAACCCGGATTCCGGTAATCGAGGTCATGGTAGCTATGGATCAAGTGGGCAGGAAGTGTATCAAGGAATTCAGACTCCACCATTAAGGGCATATCAAGAAAGCCATCCTCATCAAGCATATCCACCCCAAGCTCGAATGGATGAGAGTCCTTCAATATCGCTTCCATATCAACAGAGACCAGCACCGCAATTTGCACCGCAAATGTACCATCAGCCACCTCATCCATACCCACCTCATCCATACCCACCTCATCATCCGCAACCTCCAGCGCCATTTTCAGCACCGGAGAGACCACCAACCGGAGATGCCCCCGACTTTGTCTCTCCCAAGGCACAAAGGAAGACTAAAGGCCATGTTGCATCGGCGTGTGTGCCATGCAAAAGGGCGCATCTTAGGCAAGTCTCTAATGAATGTTTTACATGGTGGAGTCGAAGCTAACCAACTGCAGGTGTGACGGTACGTCTGTTTCAACTTTTGTCGAAATTCTATATTCTTTTTCTTCCCAAGCATATCCTTATTTGACACAGTCGATTTTTTGCTTCTTGAGAATCTGACTTGGCGTTCGGAATCGGAGCTTTGAGCCACGATTTGATTGGAGTATCACGGCAGCCCGTGGTTCAGCCACCATCGTAGTTGAATGACGATTGTTCCTCTACCCCGCTCAAGCGAGTCTCAGAAGTCATGATCTGTTTTCACGGGCATTGTTGACGTTAAATTACTCTTGTTTCCGGTTCCTTCAACGTGGCGGCTGAAAAAGTCACTGTGGGGAAGGGTACCCGAAGCTTGAGTAGCTCATGGGTTTAAGCCGATTCGTCAATACGACAACAGGCGAGATGTGTGGCGATATTTCAAGGAAGTAGCTGTTGCACTTTCATCCGTTTTCTATTTTTGCTTGCTCAAACCAACTTAAATCCTCGGCCGAGGCCTGTGTTTGTTCGGCTTGACCTGTCATGATGCACTCGAGTCTCCGGTTTGGGTCCGTTGGCTTCAAGGAACAAGAGAACCTCCGAACGTCACTTGCGGCAAGTAAACTTTCGCAGACCGTCCAAAAGATTGTCTGATGGTTGAAACCTTGGCGCGCAAGATCCGGCTGCATAAGTATCCGTTATTAAAAATAGTCCTTTCGACTCGGCTTCGCGTTTCAGCCGGGTCCAAGTATCTATTTTCTATGGCGGGGTAGCTTGTTGGGTTCTCTGGATCGATTTGATCGTTTGGTTTATACCCATAATGGAACGTTATGATGTTGCTTGATTTGAGGGGAAGAGGAAACTCACTGACATGTGGATATAGCTCAGCGACCGTGCTCTCGATGCACAACAAACGGCAAGGAGGACGCTTGTGTTGACGTACAACACAAGAAGAGGGGTCGGCCTCGATTGAGAGATGAGAGAGAGCAGCGGCTCGGATATGAGTCGATGTCTGGGTCCGGGTCAGGATATCCTCACCCGTCTGAGGGTGGAATGACACGTCCTTTGTCGATGTATAGTTCAGGAAGTGCGTCCATGAACGCGGACTTTGGTGAGTCGCTTCATAGAACTGGCTCGTATAGAGTTCTGAAATCGCAAGGTGGCCCAATTGCACCACGATACCTGGATCATGCTTCAGCCGCGGATGCCAATATATATGGTGCGCCAATGATGCCAGCGCCAGCGCATCGGATGTTACCGCAGGAACCACCTTGCGCCTATCTCACGATGAAGATGCAAGTTGCAAAGGCTACAACGAGCTTCAATGATATGGTCGGCCTGCCGGGAGGAGTACTGTGGAAGAATTTCCAGGACCTGGTTCTTGTGAACGAACGTGAAAAGGTGGCGCAACTCCAACTGATATTTGAGGATGAACGACGGCAGCGAGAACCACATTACCTCCCACCAATATCTCTCAACAACGATGAGGAGAGAATTATTAATTCTCTTGGCTTTGGTCCTGAGGTGACTGGACAGTTGCGATTCGATCATAGCGAGATTTTTGCTCTTCCAATTCCAGCACCGGATGGGTCGCAAAGATCTTTCCAAGCAAGGTTTGGCTTGGGAAAGAGAGACGCAACGTATTTCATAGCCATGGTCATTCAAATACCAACACCAACACCAAAGACCCCGCAATCATTTCAACAATCTTCGCTGTCATCACCCTTCTCACGAGATTCTTATTCCCGGGGATCCTCCTCCACTCAATATGAATACCATACGGCACAACAACCATACGCTTCCACACAAGCACCACCTCAATTCATGACTAGCCCAGCATATGGAGATCCTCGAGAACAGATGACGTTCAGAGGACCGATGCAAGGACTAGGACAAGTGCCACTTACCCCCAATGCTCCACCATCAACAAACACGACCCCCTTCCCTCAGCAGCAGCCACCCTCAAGGCCTGAGTACTCGCATAACCAGATGCCGTATCAGACGCCTCGAAGCGAGTTGCCCCAGACACAACCAGTGCGGCAACATGATCTTCAACTCCCGCCTATACGGGACCAACGTGGTGAGGCATCTTCAGAAGTCGCGCGCCGTAGGGACGATCGTAGTAACCGTGTCGATATTGGCGGCCTTTTGGAAAACCCGAGAGGTTCTAGGGGCCAGTGAGCTGGCATTCCTACTATGTCTCCTGTGATGATGATGTGAAATACATCAAACTCCAGCGACAGGTGTTGATTGATGCCTTGTGCTACTGAAGCCCAGATGGATCTCTTGAGCCGGTTAGATCCGTGGTAGGTCTATGGGCGGTGGTACCACAATGAGAGTAAGCATCTCGCTGCCTCAGTCAGCTACGATGGATCTGTGATGGGTGCATCACCGAAGTTCCGAGACGAGGATTTCATGAGGGGAGTTTGGTTGAAGGGCGCTTGTGATGAAGCGTTCTTCTGACCATACCAAATCATTTTGCTTTCTTGTAACATACTTCAAGTACTGGACCTTTTCCGGGAAGGGTCCTGACCTCTTTTCCTATCTTTTCAAGATACCACCTCTGTACTGTACAATATCGGTTGGCCCTTTTTTCCTTCCATTCTCTCTACGTTTTTTTAATCTGGTTGGCTATTTTGGGGTTGTAATTTGACAATCACTCATAGCGATTGCGGTTCGGATGCTTGTTGTCTTCTTTTTTTCTTCTCGTGGCGTGTTTTTTGTTATCATATTTTCTTCTTCTTCTTCTTCTTCCTTCGTCCGGGACTATGGGGAGAGAGAGTGGTTATCGAAAGGGATGGCGAAATAGGCTTGAGGATGTATGAATGGATTGTACAATACTCATGAGATGCATGATTGAGAACGAACATAAGATAGTGATGTGAAGTAAATGCAGAATGATATTCTTGTTATTTGATAGGCATGTTTGTTGTCGTGTTTGGGATGCAGATGAATGAGGTGAGGTGAGGTTGAGGCCCGATGTGAAAGTTTAGGCCGGTCGGTCCATCTGCGTGTGCCCGCTAGTTTGGTTGGTAGTCTAGTGGTTAATACTACACTACGTCGAGGGAATGGCAGGTAATCTCGGCTGTGAACCTTGGATACCCGGACTTGGGTTGGGTTCGTTATAGTATCGTATAGTATGATATGATATTACCGCCGATTGACTGACTGACTGCCCAACTTCTTTCTGGGTTATGCATTGTGTTGCGCAGACCTGCTAGATCATATAAAGGAAGGAAGTGAACTAGATCTGGGATCCGGTGGGCAATTTGTCTGCATCGATTGTTTTTTTTCGGTAGATGTCATGAATGCCCCGCCTCGTGCCGTCAAGTGCCGGCGCCCGTGACGTATGATCTAGGCTAGGTTGCGGCCAGCCGTTTTCCTTCCCTTCCCTTCCCTTCCTGAGGTCCCTACGAGTACCGTGCCGAAAGAGGTGTAGCTTGCAAGCTGAGGTTGATGGGAGGACTTGCTCATCGCGAGTGAGAGTCGTCTGGAATTCCAGGTTCTTTTTCATTAAAGAGCTGGAGGTGGTGTGGGAGAGAGTCGAGGGAATTTGAGTTGGAACTGGAGAGATGGGATGGGATGTGATAGCTTTGGTTTGGTCAGGTTGGGCCTTTGCTTGGGCCCGCTTGCTTGCGAGATGCTGTCACTGTCTGTCACTATCACAGTCGTGCAAGCCAGCTCTCGCGAGATTGGAGAGATGCGATGCGATGTGTCGGCCACTCAGAGATGTGTGTGTGTGATGAAGTCGGACTGCCCATCACGTTCTCGGTACCGGTCTTTTTTTCTCTTGATGATGAAATTGGTTTTTTGTAGATGAGAGTGGGATTTGGATGGGTGGGTTTTTTTACACCTTTTTCTTCTCGTTGACTTGTTGAGTGCTTTTTTGGAATTTTAGTAGGTAGGTAGGTAGGTATAGAATCTAGTCCACCGAGCTAACTCCCTGGCAAACTCCCTTCTCGATTCATTTATTTATTTACTCCCTCCCTTCCTTTTCCTCATAGAAACATATCCTACCTATCAACACACCTCCTATACCAACATAACACGATCCATCACATATCGCCTCATCATATCATATCTTATCATATCACATTAAATTATCATGCATGGAATACTGCTATCATATCACATTAAATTATCATGCATGGAATACTGCTATCATATCACCCCAAGTATTATGTCCCACGGGTTATATCAGAAAGATACTTTTTCAGTGCCCTTGCGATAAGGTTTTTTTTCGTCGTGAGAAGCACCGCACCCTACCCTGGATCGTTCGCGCTGCGGGAGGGCTGGGGGAATATTCTCCGATTCGAGGGGGCCTATTTTTATCTTCCGATGCGGGCCCCAGCCGATGCGGGTATGGTCACGTGAGAGGTGGGTGGAGGAGGGTTGGGGCGTGGGGGTAGTGGGGTTTTGGGGGGGAGTTGTTTTAGGAGAGGAGAGGAGAGTACGAGGATTAGATGGAAATGGTAGGGTGGAATAATATGTTATTCTCTCTTTTAAGTGGGGTAATTAGGATTTATCTAGATTATTGAAATGTTTTCTTTTCCTTATAATATGTGTTTTATTAATATTATTTACCTAGGGATAGCCCCTTCTCGAAACTAGTAAGATTCAGGGCTATTTACCAGTGTATTATAGGGTATCTAATAAGGTATTTTAAACGTGAATTACTCATTTCTACAAGTTCTATCTCTGGTGCCGCGAGACATCTTGCTACAGATGTACCTTCGAGAAGGGGCTATATATACTTTTTCCAGTTCACACTCTACCGACCTTCTACAACAATCCGCTACGTCTCAAAGAGGAAGAAAATCAAGCCATGTCTCTCTCCTTCCTCTAACATTAACTATCGAATTTCCATATGTAAGACTTCCATATCCCCGGGCCCGGGTACCATTTCCATACCCAAGAAACCTTATTTTCGCAATGCGAATGTGGAGGTGGAGGAGGGGTAGGGGTAGGGGTCGCTGCACCCCTCTTTTGCGATTAGTGCGGGGAAGTGGGACTACTTCTCTTCCTTTCTTTTGTAATCAATGAATGAGATTGCTATTTATTGCGTTGATTCCGCTTATGGATTTTTACTCTTGGATTACGTTTGTTTGGTCTAGTTATTACTTGTAGGCGAAGTCTTTGGTTCTACAGCGCGTTGAATTTCGCGAATCATTCTGACATCTCAGCTGTTTGTCGGTATTGTTATTCGTTACATGCAAATGCGAATACTGCGTATTCATTGCAAGTCATATTTCAATCACTCACGTTTGGAGATTTTGCTTTGCTATTTCAGCTCCCATGACGAGGAGTCAGGTTCTTGGATAATTAGGTCTCCTGTTTGGAATACGCTTCATTCGAGTCCCGACACTTCCGAGGACTGTACTGTACTTTCAACTTCCCACGAATTTACATAAGTCCTATGAAACCTCCAGACCAGGTCCTCAAATAACCAGCGAAATCTCACCAGCCCGCACTTCCACAACTCAACTCAATAACCACAAACACAAACACAATGTCCCCACAAACCCCAGCCCCACCCACCACACAACCACCCCAACAACAACAAACCGCCCAAATCCCCCTCCAATCCTTCACCCTCCCCACCTTCCCCCCCGAAACCCTCACAAAACCCCTCACAACCCATCTAACCCTCACCTCCGACATCCCCCTCTCCTCCTACACCTCGCTTCTCAACCAACCCTTCACCATCCCCCCCCTACCACGCTCCATAACAACCCTATCCCTCGAATCCTTCTCCCTCGGCTACCCCCCCAACTTCCTCCCCCTCCTCGCTACCAAACTGCCACGCTTGCGAAGCCTACTATTCTTCGAGCAAGTCCTCGGAAGCACAGACGTCGAGGAAGGGGATGTGATCAGCTTTCTCACTCAGCTGGGGGAGGTGAGGGAAGTTCATTTTCTGGATGTCTTGATGGGTAAAGGTGTCATGCGAAGGGTTTNGGAGTTTGAGGGGTGGGTTGGGGAGGGGTTAAGGGGGTTGAGGATTGCGATGGTTGGGGGTACTTTGGAGTCGGATCTGGAGGAGGAGGGAGAGGAAAGGGAGGAAGTGGAGAGGGAGGAAATGGGGATTCTTCCTCCTCGAATAGCGGATACGGCTACGTCCTCGTTGATGGACAGGATCCTCGCCCTAGAGACACTAATCCTCCTTGACCTCACCCTCTTCCCTCTTCCGCTCTCCTCCCTCCTCGCTATTCTCACGACTTGCAAGAAGCTCAAGGTGTTGAGTGTCACACTGACCCTTGAAACATCCTGGGAGCACGTCTTTGAACAGTTACGAGGGAAGACTGGGGCAGTTGAGAGTTTAGAAATCGTCGGATATCCCGGGAATGAGGAAGTGGTTGAAGGACTTAAAAAGAGCGGGGGGGAAGGAGAGGGGTGGTTGAAAGAGAGTTGGCTGATGGGATTGGGAGGAGTGGAGGGTGTTAGTGTGAGTGTTTTGCAGACTAGAGGGGAGGAATGGAGAAAAGAGAACGGGAGCTGGGTGAAAATTTGAGGGTTTCGGGCTGTGAAGTGAGAGGTGTGGGGTTGAGATGGGTTTAATGGAGCAGTGGTTGAAATATGGAGGCTTGTGTGATGACTTACCAGAATCCTTCATTTTTATTCTCTAGGACCTTGTTAATATTTGGAGATAGATATTCAAATTGAAGATCAGTTCCTTCCCCACCATCCACTTTTAACCCATCAACACGCGGCACTCACACTCACTCACTCAGATCCCAATGTCTGCTACCACACCTCATCTTCCAAATAGAAACTAGCATAGTCCCCAGATTCAAGAATACGCTAGATTTACCATGAGAAAAACCCCACTCTCCAAGAAAACAGAACCCACTATCAACCTCATAAAGTCCTCATTCCATATCATCCATATATTCCACACCTACTACAGCATATACACATAGCTAAACCCCCATCCAACCCAACCACATACACTCTAAAACCAACCCTTACAAACTTGAAATACAAAAGTAAGTAGAAACCACCCGACCCCTTCATTATCCCCGAGAAAAGTCATTGATATCTAATCCTACTTTTCCAGCCGAGCCAGCAAAACAAAACAAACCACGCCAAAACACCCTCGTAAGTTACAGTACTACAAGATAAACGAGATCCAACATCCCATCTTCAAATCGTCAGACTCGTCACATTTTCACAAAAACATATCGTACAGTATGCTACCACTCATTCCACCGACCCCAAGATCCCACTGCTCCAACCTCTCCACTCAGCCCAACAAATCTCCAAAAATCTTATTTACTACACACCCACCTCCCCTCCCCTCAGGACATGTCCAACACCCAACTCCTCCCCTCCCAATCCCACAGCGAAAACATCAATACCCATCCAAATCAGACCTAAGGTCCATCAAACCCCATCAAAACATCAAAACATCAAAACCAAACCAAACCAAAACCAAAAAGTACAATCTATCTATCCGCAAGAATACAACTTCTCCATCAGCATACTCATAATAACTAAAGAAAACCTACAAACTTATCAATCTCTACTAGCTTGTTATAGATACTATAATACTATAATACTATATAACCACGTTCATCAATCAAACTAAACACCCGACTTCTTACTGTAAATTCTTTTTATATAGTATCTGTAGATAAGGAAAAAAGAGACGCGTTTGAATCCAGGTTGGGGTTCGCTAAAGATGATCATGGAAAAAAAAAAGAATTGGAAGTTGGATGGATAAGGATGAGGAGGAGGAGGAGGAGATGATGTAAGCTAGAGTAAGAGTAAGTAATAACTTACAGATCAGGATGACAGGATCCCACCATACCCTACAGACTACAGTAACATCCATCATCCCAAAAAAGCCCCAAACTACACAAATAAATCACCAACCCAATTAACAACTCAACTGTTTAACAAAAGCCAAAAACAATAATCTACACTACCCAAGAACCTATACTTCCAAGCAAACAAACTTCCAACCCCCTTTCAACCCCCTTCAAAAACCCTTCCTTTCATCTCTCACACACATCTCCCAGAAACCCCCTACACCCCTCTAAATCACGCAACCGAAACCCCGGAAGAAAAAGTAAAATGGAAGAGATTTACTGAATTTCAATATTATTAAAAAGGGTACGAGTAGGTACATAATATCCCCATACCCAATCCCATCCGCATCCGCGATCTGATGTACAACCCCTAGAATACACCATCCCCTTCCCCTTCCCCGACCACCCTTCTCTCCAACACCAACACCAAGACCCCTCTTCCCCCCCTTCGCGAACACTCAAACCCCCAAAGTCAGCCAGCCTCAAAACAAAATACTAAAGACGAAGAAGGGAAGAAAGAAACTAAAGTACACCAATAAACCAACAAAACAAAATACAAAATAATGCAAAAAAAAAAACAAGCCCTCCGTCCAGCATAAAAGTTGGGGGTATCATAAACATCAACACAAGCACGCACACGCACACACACACTCCAAATATCCATCACCACCACGCCACGCCATACCGCATACACAGCCTTCTCGCCCTCTATCCACAATCTTCACAATTGCCATAAGCCCAAGTCCCCCAAAAGAACGAAAACCCCCGCGGTAAACTTCACCCCTATTAATACACGAAAAGAAATCTATCGAAGAAAAGAAAACCAGGAGAGGGAGGTAGTGTCAAGAAGTCGAGAAAGGAAGGGTATGTAAGATACAAAAGAGACCGAGGTGTAGTATCCTGTCGCGACGTCGGCGAAGCAGGTAGGCATTCGCTTACTATCCATAAACTGCCTTCTCCCTTATCGCCTCTTCTATCTCCAACTCCAAAATGTTGCATCATCTCCAGAAAACGGCTTTAGGAAACCACCTCAGTTTTGAGGCGTCTCTGGAATTTCAGTGACCCCCAACAGCCCATCCTCCTGCTGAGAATCCATGATCTCGCTCTCGCGCTCCTTAATCTTCCCGCTCATCCCCACAGCTTGCTGCGGTGCAACAACCTCCGCTTTCTTGACAAAAGGTTCAACTCTCTTCTGCCCCAGATTAGGGTTCACCGCAAAAGAAATAACACTCTTCTCTGTGAAAACCGGCAACTCCCCTCTCTTCATCGGCTGAACCTTCATTGGCGACGGCGTATTGACAGTATTAGTTGGTAACCACTTCACGTCAGCTTTCTCTGACCCAGGCGCCTGTTGAGGTGTCGGTCCATCCGGTTGATATGGAATGAAAACCCCCTCAGAAGAAGTATTACCCGCCTCAACGCAAGTATGGCTAGATGACGAGGTTGAATTGGACGGTGAGATGAGAGGCGCACCAAGCGGAGAGCTCGCAGGGAGAGGAATATCATTTGGTTTTTGGAGGTGAGGTGGGAAGTGTTGCTGGAATGAGGTGGTATTGGGTTCAGGAGTTGAAGGAAGGGTTGGTTCGGTTTCTTGGGTGAGTGTAGATGTTGGGCATTCGGGGAGTTTGACGTGATTTACTTCTTCAACGGGTGTAGGAGGGAGTATAGGAGCTGTTTCGGGTTGAGTTTTGTTTGTTTTAGTAGTTTTGGCAGGAGCGCGTTTTGTGGTTTTTGGGGCTCGCTTGGTTTGCTGCTCTTTTTCTTTCGCTTCTTTTTGGGCTTTGGTAATCAAACTGATCTTCACTTTCTGCATGCCAGAAGTCAAGCTATCCATATCAGATTGAGGGACTGATGGAAGGGTTGGAACTGGTGGAACGATAGCGCTATCTGGCCTTGATGGTAGATCGTTGGCGCCATCTTGACCATGTCCAGAAGGGCCTTCGCTGAGTGGTGACTTCTTCCTAACCCTTGATGATTTGGCAGGTTCCCCACGAGGTTGCGCGGGTGCTCTGGTCTTCCTTACTACAACTTGGGGAATAGGGTTGCCTCGTGAACTCATTGAAGATTCAGGTCTGACACTTTGGGATGTGCCAGGCCGCTGATAACTTGGCGCTCCACCCGAAATTGATCTTTGCACGGATGGACGTGATGGATTTTCGGTTCGCTGTGATGAAACCTCAGAAGGTCGTGATGAAATATCGGAAATTACAGACCCATTTGAGACGGAACTGTGGCGTCTGCTGGCTTGAGTGGTGGGTCTCGCATATGCTGGTTGTGGTATGGGTATAGGAGTTGAACTTCTAGCCACAGCCTGGTAGATGTATTAGTACAAATCACAAAACAGGGTTCACTCGATAAGACAAAACAAAGATCTCAAAAAATACCTTTTCACCAGCAAGCGAGGCAGCACCAGCAACAGTCTTCCGACGATTCGTCTTTGGCTTCTTAACCTCTTCCTCTTCCTCGACAATTGGCTTTGCAGGTTTCCGCGTACGAAGCGCCATTCTTGTAGTTGGTTGTTGATCCGGCTGCTCGGCTCCAACAACTGATGCTGGAGGTGTTAAAATCGACTGCCTGTCTCTTCTGACCCGAGTAGCTTCAGCCGAAAGATCTTCAGGTCTACAACTTCCAACTTGGCGATCTGAAGGAATAAGTAATTTACTAAGTTCGTGCGCAGCGACTGTCCAATGAACATCTGGAGGTGGTGGGGTGGGTGCTCTTGAATAGGTCCGTGGAGTTGCATGTCCACTCATGGACATACTCGTAACAGCTCGCCGTGCACTTGGAGAAACAATTTTGCCCATAAACGACTGAGTTGGAGAAGAATATGTCGGTGCAGGGCCTTCCCGTGGTTTTCTCGGCTCTGGTGGAGGGGGTGCAGGTGTTGAACGGAGAGTGGCATCAAGTTGATCAAGTCGAGTATGAGACCACCATAACGGATCGTACTCTGGAACTTCAGATACCACAGGCTCAGTCATGTAGTTTTCATCAGCATATCCACCAAGCTTCTGGCCCAATTCAAATCCGAGTCCGCCACTTTGACGTCGTTCTTCCTTGGTTTCTTGCTTAATGACCATTGGGGCTCCCCCGGCAAGTCCACTGACATGACTGAGTACACCACTGTAGAGAGCTCTATCGCTATAACCTCCTTCGAGCACACTGATGACTCTTCCATCGACGGAGGTTCCCTCTTCTGAAGCAACCCGGACAATATCTCGCGTAAGACGAGCATAAAACTCAGTGGGGACATTGACTTTGTGGCGCTGCATTCCAGCACTCTCCCACTCACTAGCATCAAAGCCAGCAGAAATGAAAATCGCACCCTTTGGTCTAGGGCCATTGTACACCCCACGCAATTTTTCAGTCTGATTACGTAGGTAATTTCGGGTCTTCTCCAAAAGAATCGAATACTTGGTTTCATACAGATCCCAAAATTCAGCTTCAGTCTTCCACGGCTGCAAATGAACATTCCAAATACTCTGTCCATGAGCATTCTCTATACAAAGACTGGCATTCTTAACCTTTTCCATGTCGCCCTGTTCGCAAGGATATGAATTGATGTCATGAATGCTGAAATATCCAATCGAGGTCTTTTTCCAAGGAAGCGCATTCTTCGACAGTCCATTTGCGCGAGCATTATGTTCCCACGCAATAGCTTGAGAACCATCCCCATGATGAAGATCAAAATCGATAATAGCAGCATGGGTCAGGCCGTGAGTAAGAGCCGCATGGGAAATACCCACATGAACATTATTCAACCAGCAGAATCCGGATGGATAGCTGGCAGAACAATGATGACCCGGTGGCCGAATTGTAACGAATGCTCGATACGGTCCAGTTCCACTAGCTGATCCCTCAAAAACAGAATCCACACCTTCACATACAGCCCCTAAAGCTCCCTCCATAGCCTCCAATGACTCGGCGCAAAGATATAGATCTCCCTCGTGCAATTTCGCTGGCGCCGGATCCCCCGGGCTCCTATGGATATCCGGTCGAAGAAGCTCTTTCCCATTCAAAGCCAACTTTACCTCCGCGTTATCACACATAATCTTCAACTCCTCCATCCACTTTGCGCCATGTACATTGGCGACCGCCTGCGAGGAAAGAGACAATCTGCGCGTCGTCTTCCGAATGCGAAAAGGACCGCTAGGAACCATAGACGCATCCTGTGACGGGTGAAGAGGATACAATCCATCCGAGTGACGCTCTCCAAGTCTCACATAGGCCACGGACAAGCCAAGTATACAAGCCTGTATACGCTCGGGTCTCTCCACTATCGTATTAAGTGCCCCTTTCGAAGTTCGCGGTCGAGAAAAGCGATGGCCATAGCAGGAATCATGTAAAATAGCAATAGTATTCGCGTGTCTTGTATCATCCTCCCGCCTATGCAACTCCAACTCCTTCTCAAAGTGATTGCGCGCAATCGAAATAGCAGTTACGCGCGGAGGCCGCTCGGCTTCCCGTTCCATCTCTGCGAGGGGCGATCTGCCTGCGGTGGTAGAACGATTATTGACAACTTGCGCCGACGAGGAACGACGTGAGGGGGTTGCAGAAACGACGCTTGCTGCTCGCGAGGGCGAAGATCGAGGGGGTGTGATTCCGTTGATAGAGCTCGTGGATCGGCGCAGCAAGCTGGGTGTTGGAGAAGATTGCGCGTCGATGACACTCATGGACGAGGGACTCCTTAAAGGTAGCGGGCTTCGAGAGGGAAGAATCCCATTTGGCGGCGGGCTGGGGTGGTTTGACTGGGTGGACTGTCTACCACTTACCAATGGCTTCGGTGAGGTGTGAGGTGAAGTATGATGAGGTGAAGCAGGCGGCAGAACAGGCGGACCCGAAGCCCCCGAGAATCGTCGAAGTGAAGCCTGAAAAGACGGACTGGATTCTTTGCGGGCAATGGCGGGAGGAGGAGATTGATATGCCATTTTGAGCTGCTGCTGTAGCTGTAGAGTAGTTAGCTGTAGCTGCCTCTCTATTCTGCTTGATGAAGAGTCTCAGGAATTGCCAGCCCTCTCAGCAACCCGTAACCAAAATTGAGTAGAATTCTGTGGAAGTGTCCTTCATGTGCAACAAAACTCAATCGGCTGGCAACGATGAAGGCAAAGGTGAGATGGGGGTTGACTGAGGTTAGTCTAATACAATGTCCCACCACGTACGGAGAAAGTCAGTCCCCCTACGCGATCAACGCGCCGAACCCCAGTCCCTTGGGTTTCAGCCGGCCCATGTCATCAATATCAGTCGCATGAGTATTACCATTTTGGGATAGAGTTTTATTTTTAGCTAGCCCAGGTAATTGAGATGAACAGCATCTATACTGTAGGTAACTTCCAAGGCTTAATTACGATTGTCGAGGCCCTTTTGAGCCGTTGATGAACACTTTGTTGCGCCAACAAACAACGGAACCACATGTTAGAAGCGATCCGAGAAAAAGGGGACAATCCCTGCTCAAGAGTGGCAACGACCCCTCCACGCCAACACATGAGACTACATTACAGACATCGACATAATATGAAATACAAGTATTTCCGTTTCTTCCTTATTCATCCACAGTCCTCATTTTTATGCCCACTCTCTAAGAAAAGAATACTCCCAACACCCCACCCCTTTGACCATAGATACAAATCTGGTATCCACCCATGCCGTTACCCATAAAATCTTTCATTCGTATCAAACATTTACCATGCCATCCAATTCCTTCAGACAAAGACCCAAGAAAGGTGATGAATCAATACTCTTCCACTGCGCAGTTGGGGTGTAGTACGTAAACCGATTCTTCGGCGGTTGCTGCACTTCCTTGTCCATCCTCTCCAACCAGACCTTGGCCTCGGATTTCCATGAGAATGTTCTCCTGGGGTTGTGTTAGTGGGGTTGTGAGACAAATTTTGGGATGGGATGAAAGCTTACCTTGACCATCCTCTTGATGATTTTCTTCGTCAGTGCCATCTCTGCGTGATAATCCTCTTCCCCGTCAAGTTCGTCCTCCTTCTGCTCCAGATACCATTCGACAAGCCTGTCACCAGCGACTCCCTCGCCACTGCTCAACTCATCCTCATTAACTCGTTGGACCAGCATGTTGACAACACTGATGTATTTATCATACGTGATTTTCGTCTTCCTGCTTGCACCACTGGCTGTTGGCGCAGGTGTGCCATCTGTAGCTACTGCACCAGAAGCTGCATCTGGAGCATTGTCGCCATCCTCGTCATCATCTGGCCCATCACCCATAGTTGCGTCACCATCAGCATCGCGACTTCTAAGAGTCCCATTGGGACCAATAACTTGATCGTCTTCCCCATCAACATCAACATCATCCTTTTCCACAGAAATGATACTTTGTCTCAGAAGATTGAATGCCTCCAGTACAAAAGCCGGCGTAATTTCTTCGACACAATTGGCCTTGGCAATAGCTTCTGACAATCGAATGAGAGATTCGAGTTGTCTGACAGTGATTCTATAGCTGTTTCGTCCGATTCCACCTTGTGCATCATCACTTCGGAGTTCCTTGTACTTTGCAATGAGCATTTCTCTGGCTTCTGGTTGAAATTCTGGCTTGAAAGTTCTAGCGAATCGAATATACCTTTGCAATTGTTCAGTTGAGAATTCAGGTTGAACAGCCTCGTCACGAAGTTGATGAATACCAACAATGTGTTCAGCCAAGTGTCGATCCACCGCCTCGTTACATTCATCCAAAATAACAAAGAAAAGATCGAAACGAGACATGATAGGAGCTGACATGTTGATGTTTGCTCTCAGTGTAGTCTTTCGGTTGTATCGACCACCAACGGGATTTGCGGCGGCCAAAATGGAGGTTCTCGCATTGAGTGTTGCTTGAATACCAGCTTTGGCAATGGAAATTGTCTGCTGTTCCATAGCTTCGTGAATAGCAACTTGGTCACTAATATCCATTTTATCAAATTCGTCAATTGCGCAAATTCCGTTGTCAGCCAACATTAGAGCACCAGCTTCGATAGTAAATTCTCCCGTTTCCTCGTCCTTAACAACAGCTGCAGTAAGACCTGCTGCAGAGGATGCCTTTCCGGACGTATACACAGCTCGAGGTAAGAATGAGCAGATATACTTTAGGAACTGGGATTTGGAGGTGGATGGATCACCAACGATACATATGTTGATATCTCCTCTCAATGCCATTCCTTCTGGTGTTGTCTTGCTCAAACCACCCATCAACTGCAAAAGAAGTCCTTTTTTAACAACTTCGTGACCGTAAACCATTGGCGCGAGAGATGCGACCAGACGAGAGTAGATATGAGGACTGTGAACCATTTCTCGAAGTTCTTCAATCTCAGAAGGATTCATTGATGCCAGAAGAGCTTCTTGTGCATGGTCTCCAGCCTCATTTGGGTCAACAGGTGCAAGCTGTTGAAGGGATGCCAAAATATTTTCGGATTTACCCTCCAGTTGTTGACTAACAGCTGAACCAGTTGTAGAGGCATCAGGTGTTACCATACAAGCCAAAAACGCCAGTCTGTAAGTGAGATCACGAACACCTAAAGCTTTCAGACCTGTGACACCGTTGGTATCACCTGTTCTGTTTTGAGTGTCTCGAACCGCCATTGGACGAACACCAGGAAGACCAAGTTGACTAACATCGGGGACAACAATTAGTGCACCAGTGAAAATACACTTCTCTCCAGCCTTGGCTCTTTCCACAATCTCCCCACGTAGAATTACATCTAGAGTACGAGGCATACTTCCTGTTGGAATCTCCGAACTGTTTTCTTGAACTCGGACTTTTTGCCAATCCACAAAAGTACTTTGTCTGATATCTAATCGCCAGGCGAATCGATTACCACAACCTTCGTTTGGGCATTGTGTCGGCTCGGAATATCTGAAAGTTTGCTCGATATTGGGTACCACGTTCTTGCATTCCTCGCATATAAATGTGGCCAATGAAAGCTCTGGTCGCACTTCTGATGTCCTTGTAACTGTTCCGGAAATTGAGAGAAGCTGTCCAATGTTTGCTGTTCTCAGATGTCGAACCCGGCTTACAACAGGAAGATTATAAAATGCCAGGGTGAACAACTTATCGGTCTGTTGGTTCGTGGTCTTGTTTCCTTGAAAATCCGACTGACTTGCAGACGCTGCATTGCTTGCTCCTGACGAAGTCTGATTGCTCGATGCGGTAGGTTGTCGATGGTCTCTGAAGTATCGTGGTTCGTACTTTGCAATCATGTTGTGTAAAGCCTTTGTCAAAAACGGTAAAAATCTGTAGAATTCCTCCACAACACCCTCTGCCAAGGCACCGCCGCGGAAATTCGTGAGATGTTTGTAGTCGACATACAGTGTAGAAAGTTGATACGTTCTCAAGCCGTGGATCTGCGCAATATAATATTTATCGGTCGTGACCGCACTCGAAGTAGGTGCGCCGGAAGAAGAAGGCTCTTCAACGAATCTAGGTTCTGGTCAGATTCGTGTTGACAACAAAATAAGGGGGGCAACCAACGTCTCCAGGAACTCCTCAAAGTTTTCCTGCACCATATATCCGATTCTATCTTCCACCTTTGGCACAGCGCGATCGTTTCTGCGAGGACGACCCGAAGTAGTCGCTGGCTGATCATCTGCGAAACCTTCGTCGTCACTCATAGGCGCATTGCCTTCCGACGGAGGACCCCTTGGTCGTTGTGATGACCCTCGACCTTGATAAGCTCGTGGGGTCAAACCACCACCAGAGGCGGCAGGAGAATCAGCAACATCGGACATCATTACCGAAGCCATTTTTGAAAAACTTAAAGTGGGGTTGTTGTGATGGATGTTGCTGATGTTGATGTGGTGAAATGGGGGGTCAATTCAGGAGTTCAAATTTAGCGCTAAAGTCGCGTCCAAATCCACCCGCGAATTTTCGTGCCCAAATCTTTAAGTGGTTGCAGAAGAGTGTGGCCAATGAACGCACGGCGTTTTTGTGGATATGATCACGTGATATATACCACGGCTCGACAGTACATACTCATACTTCCAGATCGTATATCGACAAAAACACCTTCATAAGCGCCACGGAAGATTTTTAAGCTCTCACTTACTCGAAAAGCTATTTTAAAAGGACATTGTCTCCCTGCCTTGATTCCGCTGTGTACGCCTACGAATATAAATATATATATATATATACATACAAGAGCGTCTACCTGGGAATACTTGGGTAGATCAACTACACAGATCAGCTTAAGACCTTGGAATATAACGATTCAAATGATTCGAGAGGATTTCTTTTTCTTCTCCTACTTCTGCTCTATACTACAGGTCCCCAATTCCAAGTTGAAGTGTCTCGCCAGTTGTTTGCAAGGAGCTGGAGGGACTTGATGGTGGTTTGATATCAACAATAGAGCATCCCCATTCCCAGCCCTCACTAGTACCGTAGTCACTTTCTTTAATTACATCTGGATGCTAACAAGACTCACTATCAGCAAAACCCACCGGAAGACCCCCACGACACAGCACGATGTGCAACAAAATACAATCATTCCCAATCAACAACCATTAGCAAAACTCACCATTAGCACATTCGCTCTCAGCAAAGCCTCACTGTGGGCCCCCCGCGCGGGGTTGCGACATGCAACAAATCCCATCTTCAAGTCTCACCAGGTTACATGTTTTCGATTGGGAGAATCTTAAGCGAGACGACCATCAACAAGCCACACTATCAACAAAACTCACCAGAAGACCCCCACTCCACTGTGCGATGTGCAACAAACCCCAAGTCTTCCATTCAAAGACCGTTTACAAACCTCACTAAGGGCCCCCACGAACCTGAATCCAACCCCTGGTTTTTGCTATTCACTTTCGGTTGTAAATCTCTTCAGCGGGCGGTGTCAACAAAATTCGCTATTTGCAAGACTCACCTAGAGACCCCCGCTCTACGCTGCGATATGCAACAAGCCCTCGTCTCCAATCAGAAACCATCAACAAACCTCACCTACAACTCCCACAGAAAGCCCAAGTATGCCAGCCAACAAGGGCATTGGAGAACCTCGAACCAGGTGTTAACAAACCTCACTTTGAACAAGACTTACCTAGATCCCTCACTGGAACACTGCCATGTGCGACAAATCCTCTGTTGGAAGCATCCTTCAATCATGTCGTTCCTACACGCGTAGGTTATCTGCACGAGAACGAGGTTTTATCCTCAGGTACCTATCTTCCTTGACGTAATGAATGTATAGCTCACAAGTTAATTTCCGTGGTAAGGTAAGGCTCCTAGTTTCTTGCGGATTACTACTCTAGAGCCAAAGATTTCTTAATATCAGACATTTTAGTTCTGGTGCTTTAAATTTCTAGTTGCAGGAGGCTTAGAAGAAGTAGTAAGATTCATAGGATTTCAATAAGCAGAACACAAGAGGTGATGACCTGAGGAGGTGAAGATTAAACTTGTATTATTGGGTTGAGTTGAGTTTGAGAGAGAGGGAAGGAAAAGTACAAATTAGGTAGAGAACTTCTGTTGATATAAGAAGCCTCTACGAGAACCCACCCATCTATTCTACAAACCCAAAAAAAGAATGGAATCGCCTCTAGGAAAACACTCAAACCCAAGTTGACCTACCTAGCACGCCTAGGCATATCCAGGTATTCCCAAACTCCATCCCAAACACACCACCCCGAAAACGCCCAATCCACAAACCCAACACCCGTACCACCCATCCATCCATTCATTTCCCCCCCTCCTCCTCCTCACCATGAATCTACCAAAGCATCAGCAAAGTCCCATAACTCCACCTATATCATCCCACCCATTTCCCCTCTCATCACATATCAACTCACCATCTCCGCAAACCCAATCCACTCCTCCACACCCCTACAATACGCATCCGCCATCTCATCCGGCAAACACTCATGGCCCCAAACGACCACACTCCCAAACTCCGCCTGCTCCTCTACGATCTTTACCTCGCTCACCCCCTCCTCCTCCATATCTCCGTCTTCCTGATTTATCGTGCTACCGTCGGGTTTGGGGGGAAGTACGCGATCGCTGCGTGCGAGGACGACGCCGCGGTAGCCCTTGGGGATCGCGAGGGTTTTGCCGTGGAGCTTGCGGCCGCGGAAGTAGGAGGTTGGTTTTGATTCTGGGGGTGAAGTGTTAGGTGGTAGGTGGTATTTAAAGGATTGGAGTATGGCGTGGTGTGGGAAAGGGAGGGAGGTACCTTTACCCACGCCTGCAGTGGTCTTTGGATCCCAATATCTTTTCGAGGCATTGACGGGCCCGTTGTGGTGGATTCGGCAGGGGAGGAGATGGGGAGTGAATTTCCCTTTGTGGGAGCTGCTTTTTTGGATGGCGAGCATTTTGGTGGTGTTAGATTATCTTGAGATGGGTTGTGAGAGGTGGTTCTGGTGTTTGCTGTGGAAAGTACTCGTAATTGGAAATCTTTGGGTGGGTTGGTGAGACGCGACGAGACGCGTAAATTAGGTATGGATTTTAAGCATCCTTGGCGAGGACCCCGCTTCTTTCTGGCTGGTAACTTGGAAGCACTTTACACGAAAATCACCGGCGGATAAGAAGACTTGGGGGTTGAGAAGCTTTGTAAATAGCACAACCTGGAGTTCTTTTAAGGTTGTTCTGGGACGAGTGGTTGGTTTTGTGGCATTTTGACGTAGGTTTGTTCTGCCGCTGTCAATTGTCTTGACTTTGCTGGTGAAAGATGACAGACACCTCAAGGTTGTCAAAATGCGGTAATAGATAGGGGTATCAAACGGACTACCCAAAGACTACAGACACCTACAGTATAGTATCTACCTACACACTTGGTAACCTGCACTCCTTTCACCGCCGTTTCCCCCATCGTACCGATCGATTGCATCAAGTTCAATCGGCGATAAATCCACTTGATCTGCGCCAAAATCCGTTTCGACGTGCCGGTTCGTTTCTCTTCCGAAGCTATCAACACTAGAGGGCTCCCCAACTTCCAACTTTCTCCTCGCATCGCATCGCATCGTATCGCATCGTATCGCATCGTATCGCATCGTATCGCTATGTATGGTCCCCAATCCTCCAGCTTTCGTGACAGGAAGCCGTGCTGGCGGTTTTGCAGAAATGTACAAGGTCAAGCGAACTGCCAACGGTGCAAGAGGTATCACGGGGACAGGGGCGGTCCTTGTACATTACATACGCATTTGCGAGTGGATGTGTAGTATGGACCTGAGTTATCAGCCCCCAAGCCTTGGAAAGGGGGGAAGGTACTCGCGTACACATACCTCGCATGGCGGGGAGTCCAGAAAGTCCGAATCGCAGCCTCGCAGGTGCCTTTTTGAGAGCCTCAAAATTGTCGTAAGAAAGATGCTTAGATGCCCGCTCTGTTGACGGTGCGATAGTTCGGTACCTGGCAGAGGGAGGAAGTATATCCACATCCAACCACCACACCCCTCCAAACAAGCGTGCAAGGCAGGTACCAACCCTATCCCGATGTCGTCCTCCCTCTGTGCCCTCCCGAGGTCCTGGGCATGGGCAGTCGCCCAAAAACGAAGTCAAAATCCAACCATCTGCATGGGTTGTCAACGAAGCACAGACCGAAAATGAAAATGCACTAGTGGTGGGGGAGCTCTGAGCTTCGTTCATTGGTCGGACGGAGACCTAGTTCAACATCTGCTCTTCCCCGGTTCTTTCCTCTTCACTGAATTCAGTCAAGTGTCAGACTGGAAACTTCCTCATGAGGCATGGTTCCTCAACTTCCTTTAATTCGGCCGGGCAACTCCTTTCTCCATAAACTTCTGTCCGCTAGCGTTGGTGTGGAAAGTGCTTGACTGTTGACGTACTTGAATCTGGTCGCTCCCTTTGTCAATATCAAATTACCCTCCTACTCGTACCTTGTAGCATTCTCGCCTCGACGTCAATCAGACAAACACTAGTTCCCCAGAATAGTTCGCCAAGTCGAATTTATGGGTAGAGGCCGTTAGAGGGTATTTCCAAGGCTTTTAAGGTTTGCCATTTGGGTTCTTATCTAGGAAGAAAAATCCGACAAAATTAGGGTAAGCGGGGAAATGATTCTCCCTCTACAAAACCCTCAATTGCCCTTCTTGCAAGCTTACGAATGAGTACAGTACAGAAATCTGACAGTTAATTAAAAAAAAAACGGAACTCCGAATATCCTCCTACCGACCTTGCACGGGATTTTGCCCAGCAATAAGACCCCGAAATTCAACATGACGTCCTACTTTACTCAACCCTTAGCTCGAGGGGGGGATTTGATTAGAAGCACTCTAGGATGTGTTTCTTGGGGTCCTGCGTTGTCAATTTCGAAAACTGCTGTCTCTTCGCTCTTGTCTCGGATTGAACATGGGACACTCACCATTGAAGACCAAACTACCGGCCAGAAACAATCCTTTGGCCAGAAAATCGCAAGGGAGCATTTGAAAACGACGAATGGTGTTAATGGGACCTCGAGGAAGAGTACTGGAGTGGGATTGGTGGAATTGGTTGTGAAGAAGGAGACTTTTTGGGTGAGGTTGGCTCTGTTTGCGGATATGGGGTTTGCAGAAGCGTATATGTTGGGAGAAGTAGAATGTTCGGATCTCACTGGGTTTTTCCAGGTAAATATTCTCTCCTCCCAAAAATCCAAATATTCGGTAGATTAACAAGCAAAGCTCTTTATCCTCAACCGTAAACAACTAGCAAATGCGACAACCCTCACTTCCTCAATCGCAGAAACCATCACCGGTCTCGCAAGAAGCACAAATACCCTTTCCAACTCCCTCCTCAACGTCTCCGCCCACTACGATATCAGCAATGAAATGTTTGCTGCCTTCCTCTCTGACGATATGACATATTCCTGTCCCATCTGGCAACCCCAAATTAGCGCTACCACCGTCGAAGAAACTTTGGAAGCTGCACAAATGACAAAACTCCACCGTTTCATCGACGGCGCGAAGATCAAGCCTTCTGACCACGTTCTCGAAATTGGCACAGGGTGGGGTTCTTTCGCCATTGAAGCAGTCCGCACAACCGGATGTCGTGTTACCTCTCTTACTCTGTCCATTGAACAGAAAGCACTGGCCGAGAAACGGATTTTTGCCGCGGGGTTCTCTGATAAAATCGAAGTTTTACTTATGGACTACCGCGCCCTCCCCATTCCAAAGGTTCTCTATGATAAAATCATCTCCATCGAAATGCTAGAAGCTGTCGGGCGGGAATATCTAGAAACCTACTTTGGGTGTATACACCGACTCCTGAAGTCCGACGGTATCGCGGTCTTTCAATGTATCACCATGCCAGAGGGAAGATACGAAGCCTATGCTAAAGGCGGGGACTTTATCAGAAAGTATATCTTTCCTGGAGGCCATTTGCCTAGTATCACTCAATTGATTGATAATATTACCAAGGGGAGTGAGGGGACGTTGATTGCGGAGAAGATTGAGAATATTGGAGGGCATTATGCGAAGACTTTACGTCTGTGGAGTGAAGCGTTTGGGAAGAACTTTGAGAGTAGGATCAAGGGGGGTTTGATGAAGGAGCATCCCGAGATGGGAGAAAGGGAGTGTGAGGTTTTTAGGAGGAAATGGGAGGTGAGTTTTTGACCGTCTTCTTTTTCCCTCGGTCCCTTTTTTACCTTGCCTTGGGGCTCGACTTCCCTCTGTTTCGGTGCAGGAAGTGAGATGTCGTGAAGCGGAAGTTGTCTTGCGTCACTTAAGTTCGAGCATTTACTGACAAACTGGTGCGAATAGTACTATTTCTCCTACTGCGAAGCCGGGTTCGTCACGAAGACGCTTGGCGATGTGATCATTACGGTTGGGAGGGAGGGATGTATGGAATTGATGGATGGGATTCCACGATGAACCTTTTCTTTATATCAGGCTGGTTTAAGTTTGATGATGGCGTTTCTCTTTTTTTTCTCTCGCGATTCAGCGGCGGCGTTTTTTGGGAAGGATCTTGGGTGAGATGGTTAATGTTTTTGTTTTGTTTTGTTTCCTGGTTTGTTGGAGGGGGGAAGGGGGGAAGGGATTTGGTTTGTTCATTTAGAGAAGGAAAGGAAGGGTATAGGTAGGTATGATTTAGATTAGAGATGAGAATAGAGGGGTTTGATTTAGATATGTGGTTATCTTGATTCCTTGGGTGAGTTGTTTTGAATTTTTGGATGTGAGGAAGTGGAAGAGGAAGAGAGAGTTGGGTTTTGTTTGTTTCCTAGTATCTCCTAATCGCGTTATACATATAATCTTACAAGTAAGTCTTACAAGTAAGTCTTACATTTAAAATTTCAGGTTTGAGACACTCAGACATCCATCCACTTTTACAGTATTTCTATAATGACTATAAAGAGGGTACGGTACAAGTAACAAGAATAATATCATTATATCATTATATCAGTGCCAGAAGTAGAATTTTCATGGTCTTTGATAGACTAATAGTATGCTGCAGCTGCTAGTTAGGTAGGTAGGTAGGTAGGTAGATAGGTAGGTAGGTAGATAGGTAGGTAGGTAGATAGGTAGGTAGGTAGTTAGGATGTGGTTTGTGGTTTGTGGTTGAGGGGAAAAGGGGAAAGGAAGATTGGTTGGATTTGTGTTTGTGTCTGTGTTTAGAGGGGAATTTCTTGGAGATTATTGATGATAATGATGATAATATAAAGTCTCGGTTAATTCTTTACCATCAACGTTCAGCACATAGAACCATAATCCATGGAATTATTCTGTTCCATTCCACCTAGAATCTTTCTAGTCTATTTTTATAATAGATTTATTTTATTTTATTAAGTTATTTCTAGAATTCTAGAGCTTTTGTAGAATTCTATTTCTAGTGAATGTTTAAATGGGTCCAAGTGAATAGGTAGCGGTCTGTGTTATTGTAATCCTCAAATTAACGAATTGATCAACACTACCAGTGATTCGCCAATTAGTACGCATGGTGGAATAGACAGTATTATTTGATCACTTCTAGGATGCGAATTATTCGCTATTAAAATTGATAATTAAAGTTAATTATTAATTAAAGCACACCCCTCTCCTAGGAAAATAAATAATAAGTAATGAAAGCACAACGCCTCGTAAGTCCCCTATACCCAGACAAGCAAAAAGTGAAGCTAATCCTAGCTACGATTATTTTGCCTTTGGTTTGCGTCTATCACCAGCTCTACGGCGACATGGGCGGATAGGAGTAGTAGAGAAGCAACAAGGGGTAGGGAATATAGACCCTTATATAAATTTGTATATTATATAGTGCTTACTTGCTATATTCCATTCCTTATTCCTCATTCCACACCCACTACCCTACTTGATCCACACCGTAACAAGCCATATAAAAAGGTCATTATAGACTGGATTATCGTATTAGTGACTGCCATAATGGTATTCCGCAAATCTATTGTACGGCGGTTGCAATAGTCTAATTGGTCAAATCAGCAAATCCGGGATTACCATAGCACAGGTCATTAGGAGTAGATAAGTTCTTCACGTGATATATCTAGGACGCCTTTATATATTAATAGGTCTCTCCCTGAATTCTGTATACAGGCGCTATTACGATGCTTTACTCGGACCTGGAATATATTTCCTGGTCATGTAATGTATTCTATTTGGAAATTCTATACTCGTATATTCTTGGAATATATTATATACTTCTAGAATAGAATTATTCTAGTAAATCCTTATATGGAATGGAATGGAATACTTCTAGAGGAGGGCTCTGGAATCGAATGGGATTCTAGTTGCTGAATGTTGTAAATTGCCTTTTGGATAATACGTAGTGAATACCTAGAAAGCGAACTTTTCCGTACCCCTTACATCTTTAGTAAACACCTATTCGTCGTTGGGGTTTCAAATGTCGTTGCTTCACGAAACTTTTGTAGGGTTGGCACCTGACTTAGTAGCTAGATTCTTTTGCATCTTGCCTTACAATAGCAAATTCAGCCCTTGGAGGATGAGAGCTGTAGATCGTTTTTATACCACGTGGCTGCATTTCCCACTACCCTCATACTACTGAGGATATATGAGGTCTGATCTGGCTTTGTAGTACGGAACTATAAAGTAATTGTATAGACAAGTCTGGGGCTCTTTTGCAGCTTTGCTTTGCGACCCATAACTAATGTTTGATCGGTTACGATACTCAACCTCTTACCTATAGTATCATTTGTATTTGGTCTTGTTATTGTTACTTCCCTTATTATATTATTATGTACCTGCAAAGTACTCCCACCACTCTACAAGTGTCACTTTACAACAGTGAATGAATATTACAGCATCTACAGCAGCTCCGCTCCTCCAGGACTAGCGTACAATAACATCTATAACTCCACAGGAACTTCGCTATCTACACATGCTTCGACATGCAACACAGGACTTAGTTATTAGGGACATGATAATATAGGTCTTTTACATCGCCCGACTTGGATAAGTCAAATCCACAGCAGGACACACCTTTATTATACACATCACCTACCTTAGCTCCTGTGGTAAAGTAAGTGCCAATCCTCTATTTCATGAAGAAGCATCGCGAAACTGATTTCAGATTTAGGTTTCTATATTCTAGATATGATAGCACCAGATAAAGATATCATGTATCGGAACGACTCTGGTGTCGCAGTACCAGCCGATGGTCTAAAGGATATCAACGACTTGTCATTGTCGAAACGTGATTTCGATTTCGATACCTCACATAAAAAGAAGCTTGATACAGTCACCGTCAGCACCTCCATAATAAACAGAACGTCTCGTCTCAACTCGGCTCTCGATCCAATCGACCTTCTTGAATCAAATCTCACAGTTACTCCTCTCGCGTCAGCGCTCCTCTCGAAGCTAAATTCCATCGCTAATCCAGACGCAATTATCACCAAGTCAGACACCGTCAAGGTGCTAAAAACCTTTCCATACTTCCCTAACCTCCCGCTCGAGCTCCAACGAATTATCTGGCACTTTACCCTCCCAGACCCCAGATTAATACCTCTCGTCAACTGGCGAAGAAATCCAACCCAGTCTAAGACTAGAATCGAAACACCACCCGAGGATAAAATACTAAACTTAATCCCCCGTCTTGGAAGCTACATAGTCCCAAGCCTCCTCGTTACATGCGACATCAACCATCCTATCCCCAGTATCCTCACGCCTGCCACGAATCCCGACGCATCGCCAAGAAGCACTATATCGGCGCCACAGGACGTGCCGACTTCAGCGAACGATTCTTTATAGATTGGGAGACGGATGTGCTTCACGGCTCGGCTGAGCTTTTCGTACAACTCCTGGGTACGGCTCTAGGGGCAGATTTCGACGAACGAGTGCGGATATCGAATTTGAAGTTCCTCGCGCAAGTTCGACATATTTATTTCTCTGGTGGTGTCGTGGCGAAGGTTGTTCTGGATTTGTTGGCTGGGTATATGCCGTTGTTTTCGCGGTTGGAAAGTATTACTTTGGTGCAGCGGGGTGATACAGGAGGAGAGGGAGAAGGAGAGGGAGGAGGTCGTATGTATGTGAGTGAGTGATGTTGTTGAGGAGCTTCAGCTGTGGCGCGATGTTGGGAGGACGATTGGGAAGGAACTGGAGAAGGAGAAGGCGGATATGAGATTGGTGTTGTGGGAAGATCTTAAGGTTATTCTTCATGGGCATCGTAACCCTAATATCCTTGAGCCGGTGGAGATCAAGTTTGTGCCGTCGTATACGCTTACGAGACCGTGAATTTTGATTCTGGAGCATCGGGGGAATTTGGATATCGCTGAGGGTGAGAAGCTAAAGAAATTCTTGGGGAGAGACCGGCGATGCGAAATCTGGATTATGATGCAGGTATCGAGGAGTGGCATTTGGTGCGCATGTGAAATTGGATTGTGCAGCCTCTCAAGGGAATGATACTAGGAAGGGATTTGGGTTGGATTTTGTAATCTTACAGGTCCTTGTAACGAATATCATGGTGCTGAGATACGCACTGTACCGTATTTACTACTATAAAAATAACAAAAAAGTAATTCTTCTGCACTTTAGTCTCGCAATAAGCCATAACTTAAACTACAATCCTTTATTTACCAAAAAAGTTTGGAGACAATGGAGCAAGCGCACGCGAAACATAAACTTTCACCCCAAAAGCAAATCTAGGTAGTAAGCGAGAAGTACTATTTTCACAGAGCTGCATTGATAGAACCTCCGTATTTATATTATTAAGTTGCAAGTCGACATACATTTGTGACACCGCCTTTCCCTTATCTTATGTTCGGAAATTGTATAGAGGTATTTTCGTAACAATAACCGCGGGTAAACTTTCTATTCTGAATTTCTGATAGCTGTGCAAATATCGCTGCTTACAACCCCGTCTGAATATTAAGACAGTTAGATTAGGCGAAACTCTATACACATCTACCGTAGGTTCGAAAAAGATATTATTATCCTAAAAGTCTCGTACAATGAAAATGGTTCTCTGAGTAATTTCGGATAATCAAAATTACTATCTTTATATCGTATTAACCTAAGTTATGTACTGTAGGACAATCAAGGTAATTCTTCTGGAAAATATTGTAGGATAGGTTCTTAGGGTGTGTAAGATTACAGAGTTTCGCCAAACTGTCTCACACTCATAGTCTCATACTAATATCAATCCTTGCAGGTACATAACAGTTGATCAAAGTCCGTGTATGAGACTAAGTCGTAAAGGGGGACACCATAGCCTGTCATCTAGCCTTCATCGTGACAAGATCTTATACCCCTCCTAATGTATTCTACCAAGAAGCGTAATTGTGATCACCGATCGTCAACCTAATTGGACGATCTATATATTTTTCCAATCTGGCCGTGAAACCTTCTCATCGCATCGCTTCGCTTTCACTCGCTTGATTTGACCATGGGATTGTGGATGTAAGTAGTGAGTATAGCGGTATCGAGAAGGAAAAAGCCACCCTTCTTCTTCTCTATACCCAACAAATTCAAAGTTCAAATCTAGACCCTTTAGCTCGTAGCCTTCTCTCTCCTAACCATCACCACCCAGCGTAAAAAGCATCCCCAAAACCGACCCACTCTCATCCTCAACCGAAAGAAAGCCGATGCACTGGGGTTGGATACGTGATCTTCAGTGACCAAGAGATTACTTCCCTGCTTTTATTTTATCGTACAATAATAGCCGGGAACTCGAGATATTTATTCTCACTATACTCGTACTGACAATCATTTCAAAAAGTCTTCTTTCTATATCTGACCTAACATTCTCGGAATTTGGTATGGCAAGAGGAGAGCTGTGTTACATCATGAAACAACAGCACGGATTTCGTGAAGCCAACCAGTTTAACCTGGACTTTTCTACTACATTGTCATCTCGAAGGGACTTTCTTCTCAGAATCTCCCATTTGGATAGGATGGACCACACAAAAATAGAGAAAAACAAGAAAACGAAGCTTAATCGGACCCGGAAAGAAAGCACAGAAACCAACAAAGATAAGCGAGAAGGAAAAGGTGGAATAACAAAACAGCGAGATTCCTTTGACTTTGCTCTGAGGTAAGATCTTACCTGGGTTATGGTGCGGTAGTCAAGTCATTCGAGGATTGATTTGTTTCCTTAGAGCTTTAAAATCTTCCTCGATGCTCCGAGAGGCGGGATCCTTCAGATTCTGATGCTTTGGGATTAAATCACACTCCAATACCTTAACACAACAGATCTTAAAAGTGCCTAGGTATTGGTACTCGAGCAGCTAGATAAAATCCAAAAGACACTTATGGACTTCCAAGGTTGATAAATTTGTTGAGTCATGGTGAGGGGTGTGATCTCAAGTTTATCCCACCGTGCGTATATGGAAATGCTAGGTTCTGGTCCGAAATTTTGTATTGTCACTTTGGAATGGCGTAGCTACAGAAAATTCCTTCTGATAAAAGACACAATGAAAATGAATTTTACAAGCAAAATTGAATGCATAGAAATAGAGGTGACGTAGATCTCGCCCAAAGCAATGGCTGGCATATATGACATCACCACCCCTCCTCAGAACGCCACAAAACCCAGCTGCACTCTCCATCACGACTCTTTAAAGCCCAAATTATCAAACCAAATATCTCACAAACTCTCGCCATAATCAGAAATCAACCAAATCCAACCACACAAAAGCAAAACAAACAAACCTCCCAAATCACACCCAAAACATCCCTCAAAATGTCCAGCTCAACAACAAACAACACCGCCCAAGATCCCTCCATGATCGCAGGCCACGCCCAGTATGCGAAGGGATACGTAGAGTCTACTATCGGGGCTGTGACCGGGAGTGAGGAGTGGAAGAAGAGCGGGGAGAAGGATATGGGTGATGGGATTGGGACTATGAAGGTTTGTTCCCTCGCAATCTCCCATTCATTACTTCATTAGTTAGGGTTGGAGAATAGTGTTAATGAGATATCAGGAAGCGAATGCACAAAGACAAGGCGAGCCCGCTCCAAGTGGTCTTGGAAAAGCTGAGGAGGTTGCGGGGAAGGTAGCGGGGTGTGAGGGGATGGAGAAAGAGGGCATTCAGAGACAGGAGAAAGCGCAGTAAGGAGGGAGGGAAGGTGTAAGATGGAATTGTGTATTATGAATTGCTTTAATTGCTAAACTATCATGGTTATTTTCATTTTTGTGAGATTGAGGTTACAAGTGGTGGCGGTTCGCTGCATGTTGAGATTGGTAGCCAGTCCTCCCAGTCTGGCCAGTCTACTGGTGTTGTGACTGGTGCGTGCCCCTTGATCGTTTCGGCTTTGACGAGGACGGGGATGACTACTCCTGTTTCGAGTCTGAAGGGTTGATGGCCGAGGACTATGATGAGTTAGTACCATTGAAAACAAGGGAAAGAAGGTATATTTACCTCTGAGGATACTAGAAATTTCTCCCGAGTGACTGGTGATTGAGACCCAAGTATGCTTATCATTACCAAATACATCATCCAACACCATCTTGGTCCTGATATCTTGATTAACAGGTTGTTCAGCCAACAATGGCTTCCAAAGTTCGTCACATTCGGTGAAGCCCTCCTCGATTTTATATCGTGGGAACAAGTCGTGGATATATGACTTGGTTGAACGTCTGTCGCAAGTGTGACCACTGATACCCTCTCGGAAGTATTCCTTTACAGTTGGCCTGAAATGAGCCCCATGACGAAGACGAAGCTGAGAAAACGTGATATTGGCAGTTTGTAAACAACGAGTTAGAGGCGATGTGTAAAAAGATTGCGGAATAGGGATCTTTTGAAGCGCAATTTGGGTGGCCCAGTAATCGGCTGCGACCTGAGCTTGGGCTACACCATTGGGTGTGATTTCGGCGTCCGCCCAGACGGAAGTTCCATTTCCGTCCAATAATGACCAGTAACACTGGATTTTGTCAGAATGGGGTATCAAAATGGTGATTTTTGACTTACGTTCCAAGCTGGAGTGCCATAATAGGTTTCAGCAACATTGTGATATCCTTCCCCGTGACGACCCATGAACAAGACTTTATACTCGACATCATCATCGCATTCATCATTCAAATGATCAACATATTTCTCGAATCTCTGCCATTGAGTAAAAGGTTTTCTCTCATATCTATCTGTGGGATAAGTCCGGTTGATCAATCCGAAATTGGTAGCGGTCTATCAGATCATTAGTTTGACACCCTAAGAACCGATGGAATAATTCCACACACATAATCAAAAGTCGCCGGAACGGTGGAGTTCTCATCTTGCAAGAAAACCCCAGTGACCGTTGAGTACCTGATATATTCCTCCGTCGGATGTGCTGCGCAGGCGACAGCAAGCGTGCTGAGGGCCAGCAAGTGAAGGTTTTTAGTCTGCATCGTGGGGGGTGGCGATAAAGACAGGGTGATGAAACACTTGCAGAAGGAAAAGCCATTACAGTGATGCGCTAATTGTATATATACTTATGGAATAACTTTTGGATGCTATTTCTGTTGGACAGGAACTTGCCATTGAGTTTTGGCGTCCTATGGTTGTAGCACGTGTTGGTGCTGTCCCCACCTTCACCTTCCAAATTCAGAATAAAAAGGGCCGCTCATCGCCGAGCAACTGGTAGGACGAGCGGAATCAAATTTTGAGAGCGGAATCAATTTTTTTCTTCCTTTTTCTTTTTCTTTCCCTTTTTCTTACTTCGCTAATGGTATGTTTATACAGTACTTGAGAATTGAAAGAGTATTCTTTATATGCAATTGTGGTGAGGTACGGATCAAAGCGAAAGGGGATATTCTCTACCCGGGTACTCGAGAGAAGAGGTCGCTCATGTGACTTGATCGCTCAACTCCTACCGCGCTGGAGTAATAGCTTTAGGTGCTCCCGTAAGTATATTTATACAGTGAGTTCTATCCAATCTGACAAGGCGTGTAGCATCAGAGATTAACCTTTAACCTACTAACTTTTCATTCTAAGTTGAGAACAGAAAGAGTTCTACTACTAAATCCTAAAGTTACTATTTGTAACTCCCTCATTATACATCCACCAACTGAGAGTTCTGTTAATTTTGATGCGTAGGAGTCTACCGAGAGTTTATCTCTTGATGTTTAATACAAAGAGTACTGTAGTATCTCCATCCAGGTATCCGCTGGAATAGGATACAAGTTACCGGACAATAAGCGAACTGTGTCTCGTATTATTTCTTATCCTTCTCCGGACTTCAAGAAGAGGCTTCCTATTAGGCAGCAAGTTGCTACTTTGTGGCTAGATACAAATGGTAAGTTTGAGATACCATGACTCTATAGAGTGTATGGTTGTAAAGCGGTGTCGCTGAGATATCCTGGGACGCTTGAACATTGAATGCAAATTCCACCATTCTCAGTCAATTTTGCAAGCACATATACATGGATTGAAGCTTTCCCTTGCCATTTCTTCAAATGCAGAATTAAACTCCCTACGAAACTACCCAAATGTACAAGATAAAATACTCGTTCCTCTTTACAACTCTCACTCGCCATCTCGGCACATCAGCAACCCCCCAATCCATGTACACACCCACACCCACAACTACCTAACCAGTCCCCCCTAATACGAAAGCCGAGACCACTACATCCCCGGCAGCATAACCAGCGGAACTAGCTGCGTAACATTCAAAGATGTCCCTTTTGACGGGGACTGAAATGTCTTCGTTGCAGCAATCTGGTTTTATATCTGTACTCAGAATGCTTGTTATCGTGAATAACGCTCCAAATCTTCGCACAAGTTCACGACTGAGATAATAAAAACAAAAAAGAAAGGCAAAAATAATAAACAGGAGGACAACAGCAGGTTTTCGCTGGTGGCCACCCACCCAACTACTAATCTGCTGATCTGAGGCTTGTGTATGGCAGAGCGGACGGGATGCCCAATTCTCCTCGGTCTATGGTCGTATATACCATACTATTTCCTAATCGTTCTGATGAATTTTATTGGAGGGTCGTAAAGGGTGATGGGTCACTTGATAATTCCTGCAAAGCTGTCTATGGGTATCTTATATTAGAGTATAATTTAATATGGATAGAAGAGTTTCTACTTTCCATTCTCTAAGAACCTATACTTGATATAAAATAGTATGGAACCAGGAACTCTAGAGGTTATATAGGTCAGGTGCTGCTTGTTCTAATCACGTTTTCTTTTTTAATGTTCACAACCTGGAAGGATCTGGGTTGATACTGTACCTCTCCCCGCATCTAAACTATTTCAGGTTCCCCTGTGCCCCTTAAACCTTTAACGATATATATCACCGATAGCCGAGGTATTGATACCCCCATTCTGCCCCTTATTCTTTCCTTCCTTTCTTCCATGCCCAGGGCAAGAACTGTGCACATCTCCACCCCCGCCTTTGCGTCTTTATTGCTTCGGAGTTCGTGTGTTCATTAGCCAATCACGATTATGAGAGAAACTCCAGCCTTCAGCGTCACCCCATCATGCGGCCAATTGGAAAGGGGGTGAACGGTTAAAGCTGGACACTGTCGCTGATCATAGAAGTAGATCTCTCGGCCATGATTTCTAGCTAAACCAGCGATTGAAAGACTTGTATCTGGGCGATATAGACTTTGTTCACATATGATCTACGTGACAGTGTCCAGAATTGACTGTCCACCCCCTTTATATATAGACCAGTACTCGAGTATGAGTGAGATGTGGTAGTACCGAAGTAGCTAAAATTTGAACAAGGCTTGCCCCAAGGCCTTGGCTGTGTTGTCGTTCACAACCTTGGCTGCACCTGCATATTTGGTTGGTGTTACTATACCAGATTTATGACCCACGCTGCTCTCAAGGGCTATGTAAACCCTTATTAGACGTCTGGTCACAACATAACGTCAACTCCAATCCATAACGCAAATCATGGACTTCCCCTCCCTGACAGCCATTGCTGCAGCGAGTGCCGCGATAGGCGTTGCATCCCATCTAGGATATTTCATCAAGGGCGAACACCACGTTGTCGGACCCCGCCTCGTCGCGGCTGCATTCCTCATCCCCTCCGCCATATACATCAGCATCCTAAGAGGAATTGGAGAGGATGGATATCTCGAAGCAGCGAAAATTGCGACCGTGGCGACTTTTTCGTATACCACGGCTTTGTTTTCGAGTATCGTCATTTACCGGCTCTTCTTCCATGCCCTGAAGAAATTCCCGGGCCCGTTGAGCTGGAAGATTTCGAAACTTTGTCATACGTCCTATCTGATTAAGAATGGACCGAGGGATTTTATTTATCGCGATAGACTTCATAAGAAGTATGGAGAGTTTGTGAGGTAGTCTTTCGCTCCTGTTGTGTGAATTTGTGGTGCATTATCTGACGGGTGATAAGGACTGGTCCGAATGAGATATCGATCACAGCGCCCAAGGCCGTGACCCAGATTCTAGGGCCGAAGTTCAGGAAGAGTATTTGGTATGAATGTATCGCCATCCCGGATTTTGCTCTGAATCTTGAGAGAGACAAGGCGACTCATGATTCGAGGAGAAAGATTTGGGATCGTGCGTTTAGTACTAAAGGTACGATATCATAGCTCGCTAGTTCGTTGTTGCTCTGCTTATGATTTTACTTAGCTCTACGTGATTATGAAGGGAGAGTGAGACAGTATACCGACCAGCTCATTTCGCAGTTGAATGAGAGATCTGGGAAGGCGGTCAATGCTTGCGAGTGGTTCAACTTTTATGCGTTTGATATCATGGGTGATATGGCGTTTGGTACTCCATTTGATATGGTTAAGAATGGGAAAGCGGTATGTCAGCCATTCTTCGATTGCCCACGCAATATACTGATTTTTTGTAGCACTCCGTGATTACTCTCATGACAGAAGGAATGGCTAATCTGGGGGTAAGAATTGCCTTCTATGGTTGAGAAAGTTGTACTGAGATCAGAAATTCATAGCCTCTCACTCCAATCATCTGGATCCTACCAATTCTCAAAGCAATTCCTGGACTTGCTGGTGCAACAAAGGCGTTCATTGCACACAATAAAAAACAGGTAGAATGGAGAAAGACTGTAAGTATTGCCATTGATACAACACAAAATCACATCTGATTGCGTGCAGTATACACCTGATTCCCCAGATTTGTACACCTACCTAATCAACGCCTCAAAAGAAAGCCCCGATCCCATTCACAAAGATCCGCGGTCAGTCCCCAATCCAACTTCCCCACTCACAAACTAACAACCCCCAGCTGGCTTATCGGAGACTGTGGACTCGTGATCGTAGCAGGTAGCGACACCACAACCGCAACGCTCTCTCACATCTTCTATAATCTAGCCCGTTACCCACAGGTCCAAGAAAAACTTCGAAAGGAACTTTCTACCTTCTATGAACCCGGATCTGAATCTGAGTTCAAAGGCTTGGCTGAGGCAACGTATTTGAATGGGATTATTAATGAGGCTTTGAGACTCCATCCTGCTACTCCAAGTGGCTTGACACGTTTGACTCCTCCGGAGGGTGTTACCATTGGAGATACTTATATCCCTGGCGATGTGACGGTCTCTACGCCTTTTTACACGGTTGGAAGACGTATGTTTTACATCCTCCTTATCAAATTCTGTGTATCTAATGAAAAACAGTTGAATCATGCTTCAAAAGCGCCTCGGAATTCATTCCTGAACGATGGGGAGAGAAACCAGAGTTAGTACTGAATAAATCTGTGTTCTTACCTTTCTCTACTGGTTAGTCTTTCCTACCCTAACCCCTCCTTACTTCAGAATACTGTGTTTCTGATCATGTATAATGTATAGGTTCTGCTGGTTGTGTAGGGAAGCAACTCGCGTTGATGGAATTACGAAATGTTACCGCGAGGATTATCTCGGATTTCGATGTCAGGTTCGCTCCGGGTGAAGATGGGACGGGGATTATTGAGAAGTCGACGGATATTTTTACGATGGCTCTGGAGCCTATGATGTTGGTTTTTGAAAGGAGGATTGAGTAATGGTGGGAAGAGGGTGTGAGGTTTGAGATGTGTTAATATTGACTTTGGTGGTGTCTGGCTAGTGGGTGGCTCTGAGTGTGGAGAGTGGGAAAGCTTTGTACAGTAGATTAGTGGCCTAGTGTAGCATTCAATGAAATCCTTTAGTATCAAATGAGGGGAGGGCGGGGGTGCAGTTTATCAATTTTCTTTCTGTCTTTTACTTCCAGTTTTGGCTGAGGCAGTCTTGACTTGCCAAAGTGCTGAGCGTCCTCAATTCCCATTGCTTCCTCTAAGAGACTTCTGATTCGGTTGCATTGGCTGAGTTCAGCATCACTTTGAGAGAATGGGAGGCTGAGGGAAGAAGTGAGGGAAGGAGCGACTCGCTTAAATGGACGGCCACCTTCCATCTCTTAGGTCAACACGATAGTCCGCGACGTGAACCTCGATCCAGCACTCAACTTTCTTCCACCCATCCACACCCACGAACTGGTATCATACGCGGATGCGATATTGTTGGATCTCCTTCTGATTACTTGCCTTTGCGAGATCGAATCATTGAGCTTGTGGCAGGAAGAGGGATACGAAGAATACTCGGCGACGCGACTCTAGTTCACTTTCTCTGCAGCCTTGATCTCGATCTCAATCCCGATCTCGACCTCGAGAATTACTACCACGGCGACGTGATCTACCAGCATCAACGACAGTGCGCAATCATGCTCCCCGATGAGCTGGATGACCTGGGCGGTCAAGCTACGGGTAAGTGAATGCTACATGCCGCGTTCAGTAATTTCATTGACATTTACTGATCTGCGTATAGACTTTGAAGACAGGGCAACTGCACGCTGTGATGATAACACAGAGATGACTGGTTCTACGACTGTGGATGCGGGTGGGGATGTTTGGGATGAAATTTGGTTTCATGAGAGACTCGCCAAAGCCGAAATCAACAATTCATATACCGTTGAATCTGCCCTTGCGGACGCGTGGAGTAAGATCTGAGTTAACGAAAAAGTTGTGGACGATAAGGGCGGCGAAGGTAAGCGTTTCGATATTCGATCCTCGTAGCTGCTGAGAATCTTCGATTGTTTGCTTCTTATTTTCTTTCTGTTGGTACGACCTGGTTGTCGTAAAGGGTGATACACAAACATAATCTCTCTTTGTATTCATTCGTGTATGAAGAGTAAAGGTAAAGAGAGGTGGTACTCTACAGACTTAAGTATGTGAGTAGCAAGCCACTCACATGACCTGAAGTATATAGGTCTACCAGGCTCTCGTACAAGGTGCTATTCACCAGAATTGTATACCGACACTTTCCAAGCTAGAATTTACTGCATTTATCTCTAAATTTTATAGTACTAACCCGAGACTGACGGTGGCATATCAGATCATATTTCACTTCACGAACGGCTTGAAATTCCTTCTCGAAGCGAAAGCAATCCGGCATTACGAATCAACAATAGTCCACTCCCCTGGCTACCAGATGAGATATTAATCATGATATTCTCTAGTCTGCTCCCTTCATATTATGACGAAGATCTTGATGACCTCAAGGCCTGCCGACTTGCGTGTAAGCGATGGACTGAGATTGGGTTCCGAGGTCTTTTCGGTTCGACTTTCGTATTTCGTCGTGATAGAATGGATACAGAACGTTTTTTATACTTCACGACATACCCTCGGATTTTTTCTAAGATCGATCGAGTTATCTTTGATTATGGATGGAATGGTATCGCCAATGTAGTGTCTAACTACGCCAGCATTTACGCATCCTTTTGGAATAGTGCAACAAACCTGAAAGGAGTGCTGCGCGATAGACGAACCGCTCAACTAGAATCCCAAAAAGAATCACATGTGCGAAATTACGCAAGGTGGTTCATAAACTGTGAAAATTCCGAGCAGAGAAGCTTTTTGTGACCTTCCGCGGCTATTTCAGTATGTTCTCACTTCCATGGTATTAATCGCATTGATTTTACACTGAGATCAACATCATTCCGGTCAAATTCTTTGATTCACGCTTGGAGCGCAGATACATGCCAAACTTTCTTTAGTCAGAGGATAGCCGAGTTTGGTTTCTTATTGCTCGGCCTTGCTCATCTTTATCGATATACACTTGACAGCAATATCAAGCTCAAGCATCTCAGCCATGACATGCTTCCAACGACTTTCTTTGGCCGTCCAATTTCAGAGCTTAAAACATTAGTAGAGCCATTACGTTGCCTACAAACACTTCATCTCACATTCGATGCTACAGAACCTCCAACAGTACAATTCTGGAAGGGCTTGGGCTTCTTCCTCGCTTCGGCTCCACAACTGAGAAATCTTCGATATGGTTTTGATCGAATTTTGTACATATCTGAGGAGGGTATTTGGTGTATTAGGGAGACGGGACCAGGAAACCTTGTTTTCAACGAGGATAATGCACCGGAAAAGTGGTATGCCCCCCTTTGGAAAGTTCTAGGAGACTACACATGGGCCCATCTGGAGCATCTACGTTTAGATGGGATGGTGCTATGTGAAAGGGGAATATTTTCGCTTTTATGCAGACACTCGAATACTCTGCGGACTTTAGAGCTCCATCAAATCGGTCTCTGGCTTGGTAGCTTTGAAAATTTGCTATTGAAAATTCGAAACAAGCTATCACTTACTGGTTTCGGCATATCCGGTCATTGTGAAGGTCTCCACTCCACAAATGAAAGCCGGGATTTCCCTCGAATATATGACCCCTATCGAGAGATCTGGTCTCCAGCGTTTAGTTTTTGGGTTGAGCAGTGCGAATCTCATACTTCCGGAAGAAAATTTGACAATGGTAATCCGGTTGACTATTCCTTGGGGGCGAAATTGAAGAACTTCATCTTTGGTGATTCATGGCCTATTATGGGTCATCATACCAGAAAACGCTGTACGGACTTTCCTGAATGTGTGTTACACACCGAAAAATGTATCAAAAGCTGCTGGCGCGATACCAAGCGAATGATTGACCAGATATGGGATAAAGACTTTTTTATTGACCCTGGTATGGAAACTCCGCCCTTTTCTGAGGGAACAGAAGCCGGTCAGAATTTCACGTCGTACTATAATGATGATGGGTTCGATGAAGAAGAGTGTGATATCCATGGCTACAACGAAGAGGGAGAACACTATCTTGATGATATTGTTACTGATGAAGAATATCTCCAGGGCATGACCACATCCACACGAATGCGAAGGGAGCTTGAAGCATCAATAGTGCATAGAATCCCACGCTTCTGGGGTGGCCAGAAAGGCGAACACGGAGAGGAGACTATGACTGTTCAGGAAAATAGTGAAGCGGTTACAGTCAAGCGCAAAATATTGACACAAATGAGATCTCGCATTGTGCGAGACCACATGACAGAGGAAACGACAGTTCAGGACGAAGAAGACAGTCCTTGACAGCTATCTGATCGGGTTCAGAAATCATTTACTCACATGTGAGGAGTGCCTCTTGCTTTGTCAATCAAATACTGTATGAAGAATGGAATGTAGAGTAACAAAATATTGAGCAGATGGAAAGGATGTTAGCGCTGCTTTTGTATGTAGCTGCTCAGGTCTTTTTGACTGCTTTTTCACGAAGAGGTCGAATCTTCTAATCATAGTATCATCCTAGGAGAAGACGTGTTATTTGCTACGAGTGCCTCTCGATTGACCGTAACTTGTATTAGAAATATTTCGTCAAGCACATGAAGTGTCTCGAAGGTTGCGAGATATGAACCTCCCGGCCGCAGAATCGGGGACTACTGAGCTCGTTGGTCGCTGGTGGTTACATTTTGAGATGATATATTTAAGAAATACGCGGAGTAATGACGCGGTTGGTTATCTGAATTCACGGCTCTTTGGAAGCAATAGAGGTTGGCTTGCTGGCTTTTTCTATCACAAAAGAATCTAATCTACCAGATACCTATTTTGGATCCATCGTAAAGACGAGAAATGCAAGGGCGACCCTATAAAAGAAATTGTAGGGATTCATGGCCGTTATCTCGAAGATATTTTGATTCTCTTGTTTGTCTTAGCACTTCTAAAATAGGAAGCATCCAATCCTTGTGGTTATTCGAGAACTTTGGGATGATTGAAATCCCATTCTCGGTCTTGGTCAACAGTTAGAGTTGATGAGTAGAGGTTTTCTACCTTTGGGCAGTTATGGAATCACCTCCTGGTACCATCATGGATGTGTGATTCTCAATTCGTTATACCTGGCCAGTCTATAGTTCAAGTCAGCTAGTATCTCTCGGAAATTCCCAGGGAACAAAGAACGGCGTAATAAAAAACTTCGCTTACAAAACCTCGTAGTCCTCTCCAACCTCTCCCCAACCCTCACCTCATCCCCCACCCTCAAAACCACCCCCTCACCCCCCTTCCCCAAGAACCCATACCGGCCAAAAACCGGCGAATACTTGACCCCCTGATCCACCCTCCGATCCTTCTGCAAGCGATGATACACCTTGACATCATCCGTCTTCCCATGTTCTCCGGTGCGGTAATCCACATTCAGACTCTTGCAGCGTCCACAATTGCTCGTGAGGATGATCTCCGTCCCGCAAGAGGGGAATTGGATGGACCCCCAGAGGTCCTCGTCCCAGGCTGGTAGCGAGGTGGAGACGACGATGTTGGAGCGGAATTTGGTGATGTCCATTGAGGCGCCTGAGGGGAGACGGGAGGAGACGTTGTTGAAGGAGGGGAGGGATATTACTAGGTAGGGGAAGCAGTCGTTGAAGGCTATTTTTTCATTGGTGTCTCTTTTTAGATAGTCCTCGAGGATGGGGATGTGGGAAAGTAGTTTTGAGAGGACGGATGGCGGTTTGGATCCCTCGTTTGAGGGACGACCGGGTAGGCTCCCTAGCACCGCCCGTGGATTCCCGCCCCAGTACGTGAGGATGACGGGGAATCCAAAGCGTGCGGAGAACCAGTCGTTCGCTTCGCGGCCCATCTTGTACCCCGTCGTGGGACTGGAATGCATATCCACCTTCACTTCCTCCAGCTCTGAACACGAGGGTTCTAAATCTAACTCCAGATTTGGCCCCGAGGGGGTTAACGAGCCGGGTTTTCGGTGCTCGATCACTAGTTTTGTGGCTTCTGGTGAGAGACTGGGATGGAAGAGTGACATGGATGGGTAGTTGGCGATGTGCATGTTCTTTAATTCTCCGCTGGGTTGTTTGTGGAGTAGCATGAAGGTCCTGTCGTGCGCAAAGCCGGTGGGGGTTAGGAGTGCGGAGGAGACGGGGAGGGAACGGAGGGACTTTATGGGGTGGATATATAGCTGGAATTTGTTAGTTTTGGTGGTTGATATTCATTCTAGGGGCTTGGTGTACTTGGGTTATTTTCATTGTGTTTGGAGCATGATTCTGGTTTGGTGTTAGTGGTATTTTCTGTAATTTCTGGGAAGTTGGAAGTCGGAAGGAGATAATACCGTGGCCTCTGTGTTGGGAATCTCTTTTGATTGTTGAGATATCGATATGAATGTATCTTTCATGGCTTTCGCGCGGTTTGCTTTGCGCGAGAGGTGGGAGGATTTGCTGAGGACGAGGTATGAGAGACTGGACAGGAAAATGGCAAGGGCTCCAAGGAGGAATCCTCCATTCTGCGAAGGGATCAAGATATCCGTTATCATCGTGATGGATGGATCAGCTCCGTGTTATCTGTCTGTTCTTTAGATGCGTCTTTGGTGTCTATGGCAGCGGGGTCCTTCATGAGAACGTATGTTTGTTAAGTTGTGCTTGTTAGGTATGCCCTGCCTTGAAGAGATCTCATGCATACAGTACAAAGAGTACGATCCTGCGTTTCTTCCGAGGTCTGCTCCTTTGAATAACGTTGAACAGGTCACGATGTTTGTGGTTATGTTTCGTGGGTTGCCCCACCTTTGGTTGGAGAAACTGTGCAGGAAACGGGGAAGATTGTAGTCGCCATGCCCCTCTTGAGACGAGAGACCCTTTCCATTCAAATTTGATTTTTGTTAGAAGAACCCTATTCTAATTAAGAATCTAAGTTTAACTTTCCCGAATCAAGCAATGGTACTCTAATCAGATGTAGCCGAAAACATAAACCCAACAGTTGCAACTCAAGCGCAGGCCAAGAACAACGAACAAGGAAAAAGAATTTCCCAACAAAGTAATCGGATCCCTCAACCGAGGCCATTTGGCCGAACTGCGTCACGAACGCCGATCGAGTGCCGTGGACTTTGTAATTCTACTACAGTGTCTTATTATAACTTGAAAAAATACATGTTATTAATTGTTTGACCTTGGGTCGCCATCTAAATTGTTGTTGTCTCGGGACTAGGGGGAGAGGGTTAGATGGAGAACTTGAAGGAGGGTTGTTAAATAGATCTTCCTGACTATTTTTTCCTTGTCTCTTATATGTGCACAAAGTCTTGTCTCTACTCACATGAATCAAGCATCCGCCCTTAACCTTAACAGAGCTCGATGGGTTATAATTTCTATTAAAAAGATCAAAACGCAAAACAGCGGTGTATCTCGGTTTCAGTATAAATTGTTTGGGTTGTTATGAGAAGAAAAGACCAGGAAATAATGGTCCATCAATTTAAATTTAATTAACCTCTTGTGTTTTGGAAAGAATGAAGAAGGCGATATGTTATGAGAATCATTGACACTTGCTCAATTTTATATTCGTACTAGAGAGTATTAGTACTGTCTGTCTGCCCTACATCTGTAAACTGTACGTAGCATTAAATCCAATATGTTAGATCTTCATTTTGAGGTAATTGATGCCACGGCCGACAATGAAATTCAGTCAATTTTCACAGCTTCGCAGCATCTTGAGGAGATATCGCAGAACGCTCACCAGCCAAATGTAATTCTTTTATGCAACTGTTTTGCAGCATCAACACTTGCCTACGCCGTACAGTAAGCTGACGCCAGCACACTGTTAGCCTACCAAAGGCTGAGGCACAGTAAAGATCAATACGTAAATACAATACATGTAACCCAATATTACCCATTCTCTCATAAACACTCCATATCTCCCAATCCAAATTCCACCCCGCAACGAGAAATATATCCAAAATGATTCCCGTCATCCTCTGTGGCCGAACAACAAAAATCGCCACTGGGGTTATCGCTGCGCTCAAACCCGAAATCGACGGTAATCACCAACCCTACTTCCCAACCACACAAGAGAAACATGCTAAACATCTCGAGGGGTTCCCAGTCATCCACCTATGTCTTTCTAATGAAGCAGCAAAATCTCAGATCCCATTAATCCTCAAAATGGAACCTGTAACCACGATAACGAACTTGGGTCCAAGAATTATACCGCGATACCCAAAGCGGTGATTATGGGTGCGGGGTATAGCGATACAGATGTAGACAGTATTCGGAAGGCATGTCGAGATGTGCAGACGCCTTCGATTCCGTGGCTTCAGGTATGAATTGTTCTTCTGCTCTGATATTTGAAGTGCATATTTTGATGATGTGCCGTTCAACAGTCGGATACAAGCTTACCGACACCACCCCTTGGTCCTGAGGTACGTGATTAGCCACGATGCGAATAGTGTTTGTAGCTCATCTGTAATAGTATGGCAGAGCATTGGTAGTACGGATCAAAGCTCCAATGATGAGGATGGAGAAAGATAAACAGGAAAGTGGCAAGATCGAATCCACGGATGATATAGTCTATTATTGATCTTGATATTTCCATACTGCAAAGGGGCCAGAAGATGCACATCGAAATGAGAGCTGCAAGAACGAGTGAATTTGATGCTCAAATCCCCAACCACTGCTCTTGTCTCAATTTGTCTCCAAGACATAGAAAGAAATCCAGGAAATTCCCAAATAAATGAAAAAAAGCCACAAAAGGGACTCCCGTTGCCCAAGCTCAAGATATCGACCGCGGCAGTATCGACGTATAACATGGAACTTATACGTCACTGTATATCTCGTAGGAATCGAACCTACAGCATGGAAGTGTATATCTGTTTCAATAAGACCCTATCTAATTGACCACTGCGCTAGCGGGGCCCCCTTTGGTTAGTTGTTTGTCTGCTCAATTCTATTTAAATAAACGCTAGCAAAAATGTGGGTAGCATACTTATAGGCTACAAAAGTCCGAATAATATTCACCTTTGTAAGCTGCCATTGACGCTCAGGCTATATATATTTTTTTTGGATATTTTGATACGAAGAATTTACTGTAAGGATCGGATAAAGTCTCTTCATTTTCAAATATTTTCCTGAATCCTACTGCGTTCGATCACATCCGAGAACGATTTAGTAGAGTGAAAAATGCGTTGGGAAGATCGAGACTTCGTTTCTAAGTTAGCTGCGCTCGGAAATTACCCATATGTCCTCTGTTCTTTTCCAACCTTAGTGGTTTATCGGGCGTAGCACATATGTCTAGCGTATATTCTTCGAACCTACAGGAAAAATATACATCCCAGTTGTTCGGGGCTCACTAAGTCTCATGTGAATACTTCAGCCTTTACGTTAGTTGGCAAGCAATTTGAACTCGCCTATTGTGCTGTAAGACAGACTGAAATCACCAGGGGGTGTCAGAATTCCGTGCGCAGTCCTGGCTTTTAGGCGAAAACACACCAAAAACCACGTTTTTACAACCCTATAACTCTACAAATTTATAACAAAACTATAAGCATGACCTCCTACATTAATTCTCTAGAGTACTCAAATTAAGTATATGTGCAAAAGCTTTCTTAATATCCTAATATTTCTAGAGATATTTTAGTAGAAAGTTGTTCTGTTAGTTTAACTCTAAGTTCTTAATAGAGCCGAAAAAGATAATAAGGAAAGTATGATATAAGGCTAATAGTTTAACATCGTATGTCTCGTATTATAAAGACTATTAGTTGTGTATACCGAGTAAAGGTGTTGTAAGTACTACTACTATTATATAGTAGTGCTTAGTGCTAAGTATAGCATATAAGTGGCCTTAAGCAGTATTCACTTATACTAATACTAGGCTAACTTTAAAAGACAAAGAAGGCTATACTCGGTTATATACTAACTAAACAACTTAGCTATTCCTAGTTCCTTAAATAACATAAAACAAACCCTTATTTTATATAAAAGAAACTCTATAATATCCTTCTAAAGAACCTATTTAATATCCTACTTCCCTACTCTAATCTCTCTATGTTTAACCTACTCCTATATATTAATCTTAATCTTATTAGATTCGATTAATTTAGTAAGTACCTAGTAAGGCTTTAATTTAGTTATCGAATCCGTAGGATTAGAATCTCCTTAAACTATATAATAGTATAGATCTCTTATTATTTATATACTTATTAAAGTACTATTATATTAATTATTAATCGCTTCTCCTTAATAGTACTAAGTTTAGTTAAATAATCATAGATTAACTTAGAATTAGTATAAATAGTAAGGTTAAGCTTACGACCTAGGATAGCGTCTAAAGTTAACTTAATAACTCCTACTATATTAAAACCTCTACTTAGAGTATATAGCTTAGAAGCTAGAACAATTTATATAACTTATCTATACTTTATAGAACTCTAGTATAGGATTATAGTAATATTATCCTTATTCGCTAGGTATAAAATATATCTAATCTAGGAAGATAGGTCTATTAGGTTTATAAAGGAGGCGTTAATAAATAGAACAAGTCGGAGTAAATTGTAGTCTAGAGGGATATATTTATGTCCTCTCTAAATTATTCATTAACTATTAAATTCGCTTATTTAGTACTTAAATTTCTCTCTTTTTATAATTTATTAACTATATAGTAACGTTTAGATTAAATATAGCCTCTAGTTCATAAACTATCGCTATATATATACTAAGTACTTACTAGGTAATAAATATATTAATCCTTTATAGAATAGTTCTTTTAAACTAATCCTCTTATACTTATAAGATTAGTTAGCTTATCTTTAATAAGCTTAATATAAGAGGTATAATTATAGGTAAGTATAATTAAACTATTCTTATCTAAAGTAATATTTATACTATTAAATTTAAGGGGTTTTTTGATAGTTAATTACTTAATTAGTTTTAACTTAAATACTTTAGATTCTTCTTACTCCTTATCTATAAATATAGTATTACTAAGTATAAGAGTATTATTAGTTTATAATCTAACTATCCTAAATATTCCTTTATAATTCGTATATAATAAGTAGGAGTTATATATAGATTACTTTATGTATAGTGTTTCTATATAGTGTTTAAAATAAGTATTATACTAGTAGTTACCTAAGTCTAGAATACTATGGAGTAGCTTTAAGATCTTAAAGTATATGTTCTCCTACTTTAGTAATCCTTTTAGTCCTTATATAAAGAATAGTTAATTAAGTATAGTTTTTAATTAAGTATATACTCAAACTATATTATAGAGCTATAACTTTAAAGGTTTATTCTTAGTATACGATAGAACTACTATAAGAGCTATAATTAATCTAATACTATCTTCTTATTATTATTATTAAAAGCTTTAATAACTAGTCTAGACTTCTCGAATACGATAGAAGTTCCCTTATTTTTAATAGTATTAATAAATCTAGAACTAAATATATAAGTGACCTTTATTAGGTTATTAAAAGAAATAATTCTATATACTCTATTCTCTATTAATCTATTTATTTCGATCTTATAAGAGTTATTAAAAGTAGTATAAATAGTAATATTATTTGTAAGATATAAGTAGGATATATTACTATCCTTTAAGTCCTAAGTTAAGGTTACTTTAAGGTAACAAATTATAATATGTTTTATAGGCGACTATAACTACGCTTTAGCTAGGTTTAACCCTTAGGTAGTACTATTCGTTTATTAGTTATAAGTAGTATATCCTTAGTATCTAGATAAGTTATAACGTTAGTTAGTTTAATATTAGGTAGTAGATTAATTAAGTTAGATATATCCTTATTAGAGTAATAAGGTTTAATAACTATACTTTAAAACTTAACTAATTAATCGTTAATCTTAATAGTAATATCTTTACCTTCTTATTCTTATAATATATATAGTCCTTACTACTTCTTATTCTTATACTTTAACTAGACTTCTAATCCTAGTAGTAAATCTTTAACTTTATTTAAAGGTCTATTTTATATATTAAGGGTATCTTAAACTTAGAGTTTAGCTTTAATCTTATATACCTCTATTATAGCCTTTTAAAGTATAGTAGATTACTAAGTAACTATAGTCGAATAGGTTTCGTAATCGGTTATCTTTAAATATATACTAAATATAAGTAGGGTTAGTATTAAGCCGTTAAGTTCTATAGTATTATTAATAGCTTTTACTACTATTTAAAGTATAAAATCCTTATATAAGTCCGGGAGCTCTTTATGGATAATCGAATAAGTATAGTAGATTAGCTTATAGTAATATTTAACTAATCTAATCGAATTATATACTTCTACTAGTATAGTAGTAATCTATATACTAAGCGTACTTATATATAACTTAAACTCCTTAGATATAAAGTTCTTTCCTATATTAGTTATAAATATATCTATTAGCCTTATAAATATATAAATCTAGTACCTTATAACTATATTCTAGATATATTTAGCTAAAAGGGTTTAAAGCTAATAAGTCATATTCTAATTAGTAGCTTTATTAATTATATAGAGTATAGATTTTCCTAAAATAAAGAATATATTTATATAAACTATATAACGTGGTTTATCAGCGAGTCGATCATATCACCGAGTCGATCACTTTTTCTTGGCACAGAACTTTACACCTAAATAAATCAACCACAATATATTAAATTAATTATCGCTCTCTATATCTGACGAACTAGATATATCTATAACTTCTTGACAAGTTCGCGCGTTATGACCAGCTTTTCCACAAGTTCTACAGCGCCGCCTAGAAGGTTGCCCCTCCTTATAACCAACCCCCGCCTCACGCATGTCGCGTCGTACTTGCTCATCTACATCCTCCTGAGCTAACATATCCTGTACATCCTCTACTATAAGTGCCCCTCCTTGGCGGACACGAGTCTTTTTAGCCCTACGGCGTTTACTTAGGGCTTCATTTGCAGCGCGAAGGGTACGGACCTCAGCAGACAAAAGGGTCATCTCATGTGCCATTCGCTCTGTACCCTTTGCTAACGCAGCAACTGTTTGAAAAAGTGGAGTTGGCGAGCTTCCTTGATGACAGGCTATACGATTTCGTACAAGAGTTGATTGTGAAAGGGCTTCAGTTGGGTTGGAAGGGGTCTGGGACACCCAGGGGAGGGAGTTGGCACTACACGTCCGAGGGGGAGTTGGAGTCCGTAACCTTACGTCAAGCTTTGAAAGCACTGCTTGCGGGTTAAATGGTACTAGGCCAGCTCCGCGGAATCCAGACTGACAGTTTAGGACTGTCATTGTTTCCTTGTATGCTGCTGTAAAGGCTAGAAAGAACTCAACCTTTGTAATATGGTTGATATGGGCCTTGATAAACGTCTCAATCTGCCGACCATACGCTCGTTTTAACACACTATAGCACCCAACATCAAGTGGCTGGGTTAGATGGGATGAATGAGGAGGTAGTCCAAGAGTAATAATGTTGTGTTTCGTACAGTAGTCTTGGAACTCAGCCGATTCATGACTCTCGTGCCCATCCAAAACTAGTATTCGATACAGACCCTTTGCACGAGCTGTAGTGTGTTTATCAAAGTGCTTTAACCATTCCAGGCCTGTTTCATTATTTGTCCAACCATTGCTTGTCGGTTTCATAACCCAGTTAGGTGGGAGGCCGCCGTCGGTATACCAGTTG